ATGGGAGCAAGGCAAATCAGGCCTGGCTGCCAGTGGCTATCAATAAAAGCACTGTTAAACAGAGCCATTGCTCTGCAGCTCGGGAGGCACTGCAAACCACCTTGATAAGTGGAAATGGTTTTAGGAAACTGCCAAGGATCTGAGCTTTGTCATCTCAGGTGCTTGACAGTTTCCTAAAACCACCTCTGGTAAACGCTGGTGGGAACAGACTCATCCCTGCACATGCCCAAGGTACTGAGGGGAGCCTAAGTTATGCCTGGGCTTTTAAAGCAAAACATGAGATCTTGCTGTGCCTGACAACACCCCTTGAAATTTAACCTCCATACAGCTCTTACTGCCATCTTGGTGGTTGTAATAACTTTAAACAAACGTTAACAAAGACAGATACAACAAACAAACAGAACCAAACCCAAACACCAAAACAACCAAACAATCCCCCCCCAAACACCTAAAAAACACCCAGGACTGTTTTCCCACAGGTTCAGTGCCAGTGTTCTTGTGGAAAATAAGCAGAACAAGCCCAAATCCAGAGCCATGAGATGTGCTGGTGGAAGGGTGAGTGCAGTGGGAAGCAGTGGGTCCTTCCCATCTGGCCAGGAATGGGCTCTAACACAGGATAATGTGACCCATCTGTCTGGACATGGGCATTGGGGATGGAGTGCATCCTCCCTCCCTCTGGCCCTCCCGGATGCAGAAGCAGGTTTGACTCTCTCAGTAGGGTCAGGACACAGGTTTTGTTTCAGGCCCAGTTCATACAACTATCTTATCCCTTCTCCCATTTTTTGACCCTCCTTTGTGCCATCCTTGTACCTCCCTTGCTCTGCCTCAGTGCATGACCCAGGGCTCTTGTAAGCAAAACACAAAGAGGGAGTGAATATGTCCCATGATACTGGTTAGAAATTACTCATAAAGAACGAGGGGATTCACAGGATTTTGGGTTGGAAGGGACTTTGGAGACCATCCGGTTCCAAGGCCCTTCCATGGGCAGGGACGCCTTCCACTACCCCAGCTTGCTCCAAGCCCCGGCCAAGCTGGCCTTGGACACTGCCAGGGATGGGGCAGCCACAGCTTCTCTGGGCAGCCTGTGCCAGGGCCTCCCCACCCTCACAGGGAAGCATTTCTTCCAAATCTCTCATATAAGCCTGCCATTTGTCAGTCTGAGGCTGTTCCCCCTTGTCCTGTCACTCCAGGCCCCTGTAAAAAGCCCCTCTCCAGCTCTCTTGTACCTCCCTTAGCTGCAGTACCTTCACACACACACACACATACATAGAAATAAATGTAGCCGAGATTTTTTTCCATCATTATTATTATTATTATTATTATTATTATTATTATTTTACTTTTCTAAAGAGCAAATAAAACCACATCTTGTGGTAAGTTATCAAAACCCACGGAGGGGTCTGAGTTGGCCCTTTCAAGGCTGATTCAGTCCCGCTCCTCGTTTAGGGGCTTGCCTGCACCTGGGGGTGCCCGCTGTTCCTCATTCCCCCTCAGGACAGAGCAGCGGCTGCGTGAGGGAGGCGAGCGGACCAGGGCTTGTGGGCAGAGATGATCGCACATCCTCTGGCGTCTGCTTAGTGCCCCTCCGACGGGGAAGGTGTGCAGGGGGGCAACCTTCAGGGATTCCTAGGAAAATCAGAGTGTTCCAGCCTTGGATGGAAGGAGCGGATTTTTCCCGTGAGCTGTCTACGAACTGTGAGCACCGGCGCCGGGGCCTTGCCGTACCCTGTGGAGGTCTGTGGGGCCGGCAAATGGCGGATCTGGGGAGCTGAGGGAGCCTGCCAGGAGCATCCATCTGTGGATGTGGATGTGTTTTTAAGGGTTTTGTTGTGCTGATGTGAGCTCCTGGTAGGTAAACACTGGTCTGCTCCTGCTTTAAGGGGTTACTCTGTTGTAAGAACTTGGATCAAAGGCAGTTTTGTGGCCCCTGGGCGGGTGGTGGCAGAAATAGGCTGTGGTCTTAAATATTAGACGGCAAAGAAAAATATTTGGAAGTGATCCACTAATGAGTGTAGTTTGGTTTGTTTTACCTCTTGTGCTGTGAAAGCTGAGAGGTTATTCCTGCCTGATCTCAGAAAGTTTCAACCAGCTTTTATAGGTTTGATTTGAGTTGCAACCCATTTTTTCTTATTGTACAGTGGGAGGCTGGGACTGATTCCCCCTTCTGTGCATCATTCCAAGAATAGTCTTTTCAGTGGCTTGAATTCACAGATTTCTCTGGATCTGTCTTCCTCTCCCTTGGCATTCTCCCTCTCAGCATTAAGCCAGGATCCTGCAGAGTTAGGAGGACTGGGAGCAACCCGTGTTATGTGTGCCTGGGATGAATGGCTGGGAAATCATGTCCCTGCCTTGTCAGCGAATCAATGACTGAAGGCAGAGGGGCTCCTCACTGTACATTTGTTTCTCTGACATTTTAAAATGTGCCTGGAAAAAGAATAGGCTGCCTCCAAGATGGCACTTCTCCCATGTCATCTCCAAAGCTTTGGCTCAGGTTGCAGTCTGTGATGTAACTGAGATTTTCTTCTGGGGTTTATAGAGTGGGGGGTGTCATGAGCAGAATGGGACCTTCAGGCACAGTTCATTAGAGAGGCTTCCTTTGAGTCATGGGGTGCAGAAGGACTCCCCAGCTTTCTAAACTTCTCAGACAGGGGTCTGGGTGTGTTTATTAAAAAAAGCTGAAGTTTGAGCAAAAAGGGATTTGACAGAGTGGATCTGACAAGCAGGGGGTAAAGGGAGTCAGCTGGTTCTTGAAATAAGTAAAAACCCTTATTAGACATTCAGTGACCTGTAAATGTCATGTTTGCTCAGTGGGACAAAAGGGTCCAGGCTGTGGTGGTGTGAGTGGGTTTCCTTTTTGGGGATGGTTGTGTTGCTGCATGTCCTTGTTTGGGGTTATTTAAGCAGTCAAAGAATTGAATTCTGGGTTCAGTCCTGGTTCTTAATATCCATGCAGTGTGTATGTCGAATGAGTGTTACTCCTCATATCCTTACAGCGCAGCAGAAACAGGTCCTGTCATAGCTCACCTTACTCCCTTTACCTGTAGAGACCAAACTAAAGCAATATATGCTTGATAGACTCCTAGATGTTTAATTGCTCTCTGATAGACACAGGAACCAGACCTGGGAAGAGGGTTAGGCCTAATGGAAGACAAGCCAGCTCTGTGCAGGGGACTGAAAAAGGTGGCAAAGACTGAGGGTACAGCTGCTCTTTGTGGCACTGATGCTGCAGTGACAAAAATCACCACCAGCCACCTCTTTACCAGATATTCTGAGCCCTGACAACTGTTGTAGCTCCAGGCTGTTCTGAAATGCTGCTTCCCACGCCAAGAGCTTGCAGCAGTTGCAGGGTTCATATCTGGGATAAGGTAACAGTGCAGGTGAAGTTGTTTGTATGTTTTTTTCCTCAGGGAAATACATTAAATGTGGAAGTTGCCCACTATCATAGGCATGATCTCATAGGCTGTAATGTAGGGAGTACACAGCTTGTACCTGCAACTGGAGTGACTGCCCATGTGTGGGATGAGTTGTCAGATGGAAAGTCAGGCTGGCTGTGTCTTCTGGCCCACTATTTGTGTGTTGTGAATCCAGCATCATTCAGGAAGTGCTCACAGGTCCTGCCAGGATACTCCACCAGTTGTAGTCCGGTTTTATGGAATGTAAACGGAAAATATCACTGGACAGATGTCTGGAGTGACACAGTGGAGAGGTTACCATTAGGGGTAATCCAGTGAGGGAGACAGCTCTCACAGGTGGCACGTGGCTCCCTTTGGCGGCAGCTACTGCCAGGATCATCAGAGATGGTTAAAATTCACTGATTAGCGCTGCTGGTCATAGAGCTCAACTCTTTCAAGGTTAGCTGGGGAAGAGAGGCAGGAGGGAGCAGAACCTGTGCTCATAAAACTCATTTTTGAGCTGCTTTACAGTCAGACAAAAAAAGCTTGATGATATAACTGTCTTGTTTGTTTGTTTGTTTTTAGAACTGGCTGATATTTATTTATATGCAGAAATAAAGGGTTTGTTTTTTCAAGGTGGAAGGAAAGGGTGACTTTAGTACCTGAATTGTTGCTGCCACTTATGAGGCCATTAAAAGCACAGCATTAGTCCCTAAATTTAATGACGTTTGCTAAAAAATAAATGAATGTGACTTCAGAAAAGATGTTTTATATTTATTTATATTTTTATATTATTTATATATTTATATTTATTTATATTATTTATATAATACTTTCGGTATTTAGCAGAACTGGTCAAAGTGTTTCAGCAAAATAGTGGTTTTGTATTTGCAAGTGCTGATTGTGTGGCTCAAACTGACCAGTATTGAGTTATTCCCTATTATTCCCATCTGTTATTTCCCACTCAGGCCAGTGTGATGGTAGTGTGGAGCACAGGGGGTGCAAGTTCTTGAGGGGGCATTGTTTGGTTGCTGAGTAGGGTTTTGAGTTGGATTTGTTGTTTGATTGTTGGACTCTGATGGTAAAAACATGAGTAAGAGGAAATAGTTGGTAGCTTTTGGTTTAGGTCCTCACCTTGACAGGTCTCACTGTGTCTGTGACGAGCGAGTGGTGCCTTGGTGCCCTGTGTCCCAGGCTCTGGGTTTATAAGGAATAAACTTAAATTGGCAGCAAACCTCTTCCCAGTATTTTCTGTTGAGGGTGTGACTCTAAGATGTGACAGGATTTCAACCTATATTTTTCTTCCCTATCTTTCTTCTGGTGAGAAACTGTCAGCAGTGGGCAGTGGAAAAGGCACTGACCACAGCAAACAGTCTGGGGCACATTTGAAGGAACCTCTCATTTCCAGCCCAATAAAATAAGTAGAAAACAAGGCTAGATCCCCTTTGAGAAATTAATAACAATTACTCCAAATGAAAATTTTAGCTGACTTAGAACATACCAATAGTGCTGAATGCAGAATTAAATATGTCTAGAAGGGAGCTGGGTACAGAGGAGTTGCAATTCCCTCGCCCTGCTGTGCAGGCAGTAAAAGCAAGTGAGCCACCATTTCTACATTTAACACTTGTACATTTTTATTTAGTTAAATCAGCCATTGTACACATTGCAGCTATGTATTGTTAGTGTTGTATCTTTTTAATTTTTAACTAATACATGCCCTCATAGATATATTCAATTAGTGTTATCACCATGGGAACAAGATGCTGATTCGTCAACTTAAAATTCACTTCTTCTCACAGTATTCAAGTTCTCCGATAACACAGCAAAAAATCAAAATAAGAGGTGAATAACCATTATGTTGTTACACAGAACATCATCTGCACCGCAAATAACACAACAGAAATGCATTTCTTGAGAGCCCCATCCTCAAAGACCCTCCCGCGCCGTCTCGGACGGCGGGGAAGCCACGATGCGCTGTGAGATGTGTCATCACGGGTCTCATTCGGTTTGGCTGCCAAAACACTTTTTTTCTTTTAGCTTTTTTTTTATTATTATTTTTTTCTTTTCTTGCCTGCCCAAAAAGTGTCAGCACGGCACCTCAGGTGGTTCTGCCCGCAGGAAGCCAGAACTGCAGAGATGTTTCCATGCTTTTGGCATCATTACCTTACCTTAATGAGGAAGTGCCCTTGTTCTGAGCACTGAGTGAGTCGTTAAAAAAATAAACAACAAAACAAAGAACCCTAGAACTGCAGAAGGCCAGATAAGCTTGGACAAAGGATTACTCCTAGAGGAGAGGGTTGGTTTTATTCTGGTGTCGACTCTACTATTAAAAAAAAAAGAATTAACAGCTGTTTAAAAACATTAAGTTAGTGTGTTTGTGTGTACGTGTGTGATGCTAAAACCCTACGGAGCTCCCTCCATTAAATATTAAGGTATAGAACACCCAAAGCTTCAGATCCCTATGTTCCCTTTTTGGAAAATAAAAGTGCAGACATGCTATCGTGGTTTTTCAGAGGGTCGGTCTAGAAATATATATATTATATATAGTTACATAACAAAATATGAACAGAAACTGGCTGCCGAGGATTGTGAGCACTTGTTCTTTAAAAAACACTCGATCGGAAGATAAAAACTGCTCGCTCAGTGCTAAGAGGGCGGAGAAGCTGACATGGTTCTAGGAGGGTTTGGTTCTGACCTTGGAATGCCACATGCACGGCTCAGCTAAGAGGCAATCTCGATAAAACACGGTGAGTTAGTTATTCTCCCTGTATAGTGGGTAAGTCTTTTTTCCCGCAGTTATCTACAGTGCAGTGGCCAGCAGGAAGTACCACCGGTCTGTCGGTGAGGTCGGCTAAGCGGTGATGGAAACGGGAAACTACTGGAGTTGGAATTGTTTAATACGCCCTGCCCCAGGTCCGGATCTAATAGGCTGTAACACTGCATGGGGGTGTGCCATAGCTATAGCTGGGAGCAACTCTGGTACCTAACAGTGTATTATTTCTTGGATTTTCCTCCTGGAAATCTTTCAGCTGCTATCAGAAGGTCTTAACAGTATTAATGGCCACAGGCAGCTGTTACTCATGTGAACAGCTGGGTTTCCAGGTTTTTAGCCTGACTCTTAGAGCCTTTAACTACAAGAGATCCCTAAACCGTAAGTCTTAGGGCTCGGTAGCTCCGCGGCGCTTCCTCCTCGGTCAGTGTGTGTTTGCAGTCGACGGGGACAACGCCGGGCGATCCGTCGCCGTTCCACAGCATCACCAGGCGACAGTAGCCACGGGCAGTGTATTTCCTGCAGTCTTGTAAGTCCAAATACTCTGGCTATTTACAGTTTACATGTGCACTCCCTTGTACATAGTCACTGGAAGAGGCCTGTGGATGAAGTCGGCTCGAGGAGCACCGGAGCAAAGGGACAGTGAGAAGCGGCGGCGCCGACAAGGAGGAGGCGCGGCGGGGGAGAAATCATCCTGCCCGAAGGATGCTATCTTTGGTCACAAATTAGCTTACAGGGTACAAAAGAAGAAAAACACAAGATGGAGCTTAGGGTGGGGGAGAACTGAACTCGCTGCAGCTGCACGAGGAGAAATGGCAGTGACTGGGGCGATGGGGTCGGTCATGCTGTCAGCTCCCCAGGGGAGGTGACGGCAGCGTAGAGGGCGGAGGGTGACGTGGAGCTGTGGGGGGGCGGCAGCTTCTCACTTGGCCTCCTGTTTCCAGTCCTCTTGGCAGAAGTGCCGAAGAAGCTGCTGGAGGTCGTGCTGGAGGTCATCCCTGGGGAGCGCTTCTGGGGTGTCTTCCAGCTCTTCTATGTGAACGTGTTTGCCACACCGATCCTTCATCACGGTCCTCTTCTGAGTGCTGGCTTTACTTAGGGTTGTCCTGCAAACAAAAGAAAGCAGAGCTGTGCCTTAGAAAGACCACAGATCCTGCAGATGTGCAACAATTTCCATCTTCAGCTCCCGAGGAAGGGTTACACGTGCTGGATGCAAGGCACATCATGTCAGCTCTGAGAAAGGACTCTCTACCTGTAGGTTAAAGGTACAGACTGGGATTACTGCATCACCATGCTGCAAGACACGCACATGCATGTAGGAAGTGCTAATATTAGACATGAATAGCATGGAACAGCACTGGAACGCAGGCCCTTAGATCACTGGACATCTGCCTGTCCATCAGCACCCTTACAGGACTGGGTGGAACACTGACGGAGGCCATAAAGTTCCTAATATCTGACAGGGGTGGTGTCAGTGAAGTCCCTCATATCACACAGGTGAGGGGATATTTTTCAGAGGAAGGCAATACACTTTGCAGGGTGTCTGTGTGGTTTCTTCCTATAGGACTTAGCTCTGTTTCAGAAGAGCAGGAAAAAGGATGGCGGGGGCGCAACACCCCCAAAGCCCCCCACTCATGCCCTACAGGCCCCCCCTCCAGGGGTACAGCCAGTCTAGTCCAGGACTAGATTGATTTTGCACTTGTGGTTATTTGCTCTGCTCTTTCTCCCCGAGTGTTTCCAGGGGAGTTTTCCCTTTCCCATGCATACCAGCCCTTGCACTGACACACTGTTTGTTAGTAGTTATGTTTAGTACTGTTCACTATAAAGCTTTAGGTGCTCGTGTGTGTTTCACTTCAGGCACTCACTGAAATCCACTCATATACTGTGAGTCTGTTAATTCTTTTCCAGCAACCCTTTTACTGACTCGCCAAAGCAAACCTTTTAATTATCGATCCATCTTCTCTCCTGATTTCTTTCTCTACTAAAGCAGGCAGTTGGAATTTCACGTGGTTACCTGTATAGCTCAAAGCCTCCAATGAAAACATAAACTTCCGATTAAAACCAAACTGAAACACTTAGAGCAGAAGATAATGGCTGTTCTCACCCTTTTAGGAACTAGGCACAGTCTAGGTTTGTGCTCACTGTCCTCCTGCAAGCTGCAGTGGAGAAAGCATGGCAGAAAACATCCAGACCGTGGCATCCATGTTTTTATGTGCTAGTATTTCCTCACATTAAAAAAACAAACCACAGACATACATTTCATCTAAAGCCACGCAGCTTTTATCTATTTATCTATGTCTTTTATCTCTCTGTTCATCTATTTTAACCTCTAAGACGTGCTATTCAAAGGGACAATAAACTGGATTCAGAGTGAATCTATATCAGTTGCTTGTAGGAGGAAAAGAAAACTATATTAATTCAATATCACTTTTCTCTTACTAAAATGTCTAAACTGATCAGAAAAAGCATAACTCCAGAAAAGTGCTCACTGGCTTAGTAGCTGTTTTGTCCTTTTGAGGACAATCCTATCACAGACTCTATTTACCCAGCTAGTACACTGAACTGTATCCTTTTCTAAAATTGGTAACAGATGAATACTCTTCTTCTTTATCAGCACCCACATCCAAGATTTCTAACAGTTTCACATAAAGCCTCCATATGTGTTTTTCCTACAATCTTAACAGGTTAAAATTCTGCAACGTCAGCTGCCTCTACACATTCTTTATACACTGAGCTTTTTATAACGTGGCTGAGTGTAACAACACAGCTTTGGACTCAGCAGCTCAGTCTGGTGCTTCACCAGCAAAACCCTTCAGTAGAGTAGAATTTGTCCCTGGGGATGTTGCAACCCTCCTTTTAACAGTTCTAGAAAAGCTATTTGTACCTCTTCGAAGTCCTCTTTGGCTGACGGCAGATCGGAAGCTAAGCTGGCATCCCCCAGGTGTTTCTCCGTCCTCTCTCCGTGCACTACGGTGGTCTTGATGACTTTGCTGACCTTCCGGCCTTCCACTGGCTCCGACTGGAATTTGGAGGCACTAGGCACGACAGTAGGCTCAGCCAGGGTCACCTGTAAGGAGATGAATTCCACACTGCACGATTTACTCTGGCAAAAGCTGCCTTTCACACCTGGGGGTTCCGTATAGTAAAGCATAGCTCCGTTAAGGGTCAGCCAAGAAAATAAAAAGCCTCTGTCTGCTTGTTACCTTACTCCTAGAGAATTCATTCTGATGAGGAAATCTGACAAGAAAAAAATATCAGTGATGTTTTTCGCATTTCTAATCACTGCTTCTTACTACATTTCACCCCAGGACTGCTGACAGCATGCCCTAGGTCCCAGCTTCTGGCCCTCTGGCACAACAGTTTTGCATATCCAAATGTCTGCAAGGACCACACAGTGCAAGGATGGCAGCAAAAGGCAGACTGAAAAGCACTCAGCTTTTCAGGTTGTTTTTATTTTCCTTTATCTGGCTCTAAAACAATTTGCACAAAAGTCATTGGCGTTCTTCAAGCAAAGAACATGCCAGTAAGTTAAACTTAATCCAACTGCAGAATTTTAGGACTGGGCTGTAGAATGAGCATGATAAGATGCAGTGACTGAGTTCCCTGTTGGGGTGCTGGTGCTTTGTAGCATCACAAGGAAATGACCACCCACCTCTGACTGCTCGCTGTCGCTCTTCAGCACAACCCGCTTCACAACTTTGGAATAGCCATCTCCTTCTTCAACGGTGACAGGTGCTTGTGGTTCTCCTTGCACTAGGACTTCCTCTTTTTCTGTGCCATCCGGAGAAACGTACCGATGGATGATCTTCCGAGTGACCTGTGGGGACGAAACAGAGCTTAGTCCCAAAAGACTCAGCAGCAACATATTCCTCCTTGTTCTCTATGCAGCATTTTCCACTCAGAGGGCATCTTTTCCTACATGAAAGAACCTGCACAGATGGTTTGGTGTTTGACTCTTCCACACAAATGCATAGAAATAGATTCGTGGAACTAAGCACTGCTGAACTACTGAGCTCAAATGTACCCACTGAAGAGACTCATCTGGTGCTTGAGCTCTCGAGGAACAGGAGGAGAAGACAATTACAGGGTTCAAGATGAGAGAAATTTCTCAGGAGGATGGGTGTGCATCTTTGTATGGATGACCCAGAGCTCTACATGGCATCATCCAAGGCATCCATAAAAATACAGTCATGCTCACTCCTGTACATCAAAACCCAGGAATATTTGGCTGTGGTGGTTTATTCTGACATGAATTCAAGCAGGTACCTTTTAAAAAAAACCCAAACAACTTGCTTGTAAAACATGTGGATCTGTGCAGAATTTTCATTGGCTTTACATGGGAAAATTAACACAATATGTCCTTCTTAGGTTATATATTGTAACACAGAATGATCTTGAGAAGCAAAATAATTGTTCAAACTGTATCTCTCATGAAAAGAACTTCTCATTCCTTCCACTCTCTACTCTGCAAATTATGCCCCTTCACAGCAGAAAATCTGGCATGTATGTGGATGCTTTTACCCTGCCTTCTATAGGACAGGAAGAAGGTAGGAAGGGGCAGAACTGACAATACCTTCTTTACCACTGTGTGGCCATGTTCATCTGTATACTGCTCTTCTGTGACTGTTTCTGGTGGCATGTCAGGCATACTATCAGCCTGTATGACAAAGAACAAAGGCGGGTGTGAAGCGAGGCCTCCACGTGGGTCACTTGAAAGGAGCAGTTTTAAAATCGGTTAATTGGTTATAGAACGGGAGGAAAAAAAAATTGAGAAGTGTTAGAAAAAAAATCAGTTCTGCAAATAAATCCTTAGAAAGGCATGCAAAGAAAAGTTATGCCACAGCAGACAGGCAAAGGTATGTTAGTTGACTGTGTTGTGTATGGAGCTGAGAAGTCATCTTCCTCCTCCTACCAAGGTGTCTAATGGAGTTTAGAGTTGGGTTAGCAGTATTACTGTAATCCTAAGGTATTGGAATGGCTTATCCAAGGCCCATGCACTATCTGGGAGCAGCTTGTGCTGTCACACCAGCTAAGTGGTTCTCTCTGTGTTTCCAGGTCCTAAGGCACCACAGGCTCGTGCAATCGTTCACCACTCGGTACCTGAATAATCACCCGGCGACGAACGACCCTGGTAGTGACCATCTCGTCCTCGTCCGAGCTCATCTCCAGCCCACCCAGCTCCTCTGCTAACTCCTAAGGGAGGTATGGAAGCAGTGCTCTGTTGTGTGTGGTACTAGGAGTACTTACAGCTTCTGCCTTGTTACACCAGCCCTGGAATTCCTGCATATTGCACGTGGTTTCTGGGTTAACCACACAGAAAAATATCTGAAAGCCTACTCATCTTCCTTGTTGGGAAGTACAGAGTGCAGCATACAAACAGCAGGACTGAACAGTTTTAACTAGAGGGCAGTGTATCAGGACCAAGTGCTGGAGTTCTCTCTCCTGCATAGGAAGAACTAGAAGCCTAAATGAAGAGGTCAGAAAGCAAAGAGAGGCTAAAAAGAATGACTTGGGATAGTAGCAACAGTATGAAAGCACAGAGAGGGAAATAAATTAGGGGGGTGTGTTTCTTTTTGGTAGTGTCAGTTGTTTTGCTTTAATAAAAGAACTGGAGGGAAAAAGCAGCCCATTATTTTGAGGGCAGCCTTTCCTACAGCAGCCTTTGTACTAAGCTACTCTTTCGATCACCTGACACACTTGAAATTCAATCTTTTTCTGGGATCCCAGAGGGTCTCCATTCTAGAGGTGGTACATTTGGCCACATAAACAGCACAGACAGAAGAGTCTGTTTCTAATAATTGTCAAAGGGAATTGTCAGGACAGGAAACAGTTTGTGCATCAGTAGAACTGTGCCTTCTCTGCTCTAACTTAACTAATAAACCCAATTTCCTTTCCAAGGATGCCTTCTCCTTAGCTTTCACTTAGAACAGGCAAAGCAAGCTGGTTATTCCTAAACCTTTATCTGCCAAGAAATTTTAATTCCCCACTAAAAGCCATATGGTTTGCTTTCTTTCCTTGCCTCTTGATGTCTTTCCCTCTCGGAACACTGCAGTAAAGTCCCTTTGTCTCACACAGACAAAGACCTGCCTCATATTGTTTTTGATGTTCCCCTCCTATTCCCATCTCTCTTTATTGCCTGCAATGCTACATAAACACCATTCTTCCAGTACATCCTTAGTAAATGCACAACCTGCTGCCTCTTTTCCATCTCCCTAACTTTACAGATCTGTCATGCCATTTTTTTCATGCTGCTCCAGGGTAGTCTTACCTTTCTTTATAAGCTTTTAATGTTACTACTTTATTTTGCACAACATCTGTTCCACCTTTTGCTTGTACACGGTTTGTTTCTGCACCTGGTAGTGACACTAATCTCTCTCTGTTAACTGTCACAGACCAAAGGTCAAATCAGGGCAGAGCAGAACCAGAACTACAGCCTAGACTTCAGGATCTTAGGATTGCCTCAGCTCTGCAAACCCCTACAGAAATGCCCATAGCTAACCCTTCTAACCACAGAGAGAGGGAGAAAATACTTTAATTAATGGGGATTAATAAAAAATATTCTCATCCTAAGGAACATGTGAGACATAAAAACCTTTTGTGTCCAGTATTTTGAAGTAAAACTGTTCTTCACCTTTTCTAAAGATTCCTCTTCATAGCCCCTTCCAGACTTCTCTGTCTGCTCATCGGTTGACTCCACTATCACAAGACTAGTTCTCCTTGGAGAGGGGTCATCCCGGTGGAGCTGGGGGTCCTCAGGCTCCTGGATGATGGGAGAGTCACCTCTCTGTGCAGAGGATGGGGGCTGTGAGGATGGTTTTTCTGCCTCTCCCTTGGCTGTGCTTGCTGCTTTCCCAGTTACCGGTGCCGCAGACTGCTCTGTTCCTGGAGTTGTGACACTGTGAATGACAGGAAGTTACCACCATGCAGTGCTTCCCAAGTGCCATAAATGAAACGCTACGCTGTGAATAAATACTGCTGTGTCATCTGCTGACTAGAAACAACTGGTACTCCTTGACAAGAACTACACAGTAATCTGGCTGGGAATCCCTCTCACCTTCCCAAGCAAACCTCCAAATGAATATCCAAACCTTGCACACAATTCTGCAAAACCTGTTATTTGTAAAACATTTCAGTGAGCTTCACTGTCACCTGTGCCCTCACAACTCTATGTATTACCTATTACTATTTTAAGGAAAGAGACTGGATCACTATAGATGGATTAGAAGCAACTACTACATTAACTACAATCTATAAAGCTGCAGGGGAGGAGAGACCAACTTTTATGTAGAATTCCAGAGCCTGACCAAACAGAAACTTAGTAGAAAATCTGATGTTGACTGTATTGCTATTTTCATGGTTGAACACTGCTATGATTTCACTGCTGTTGCAAACTACTGAAACCTATTCTTACATACATTACTGTCTAACATATATATTAAGGTGGTACATCTAATTCAAGCATATGTACGTGCAATATTGTTGTATAATTCCTCTTAAAACATCTTCCTTACAAGCTATTTAAAACTAGCCCTATTTTCCTCCAATTCTTAAGACCTGCAGCGTAGTGATATTCAGCCAAATCCTTAGGAGGCACTAGTATTTTTACCTATCAGTACAACAGAAATCTTCTGCCTTAGATGCTGTTTTCTGTCTCCCACTCTCTCTGTCCTGGCTGTAAAGTGTACCCTGAGCAAAAGAATCCCCCCAAAGACCATCTGCTGGACTCAACTGCCCTTTGACTGTTTGGAGCTGCATCTCCACAGCAAAGCTAATCACTGACCAACCTGATCAACCCAGTGGAGAGGTCTCAGCATGGTCACACAATTAGGGATGGTGTGGATAAATAAAAACATGATCTGTTTCAAGTTCCTTTTCAAACAAAACCAACCCCACTGACACAGCCCCACAGAAGAACTCAGGGTTAATTCCACTAAGTTTAACATTACTTCCCATCTAACACACAGAAAATTATACTCAGTTTGGAAAAAAAAAGAACCCCACCTCTACATTAATTAACCTCTCTTCTCCCTTATGCACTACACTTGGTTATTGCTTTGTGTTCACAGCCACAAACTGATTTTCTCTCCTGAGCCCTAAAGGCTTCCTCCACATGGATTGAAAAATCAAGCCCGGGCACAACTGGAGGAAAATTAAACAGCATTCCTATGTTTCAAAGAAAATGGTAAAAATCCTCTTACTACACAAAGAAGAGGGAATCTGTTCCACACAGGTTTCACCCTGGTCTTTTGACACTTACAAATATTCATGTTGTGAAGCAGATGGTTTTCCTGGCACGTCTTGGGGTTTCCCTGAGAATTCGGTTTCTACTTGTTCCTTATGTGCTTGCCTCAGGAGCTCAGCCATGGATACCTCTGCCTCACTCCTGGGAGTACTGTCCTGAAAAGGAGAATAACTGGCAGACACTTCTTCCTCGGAGACGAGCGGAGGGTGTTCGGTTGGTTCACTGTCTTTTGATATTCTGTGGTGTTCCTGCTTGTGTCTCGAGCTGTACACTTCTTCTTGCAGTGCAGAAAACCCTTCGAAAACACACAGAGGAGAAATGGCATTACAAGAATGCAGGAACTCCCTCTTGTGCTCCATGTGCATTTAAAATCCTGCATGGAACACATGACCTGGAATTCTTAAACATCTTCAGTGGCATAACATAGGGACATAACCTCTCTAAATAGCTGAAGTAACAATGGGTTACCAGTCCTATGGCCAAATTTGGACAGTAACGGACAAAATAAAGTTTACCCAGAAATTTAGCTAATTTAATTAATCTTGAAATCCTCAAAGTATGCAAGCAGATTCCCAGCAGGGATTTGGTACAAGAACTAGCTCATTTATGTGCTTCAAAGCATACAAACACATTCACTCATCCCCAACCCCTAATCTCAAAGCAGTATTAAGCACATAGAAGAATCACTACTGTATTTACATAATTTGAAAGTGCTTCTTCAGTTTACAGTCAATGACCTAATCCATCAAACTTTTACACTTAAGGAATGGAATCACATCCTAGCAGAATAAAAATACCCTGGATTCTTGAATCCAAAGGTTTTGTCAAAGCACAGAGTAGTTTTCCTTTTATAAATCTCCATCAGATCCTAATACAACCTTCTGAATCATCATGAAAGTACCTGTCTGAGCAAAAGAACCCCAACAAACTGGGCAAAATTCTCTGAGCACATTATTTGCTTGCTAAGAATCAGTTAAGGCGCAGACCTTATCCCTGGTGAGACAGTGCAACGCCAGGCTTGCATTCATCCATACTATCCATGCTCAAACATTTCCAAGCAGAAGCTTCTGCAAACTGGCTGAGCAGCCACTTACCTTCGCTGTGGTCCAGTCCTATGGACTGTTCCATCTCCGGGTAGGTGCGGGTGCCGTGGACCTGCATGGAGTCAATGCCGCTGGTCTCCATGAGGTGAACGATATCCATCCGGTTGATTTTCGTAAGACACTGGGTAAGGTTTGTATCTGTGGCATCAGAACAACACCGTGGGGCTCAGTTAAGAATTACACGTGGTCTCTCCCTTCTGCTTTCCACATGAAAGGCATCATGGGATACTGACCAATATACCATCATATATAAATTACAGATGCATTTAGAAGCATTGCCAGGTAAAATCCAAAAAGAACTGAGCGGCTGCCTATATCAATTGATTTTTCCTTTAACAATTTTTCCACGTTATATAGATAAGACTAGAAATAGCACTAAGTACAACCTGTGGCCATTCTCTCCATAGCCAAAATATTGCCCAAATTTTCTCTTTGTGATTACAATACACCTGCCACCTCACATAGCAAATAGGAGCCAGTTACACGCCAAATGGAGACAAACCTGTTGCGTGTTTCCCATCCCTTTCAAGCCAGTACTTGAGGAGTGCGTGGCTCTGGTCTTGAAGTGAATTGGGATTTTCAATTCGGATCTGGTGAATTTGCTCTTCTGTGAAATCCAGTTCTCTTGCTAGCTCTGAAAAAGAAATCCACCTCTGTAAAGGGGTCATGTACTTCTCCCCTGGACTCATTTCATTTATAGAAAAGCAAATGTCTATGAGTTACAGTTGAACCCCAAAACCTGAAAAAAATATTAAAGTAATGTATTTCTGATGAACAAAAACCAACCACTATTTCACTCTCCACAGTAACATCTGACAAAGTGATTTTTTTTTGGAAGGAATCTTTACCATAATTAAAAAAAGAGGAATATTTATGGAGGTCTATAACCAGCCCTCCCTAAAAGGTTACAGAAGATTACTGTCTATTTTGACAAGCATCCACTTTTTCCAGTTTTGTTTTCAGAGCTGTCTATTCACTTCTATTAAATTTTCATTGTATTTCTAATCTGTTACATTGCACAGGTCCAAGTCCTACTGATTTCAAGATAAATCCATGTTGGGATGAGTGACACATGCTCCCAGTTACTCTACGGATTGAAGCAGAGGACAGGAAAGAAGGAGGTGAGCAACACAAGCAAAAAAGTATCAGTGATGTTTTGCATGTACTCTGAGGACACTTCTACAAATAGTATAGAACATAACCTTAATTATCAAAGAACTAAAATGTTTTTTCCTGGTATACAGCTCTTCCTTAACTCCTAGAGCGTGGTTTATTTTCAGGAGTCTGATACTGCTCTAGTAAGAGATACAAAAAAAGTGTGTACCTGACATAATTTTTTGCACCTTTTTTTTTGTCACACTGCACAGTTTGACACAGCACAGAGATTTCTGCACAGCTCCTCTTTGTAAGAGCCTTGGAGCTGATTTTCAGTGATATCTGCAGGTCATTCCGTGCTACTTTCATTTGTCTATTCACTACTTATAGAAATATTTCTATAAAACATTTTTTAGATAATCAAGAAATCATCCAAAAGAAACAAGAAAAGAGTGTGGACCCTCCTTTTCCTCCTGAGCAGAGGACGTGCATTTTACCTGTCCAGCTGAATCCAAGATGATCAGCGATGTGGGCCAGTCTTTCCTCTGTCCTTTCCTGATCATCCTGTTGATCTGAAGGTCAAAGAGAGCCACAAGTTGCCTTTTACAAGTCAAAAACCGTTTCCACAGGTGATACAGCCCACGAAGGGAAGGTGCTGTTTTTTCTAACTGCTGTGTCTAAATGTGGACAGGCTGCATAACTAAAGCGAGGACTGTAAATCCTCAGGTAAAAAAATAAAACCAAAAAGCTTGATTTTTTTTTTTTTTTTTTAAAGCACAGGACTATCTATATTTTCCATTTGAAAATCAGGCTTTCCAGTGAAAAATCTAAGGCAGGACTGAAGCGCCTACTGTGTCTATTTAGGCCAAGCACTTTATTCTAAAACTTCATTCTAACATTAAATTGAAGGCTTTGTCTAGGTCGAGAGCCATAATTTTCCATGCCTCCTTAGTAAATGCCAGGGTTGAAGAATTCATCGGGACCGGTGCTTCTGATTATGTTCTTTCTGTAGTAGGGAAAGTTCTGTTCAAACAGTCCATACAGCACTTTGGAATACGGTCTGTATTTGAGACATTGTTAATTGAAGTGGCTTTGACCCTTTAGACCAGGGAGTGAGACAAAATACTCACAACGAAGGCAAGGAAAAATCAGGTGGTCATTCATCAGTCTTCATTTATTTCGCTAAGGGTGAGACTGACGGTTCCTCCCATCCTCAAAGCTAATTTGAGGATGGCAGAGTTTGAGTTTTGATTTTCCCTGAATGCACACACAGGATGTGACACCTCAGGATCAGGACATTGCTTAGGGTTCACGATACATGCACGTGTCATTTCAGCTCCCAGATTTCCAGCAGGAGTACACAAGTAGGCGAGAGGAAAACCAAACACCAGAAAACTTGTACTAAAATTACCAGTGACTCAGAGCTTTTTTGACACAGATTGTCAAAAAAAGGAACGTAAAAAGCTTAATTCTTTAAAACTTCTGTGGATCTCTCTGTGTAAAAACTCAAAAGAATATAAATTTGCCTGTCTTGCTGCCCGAACATGTTATTATTAGTAGAAGTTAATAGTTAGTAACAGGGCCAGGGAAAGTCAAAAGCCAAAACGTGCATGACCTAAGCAATTGCTTTAATGGCAAAACAATACATATTTTTAGAAGTGTTTTTGTTTCTTAAGGTAACACTTCCCATAAGCACTTATGGTTTGCAATCTTGAGATCGGTTCACAGACAACAACACAGACACAACACAAAAAAACCAAACACGGCTCACAGGGGGGGAAAAAAAAAAAGCACAACCAACCACCAAAAGCTGAAAAGAAAATGCCACACGCGTTACACCAGCACACAAACACACACGCACACACACACACCAAAGGAAACAGAAAACAAAAAAGTTTAATTCATGACATGCGTCGCACAGGGAATCCCAGTCGTTGGCAAATACCTTCAGCATGGTCATGGACATTTTCGTCAGGGATACGTTCAATCTGAGTCTCTACAGACTCATCCCAAATGGGTCTGATGTCAAAGATGTCTTCAGGAACTGACTGCTGAGTCTCACTGGATGGCACATTTTCAATAACTGAAACTTCTAGGGCGCTACTGCTTTCATCATCTGAAACTAATTCTTGTTCTCTCTCTGACTGCGTGAGTCTTTCCACTAATTTAGAAGCTTCATCACTAATTTCTTCAAAGAACTCTATGGAGTTTTTGTAAAGATCAAAAAAATGGTCCTTACTTTCTTTTGTGGGACTAAAAGCACCGCGGGAGCCTGTAGTGCTTCTGTTTTTAACTGGCAACCGTGATGAAAATACCTTCGATCTTGCTGTTGCTGCCTCATCTGAGTCTAGCTCAAACTTCATCTCGCTCTCCCTCTCTCTGGTCTCTGCTTCTGCCTCAGCATAACTCCTAGCTTTGATTGAACGCTTAGCCTTTGGGTCCACGGGACTACTCGCGTCAGATTCCGATTTACTCCGGTTATCTTGTTTCGTAGGTACAGTGCTCGTCACGTCGAGAGCTTTGGGCGACTCCGGCTTGCGGGCAGACGTATCTGTGCCAGTGTATTGCGGTTCAGCTTTTTGGGAAGCGGATTTGATGGGAATTTTAGACTTTGGTTTTGCTTGTTCATCTTTTCCTTCACACTGCGAGCTGTCTAGGAAGTCGTCCGGGGAAAGGCTCTCGTTTTCTGACTGTTGCGAGGACTGCGATGCGGCGGCAGCTGTTCGGACAGGGATTTTGGATTTGCTTTCACAAGAAGGCACGCTCTCCATTAGAGCAGTGGGGATTTCAATCACAGATCTCTGTTCCTCTGGGGAAGAGTCCGGGGACTCCTCGCCCTGTTCAGAACTAACCGATCTGGTGACTTTGGAAAAAACTAATTCATCTTCTACAGCACACTGCTCAGGAGAGATGGGGCAAGGCACCTGACTGCTATCAACCGTGTCGGTCTCTGTTCTGGAGAGGGGCTCAGCTTCAGAGGCAGCAGTTTCTTTCTTTGGTGATTTTGAAGAAGCTGAAATACCCATTTTAATTGGAATTCTGGATTTAAGATCTGCTTTTGAGGTGCCTGTGCTGACACCTTCACCTGTCATTTCTTCTGATTTATCACTAGACTCGGGTGATGGGGGTGAATATTTCACTGTGTCTTTTTCTGGTATATCTGACTCCTCTGATTCTGAAGGTGCAAATGGGTTCAGTGAGCCCTCCAGCTTCGAAAATTCCTCCTCTGCTGCTTCTTTCACTTCTTCAGATAATGAAACTTCTTCCTGAGGCTCCTGCCCACCCTGGAAGAAGTGGAAGCTTTCATCTGGGTAGTTCCTTTTGGTCATGTCAATGGCTCCACTTCTAGTCATCTCAAACAACTTGCCTTCCTGAAAAAGAAAAGGATTTTGCTCACTGAGTGGTGTCCCTTCTTCGGTGGGTGTCCTGGCCGGTGTCGTGTCAGGGGTTGTGCCTTGCGATCGCCTGTCTACCATCAACCCAAATATCTTTTGTTCCTCTTCCTTCACCCGAGCTTCAAAAGCTTCATCGTCTTCACGTATTTCGCTCCACATGTCAGAATCCACATCGGTTCTAGTGATGACAACGTGACCCATCAATTTCTCCGTTTCATCTCTTATATCCTCAAGGGCAGATTCAGCCAATTGTGTGGAATCTGAGGACAAAGACCCTTGTGACACTGTCCGAAATCCATCCTCTGGCTTGGGCTCTATTTCCATATACACTTCCTCTGAAGAGCAATACTCACTGCCTGTGTCTCTGCTAAGTAAAGTTTCACCCATCTGATCTTTCCCTTCTGCAACAGAACAGGTTTCCCTAGAGAGCGGACTTCTGCCAGATCCTACCTCACTTTCAGAGTCAATAAAGAAATGTCCAGAAGACACATTTTCATAAGGGCTCACTATATATGGAGCACTACTGTCAGTGGCATCTGCTACACAACTGTCAAGTTCCACTGTTTCAGTGGTAAGGGATGAATACTCTGGTAAGGGTTCCTCAGCAGGACTATCTCTTTGAGATGTTTCAAAACCTGCATCTACTTTTCCCAAATCCCTTCCCAAAGCAGAATGGTCAGTGGTATCATCTTCAGCCAGTTCGCCATCTCGTGGTACGGAGTACTGGGTGGTACCATGCCCACAAGAAAGGCCACCTGCCTTCTCTGACACAGCTCCTGTAGAAATGAGATCTCTGTGTGTTAACGATGCTGTGGGTTTGACATCTTTTTCAGTAGCCTCGTATTGCTCGAGTGTTAATGAAGAGTCAGTGTGAACTTCTTTTTGAGGACTGTCATCAACGGAGTGACAGAGAGCACCCCCAGGTTGTGTGACTGGGGCATCGGGACTGACTGCCTCACAGTCACCTGTCCCGCCACAGCATTTAGATTCAGCACAACCATCGGAATGACAAGTGCCTGACTCTCCTGTAGAAACCTTACAGCTGTGCCCAAGGACAAGCGGTTCCTCTTTGTCACCTTTGCCTTCTGCTTTAACCGCACCTATCCCGACAGAGCATTGCTGGGAATCAATGGGTTGGAAACCTGCTTCGTCGGGGCTGGAGCTGGAGTCCACACTGCATGGTAAAGGTGAGGGTGGCTGCACTCGGATCACAGGCTCCATTAAGAGGCCTGAGTCGGCTTCTTTTTTGAGCCGAGTCAATTCTGGTTCGCTTTCTGAAGAGGAAGAGCTTTTCCTAGATTCAGCTGCAGGTGTAACTACTGTAGGTACATCTTTTTCTACTACAGCCCTTGGTTCTGATGCTTCAGTTTCACATGTTGCTTCTGAACTGGCAGCTACAGAAGATTCATCCTGCTTACGATTCTTCTTGTAATCTCTCTTCTGCTTTGCTTCTTGTTCCAATTCATCAAACATTTTGATTTTGGTCACCATTTTAAACATCTCCTCTTCGGGGGTGAATCTCTTCTTAGGTTCGCTTTCTGAGTCATCCTCTGGCTCTTCGTTGACTTCAGGGATCGTGGCCGACTTTGGTATGTTTGACAGTGACTGCAAGTCTGCCGTTTTAGGTGTGATTTCATAGCTAATTTCTTCTGAACTAGGAGTCTCGGGTGAAACGGGACTTTTCCCCGAACTCTCCATGAGCGATGTTTGCTCTAGACTGTCATCATCGGCACTTCCCTCGGGGTCACGGAGAATCCTGGAACGCACCGATGCCAGCTCTGGGCAGCCTTCTCCTTTGCTAAGAACTGGCTGCAGAGGACCCTGCCCCAAAATACAAGCCTTCACTGTTGGTTCTACGGGGCTGCTTTCAAGGGAATCACGGCAGGGAGACTCTTTCATAGGACTGGGCTCCAAAGAGTCGGGTGTTTTGTGTGATGAGTTATCTTCTAGCACTGGGCTTCCTTCCAGGGAGTCTTTATGACTTATAGTCAAAGAGTCATCTGCAACTGGGCTAAAGCTTTCACTATCATGGCTAGCAAGTGAAAGTTCCAATTTCTGGGGACTTCTAACCGCAACACGGCGTTCACAGGTTATAGCTTTTTCTTTCTCTAAAGCAGTGTCATGTGTTTCAGAAGACTTAGTGAAATGTGCAGTGGTTCTGGATTCTTTATCCCTGCTAATATCTTTCATAATGGAAGCTGAGCTACTTCCTTTATCAGCCTCTTCTTCAGAGGCTGTAGGTACACGCTCTTCTGATACATGGTCAGAATGAGACTTACTAGTCTCAGTAACAGCATCTAGCTGCCTCTCAGTAATACCTTTTTCATCTTCCTTTGAGGAGACTTCCTTTGGAGAGCACGTTTCAGCTGTTGTATGTGCTTTAGCCGCTCCTTTAGCTTCCTCAGTTGGCCCATCAGTTTTCTTTGGTGAGAATGAAAGGCTTTCTGGGCTTGTTTCTGGAGTCTCTGCCAGACCCTCATGTTTGTAACTTTCCTCAGAGCTGATCTGAGGGGTTCCATCGAGTAGACTGCCAGGAGAGTCAGCCACACCTTCGTGTTTAAGGCTCTCTGAGCTCCCATCAAAAGCACCACTTTGCAGAGAAAGAGCAGGAAGGAATCCATCTTTCCCATCCTCTGTGGGAAAAGCAACACCGAAAGGACTGGTCAGTACTTGCTCCAAGTTAAGTTCTCCCTCCTCTGTCACTGAGAGGTGTCGGAACTGCTGGTATTTGTCATTATCCTCCAGTTCTTCTTTAATGACGTCAGAAAAGTCCGTTGAGGTTTTCCTGTCAGGGCTGATCTGGAAGTCAGGATCTCCCTGATCATCAGAAGGCCTGCCCTTCCCAGATGTCGTTTCTTTGGCACTCACATCAATTACTACAGGAGGGAGAGGTTCCGTTGGCTTTTTGCTGCTCTGCTCTTTCGCCTGGTCTTTACCACCAGCTTTCTTGGTGGTTTCAGTGCTAGTAACTGGTGTTTTTCCTTTTTTGGGTTGTGGCTCTTTCTCTGCCTTTGATACCGGGCTTGGTTTGTCCTTCTGTTTGTCTGTCTTGAGGCTTGTTACTCGCCTCGCTTCGCTCTGTGAAGGAGTTGTTTTCCTCCGCGTTGTTTCCTTCTCGGGGGCCTGTTGCTTCTGTTTGATGGACTTGTGCTCAAACAGGCCAGACACATTCTTGGATGGGTCCTGCCCTGACTGGAAGGCTTTCATCAGCTCACGAACTGACATGGTCTCTTCGAGTCTCTCAGTCTTAGAAGAAGGCGAGACGGGCGGTTGGGCTTTGTGTGCTACCGGTTTTTTGACTTGTGCTGGTTTCTTAGGTGCCTTCTCGGCAGGGCTTTCTTTTGCTTGAACTCTGACAGGTAGTTTGGACCGTACTTTTTGCTCGTCTTCCACTCGTTTCTGAAGAGCTTTCACTTTATCTTTTATGGAGCCAATGGGAGTGTCCTCTATAACAGGGGACACGGCTTTAGCCTCCGGAGCAGCTGTCACCTTTAGGCCGGGTTCCCCGCCCTGCGACTCGTCTGCAGTGAGCTTTGGTAGTCTCAGTTTTTCTCCGCTGCTCTGTGCCTTGCCTTCCTTTGGCTTTGGCTTCTCTTTTAATTTTGTCCTAACAGGTTTTTTAACTTCTGAGGCCGCCTTCTGTTGCTCCTTTCCACTTTTTGGAGATTCTTTTCCTCCTTTTTCAGAATCCCTGCTTATTACTACAGCTTCAACCTTCTCTTCTGCTACGTCCTCTTGTAAGGCTTGTGGCCGTACCTCATGAGGAGAAACGTGTGGTTTTACATCCTTTCCCTTTCCTTTTGTGTCTCGCTCCCCCTTTTTTGCTGTCCCTTTGTCTACCCTGACATCTACACCGGTCGACTCCATGACTTCTGAGGGAGCATTTCTTCTGGCCTCTTCAATTTCCTCATCGCTGACAATGATCCATTCTTCTTCTACGGGCTCTTGTTTGGAAATGGACTCGTGCAAAACATGTTCTTCTCTGGTATAGGATCCCCCTCTCAGAATTTCATTTACTTTTTCTAAGTCCTCTTTCACTCTTTCAACTATTTCGAAAGGCTCTCCTGGCTCTTCCTCAGCAGCTTTTCCAAGATCTTTCACTTTAATGGAGCCTGATTTATCAGAAGGGTCAGTTGTCAGGATGGCAGTCATTTTGATCAAATCTTGTTTCATCTCTGAAACTTCAGACAACAGGTCTGGACTGGCTAGTACAGGGACTTCATTAACCAGATGGCTTTTCAGGATAGATGTTTCTGTAGACTCTGTCTCGTCATCTTTGATGCGAATGAAAAACATTGAAAGTAAAGTGGAAATCAAAAATAGAGATTGGAAAATGTAATCAGGACTGAAAATGACAGTCTTTGGTTGCAGTGGTGGGAAGGTCAACAAAATGGGCCGGGAATGATGAATCCACAAGATCTGAGGGTACAAGTGCAAAGCAAAGCTAACGGGGGTGGGGGGAAAACCCAACTGAAAAGGAAAATGGCAGGAAATAACTTGCTTCACTTTATCGCTAGAGCACAACCACACATACAGTATCCAAGCTGGAACAAACCAAATCAGGACACCACTAAAAAGAAACCAAAACAACAACAACGAAATTTAAAAACCAAAACCAGAAGGAACACAGTGAAGTTACACAAAGAGAGGCATCTCAAGATTGTTCAGATGTTACAGATCAATGTTCAAATAAAAAGAAAAACAAGAAAAAAGGGGGAAAGCATTAGAACTGATTGAAAGTCGATTTCCTCTAAGAGAAAGCCAGTGTTAGCAAACTGTCAGAGTAACGTCGGGTTAACGGTTTTGTTTTTCTGAATGACCAAAATAAAAAGTGAAAAGTAATTCTGCAGTAATCTAAAATATGACCAAATACGGAGAGATCTGAATCAGCTGCAAACCGGCATTTCATCTAAGGGGATTTCACACCTACACAATGAAACAAACAGTCTTTTGTTTTAAGAGGCATGGTCCTTTCCTTGGAACATCCTCATTGACAACTAATGAACTGACCGAGGAAAGAGAGGACAGAGAAGAAAAGGAGAGAGAATAGGAAAAAACTGTGAATCAACTTAGAAGTGATTTCAGAGTTTTAAAAAATGTAATGTATGGCAACCCAAAATCAGAGACAGTCACACTAGACACATACGTACAATTCATGTAAGGCAAGTTATTTCCATGCAAAGCAAAGGTGTTGCAAATGCTGCTGGGGATGTTGTAGCTTCGGTTAAAAAAACAAGAGCTCTAAAAACTAATCATATCAATTAAAGGTACAGGAGAATCTTGTAAAACATACTGTGGTGAAATATTTGTCTAATCTGACAATCGAGATACAGGAAGCTGACTGCAGTGAATTCCCATTGTGCCACAACTGCCTGCTGGGAATGTTCTGTTTCAGCAAGGACTAGCAGAAAATGGCTATTGAGCAGAATGAAACAGTGGAGGACTGAAGCAAGTTACAAACAGAACACAATGCTTAGGAATTACAACTGGACATTTCCCCTTTAAAGGTGGTAGCACGTCACATGGAACTGCACATTTCGGCACTGCAGACTTAAAGCCAAAGCGCTGGTGCAAATAAGGAGAACCTCAGCAATATATCATAAGTAGCTGTATTTATCTGTAAAAAACCAGCTGGTTTGCTGCGCTGTTCTCCTGGGTGTAACAAATGCTAGATGTCTGCACTGTACATTAACTACAACCAGATCGATGTGGGCTATTTTGGTGCTGAAAATGTGGCCTTTTGGTGCTGCTGTTTTGGTGTCAACTGTCCAGTGCACACTGAAATGCTGGTCAGTAACTTCACAGACTTGCAGGATACATTTTCATAAATACCAAATGCATGAGTGTCCCACCGGCCAAAGAAGGAAGTGAATTAGCCTGAAGCAAAGTAGCTCCTGTGGGAAATAAAGGGCTCCTCTGTGGCTGGGGGAGCTGGCAGTGAGGAAGCAGTGGTGGAACAATGCAAGACACGGCACTTTAACTGGAAACAAGACAGATGTCATTCTCTCCCTAAACAGATCCAAGAAATGGCTCATTTGGAAGCAGCTCTCATTAGAGACTCTATTCAGTCTGTGGAATTGTTTAATTTGCACCTTCTCCAAAGGAGATCTTAGTGACCCCCCTCGCCCTCAGTTTCTGACAGTATTGGCCTGATTTTGGAGGTACAAGGGGTACACACGCTGTGCCAAGCTTCAATGTCATATTTCCAGCCATATTTCACCACAGTACAGGGCAGGGAAGGGTTAAACAGCCTGTTAATTTGGACAGTATCACTTTTTGGCACGCTTGTATTCCACGAGGTCAATGAAATACAGGGGAGCCTTCACTAAGTTTTCCTGAAAAGTGATACTGTCGTCTGTCTCAAGTATGAGGCAGGAATGGGTGTCAACAAGCGGAGAAAACAAAAAAAGAATGGAGGGATGAGCATCCATACAAGCAAAATAGCAATAGCGGGATCACTAGGGATGTCGAAGGAAAGTAAATGCTTAGATGAACGGTTTTAAATTGTTAATTTATATGTTAAATGTATTTAATTGGATAGTTGCTTTGATATTAAATTGTTTTCTATTAAAGTATTGATGTTATTAGCAATAGCAGTTAAACCTTAGCTCACTTTCATGCTTATGTTTATTCTTAACCATCTTTCATACAAACTGCATTATAACACTTTCAGGTCAAAAAAAAAGAAAATCTTACTTTTTTCTGATGTCATGTCAACCTGGAAGGGAAAAAGGGGAAATTTAAAAGTTGAAATCAAACTGAAATGCAGAAGTCACTCATGAAGTTAAATCTACTAGATGTATGGAGACACACAAATTCATGCACTTATGAAGTGGAGCCAAGAATGTATTTCAGGCAACAGTAAAAGCATGGCTTAATTTCTTTAGTGAAAGAAAATATCATCCTTGCCAAAAAAACCCACATGAAACAAAATGCACTGTCAGACTATGAAAATTCAAGAAGTAGATTTTTGAGGTTGCCTTGTGATTTGAATTTATTTCAGTTCTGTCAGCATTTGTCCACACAAGTACATGGTGGGTGAATCTTGCCATGCAAAAGTACCCCAAGGTAGAAGTAGCATTAAATGTTTCATTTCCTGTACAAACTTGTGGTGGGGGTAGGATGACTGTGGGGAATGCAAATCAAGCTGTGCAGTACTGCTGGTACAAGATATCATGTGTGTTCAGGCCCCCAAGTTTTTTAGTGGGTGCTGAAAATGCTGTACTTGCTTGAAAATATTCTTTTAAAAGAATATAAAATATAGGCTCAGTTATGATATGAGTAAATCCTTGCTTTTCCATAAACTGGCAATGAACAGAAGTAAATCACTGGCCACAGGTGCATATCTGTACATGCCTTGCAATGCTTTGGGCTCACATAGTTAAATTTTACACTCAGCAGTGTGCGTTATGGATCCATAATAGCCTGAATTCCTCTGATGTACAGATCACCCTACACGGTAACCTGGGATCCTTTAATTCCCCTTACTTTATGTTCTTCCAGATCAGCATTATGTCAGCATACTAATAAATATTATTAGCATAAAAATAATGAAATCAACAAAAAATAATTTAAAATGGGAGGTGGTTTTAGCCACCAATGAGCTTGTCCTTTTGTGCTTTAGTTGCTTATACACAAACAGAAGAAGTCATATTTACCATAGGAGTGGTAAATATCTCTGTAACTATAATAGGAAACTGCAATCCAGCTGAACATCACCAAAATGTGGGGATGCTTTTCTAATGTTACCCATTCACGCAGGGGTCAAACCTTAAGGAACATTCCTAACTGCCAGATGAGGGCTGGGAGCACAGGGTGGGGTTGGTGCCATCTAGTTTATGCCAAAGATGAAAAATTAACACTGACTTTGTGCTGGATTTCAGAAACCTCCAGTCTATTGGATGTTATAAATGCAGAAGATCTCTAATTTTGACACAGGGCAGGTTAAACTCTGTACATTCCAAAAGTGAGCCTGTACAAGAGCCTTTAATTGCACTCCTCCTTGTTGTGTTTGTAGAACTGAGCTGAGGATGAATGTGTCTGTTTTACTACAGATTTAATCTTCCAAGTTGTGTCTGCTAGTTGTGTTTGAGTGGTGTGAGTAGGCATGAACATGCTGATTTAGCAACATTACCTCTTCTGGTTCTTGATCTGAATCTGATTCCTTTCAGTTCCAAATTGCCATGCGAAAAGAAAAGGGGAAAACAACAGGCAAAATGCAATTTTTTTAGAAGAGAGTGGGAAAAAGTAACTTCTGACAACATTTAACAGAGAAGACCAAAATGCAGAACATTTCTGCAGTTGATTTCTTACGTCAAAAAGCAGCAAAACTGAACGGTCAGTTTAAAACACAAAAGGCTACAGAACCGAGCAAAATACGAACAGAAAAGTTGCTTCTGGGTGTTAGACTTCTAGTGATCCTTATTTGTATCAAAACTTGCAATATATACACACTTTTTCTCTATAAATTAGCATGAATAAATACTCAAAATAGTTAAGAACATGACCCATTGGAAGTTAAAAATATGTTGAGATCTGCTGTTTTAAAATTACACAAAAATGCTATACTAAAGATCATATTATATTCTAAAGATGCTGAGGAAAAAATGAACAAAACATGCAAGATTTGGGGCAAACAGCCTTGTGCATCCCTGAAAGGCATGCAGCTGCTAATGTGACCAGCACAAAAAAACCCTCCCTATGTTTCCCCAGAATAAATATAAACTGAGTCTTTCTAAGTAAACAAGTGTTTAATATCTGATCTTGTTTAAACAGAATCAAGGGCACTCCCACTCATCTCTTCTGAGTCCTCAGAAAAAACCTGATAACACCTCCAAACACTGGCACTAGAAGTACCAAACCCAAGAGGCTGGAAGCCCTTGGGTGGAATTTATTCCTCTTTAAAATCCCTGACCACAAAACTTTCACCATGTTTTGCCCTCCTCCTTTCTTGTTTGTATTATAAATGCTGATGACTAGAGATCAGTGTAATTTCACAGTACCTTTGTGTAAATGGGTAAAGTGATGTTTAAATTACATATGGCTTGGTGAACGAGGCCTCTTGTAGATTTTGGCTCCTTCATGAAAGATAATCGTCCACAGGGTTCTTGAGTGGTATCTCGCACCTGCCAGAGCAAAACCACATCTTTTTAGATGGAATACTACAGGGGTAACATCAGGTTATACAGTTGGGAATTCAGCTAAATTGATTTTTTTTTTCCTTTGTTAGCAAAAATATGGTGAAACAATAACTTGAAATATCCAAAAAAGGAGCCATTAACATTACCTTAACAAACAGAGGAAGTCTATTCTCTTTGAAGGCAAAAAAGCTGAATATATGATGTTGCCCACTCTTTGTGAGAGGCACCAAATTGCCAAAGCAGTCAACATAGATGGGTTTTCCTTCTAATACCTGTTGGAAAAGGATAAAGTAGCAAAGCAGCAATTAATCACAGGGAGGTGGTTAGGACTTCTCCTTAAAGACGGAATCACAGTCAGAGAAGTATTTTCTTCAGCAATCAAATCACAAGTCAAAAGCAGTGTATATCAGCAGATTTCTATTTGTTTCAGATTGATTGGTAAAGGTCTAGGGTTTTTCAAAGTCAGGCCTCAGGTAAATACCTCTCTGAAATCCCTATATAGTGGTAGTGTTGCTACATCTTCAGATTGTGCTGTTATGGCCCCCTCATGTGTTTAAATAACAGATTAGCAGTTTGGGAGATGTTCCCTTCAACCTGACAATACACTAATATCTCATCTTTACTTCCCAGAAATTCAGCCTTGGCGGCTTGATAACCCTTATTTTATCCACCTGCTGTGCACAAGAAATTCCTGTCACAGCTTCAGGAACAGCGAGGGTGTGGGATTCTCATGGAAAAGAGGCTGAACGAAGCAGAAGAATGTGCCATGCCTGTAAGTTAAAGCACTTCCAATCTGTTATCCTTTCTGAGGAAGCTGACAGAGCCAGAAAAACTGCATTTAGCAGGCAGTTTCCTGGAAAGCTTTTGCCTGTTCAGCAGCAGATTTAATTTTATTTTTGCAAAGCAGAATATTAATCAAACTTGCTACTTCAACTTCTTGGTACGTAAAGGTGCTGACAAAACATGACTACTGTCAGCTGCCTTTTTGGTTAGTGACATGCATTTAGGAGTTACTGGAAATTGGGATTTACCTGTGCTTTTGGGCTCTGACTGTCCCCCCTTAGCTGCCTATTGGGAATAGGGTTTCATCACTACTTTTCCCTTATATCTGACTAAAGTCCAAGTTTCCATCTTATCACTCAGTTGATACTGCCTCATGACAGTAGTTGTTGGCAGTTATTTTGCAGTACTTGTGGCAGACAATATTAGTTTAAAAGCAGACACAAGAAAATGGAGAAAAGAGAGTCCTGTACAGTACCTCTACGTCCCTGCTTCTGGCAACTTCAGCAAAGTTTTCTTGTTGCTCTAGAGTTTTATCCACCTTGTCGTCCGTCATGCAGAAACACCTTAACCGTGCTTCGATGGGATCGTGGGATTTGGCAAACACCACAAATTTGGCCATGTAGGGGACACAGATAATCTCTCTGTACACTTGGGAAGCAAAAGTAACAGATTCTTGTGTCTGTCGACAGTCTATCAACCAAAATCTGTAAAAGAAAAGGAAGAGTCGGGTAATCAGCACAGAAAGATTTAAGAAAGGAAATTATATGTTTGCCCAGCAACTGTAGATAACAAGTCACAAGAAAGAACTGTTATGCTTGTTTTTTGTCCACCATCGAACTTAAAGGATAAAAGCACACTCCTTATATACAATATCAAAACCTGGAGGTCTTTAGCTCAATGTAAATGATTTCATCCTGAATGCAAAGTCAGAAATTACTCTCATGTGAATTTAATCACCAACTATTTTCCAGGGAGTAACATGTGCTGCCTGCTTTCCCAGCCATCACTCTGGTTTCTCTGCGGAGCTGATGACATTTCTGCTCCGTAAAATCCACTGTGTGGGTGGAAATCATGCTCGAGTTTCATACCCGTAGGATGGAGACGGAAGTTGGGAGAGGTCAAAGACAGCTCAAAAGCTGACATAATCTACAGGGGGCTTATTCCTTACTGTGGATTACACGGCATTAGGACCCCAAAGCACACCTTCTCAGCGTGACTGCTCTGGGCTTACTCATCTGCAGCTGAATAACAGCGAATTTTGTGCTGTGCTGCTCTTTAGAACATTTAACAAACACACTGGTCAAAAAAACAGGCTGATGACATTTGGAGGAGAGAAAGCATGTGTGGTACAGAGAGGCTTTGCACACTGATACTTTCCTTTTCCTGTGTGGGAGAACTATGCAGTGCTGGACTCAAACTGGAGAGGCTGCATCCTCTGAGAAACCACCAGATGCCTCAATGATTTGCTGTCATACACCAGGGGCTAAAAAGCCCAAACAGAGACAATTTTTTAAAAAGCTGCAGCTCAGGAAATGGAAAACAACAGCCATGCCTCCAAGTCTGCAGTGTGATTCACATGACAAATATATCTCTTTCCCAAGCTCACTTGGGACAGAGTGAGTCTTATGAATGGGAAAACTGTTGTCCATCAGTAATGATTTAGCTAGACATAAGAAATTACTCTGAATAGCAAATAGTCAGAAATTAGCTGATTCTTGGCACTTTTAGACCAGGGTGCAAGTGAAAAAAGTAAGGTTAGCTTGTAATTATTTCCTTGACAGCAAATATATGAAAAATCCGATTTTCTGACTTTACTAGCACTTAAAGTGAGTTTGAATGGAAGTAATCAGCTGAACATTCATTTCATTTACAAAAAAGAGGCAGAACCCATTAAAATCTCTACATGGGACCCTGCCTATATCACAGAACATTAACAACAGTAATCAATTTTCCTGTCATCATCGGGATTTCCACATATGGTTCTTAAATTAACCTCTAATTCAGCTCTAATTTCACCCTTTACACAGACTGCTGAGTAGCAGCTGAGAGCTAAACACACTGTAAGATCTCCCTCTCGTGGTCACTGCTGCTACAGGAAAATGTCTGCCTGAACCAAAAAGGAATGTACATCAGCAAAGCAGCCAGCCTCATGGGAAAAAAAAACCAAAAAACCCTTCCTGAACTGAGAAAGTATAAAAAAATAATACTTTATTTTGTCTAATGTTAAACTGGAGCTTGGGCTGCAAGAGCTGATCTCATTTTAACACTGAATACATTATTTCACCATATAACAAATCTAATCTAACAGTAATAACTGCCCTGGACACCGAAGGTTTGCACTGAATTCACTAAATTTCATGGGCAAGTTATCCAAGATTTTTGTTTGCTAGACTACATTCCCTAAATGGAACACTTTCCAGACCATGGATTGCATCTCCTGTTACAGGAGAGGAGACTTTTGTGCATTTCTGTGATATAAATCCTGGCCAGCATACAAACTAAAATACATAAATACAGATGTTTATTATTATTATTATTATTGTTTATTTATTTATTATTATTTTAATATGAAATTCTGTCTTCAGAGAAAAGACAGGAGGAACAAATGGTTGGAAGAGATGCTCCTACACTCCGGTTTTGTACACCTACAGGTCTTTCTGCCTGACTTCTCAGTTTTCGGATAGTCTGGAAGTAATACCTCTTGTAAGATGTGTAATGAGGCACCCAAACAAAGGATTTCTATTTCCACAGAAATTTGTATAATATTCTCTGTTCCTTCTTCTATATAAACTAAAACAGTTTAAAGGCAATATCTGTTGGAAAAGAAGACATGCACTTGAAAGCATCACTGTAAAACTCATGTCTGGTTGTGTAGGTACCTGGCAGACACATTTGTTGTGAAGGAAACACATTCATTAACAAATGTCAGTGGTGTTGTCCCAGTGATGTCTTCCCACTGGGCAGGGGTGGTTCCTCCTGAAATGAGAGAGATTAAAAAAAATCAAAAAAACATTAAAACCAAGCAAGTCTGCAACTTTTTTGCTTCTAAGAAATATTTTAAATTCTCCTGAGTTTTCAATTGCTGTGAAACCAGTAATAATCCCAGACATGCCTTCTCCTCGGAGCCATGTTATTCCACCAAGGCTGGTGGGACTGGATGCGTTAAATTAAACATGATTAAATTAATTTATTAAATTAAATGCATGCAGCTCATTTCTGCCTCTTAAGTGAGACTAAGTGAGGCACTGGTCACTTTGGAGTTCCAGCAAGCACTAAGTGTTAAAATCCATTAATTTTCACTTCAGTGTAGTGCTACATTAAGTCTGAACTACACTTAGTCTGCCAGGCAGAGCTATGTGGTTGCTCAAGAACCAAACTGTAAGGAAAATGCAAAAAAACCCACCAAACCTGAAGTCTATGATTATATTACACATCTCTCGTTAGTCCAAACACCAAATGTTATTTCTGCTTAAAAATAATTGTTTGGAACGTGGTTCATTTTCACAGCTTCTCACCCCAGCCAGGTTTTCCCCCAGCTTCCCGTGCGTGCAATCAGCTTAACATTTCCAGCCCACGAGGAGCGACAGATCGAAGATGCAGAGGGAAAGCTGCAGCGCTGGCATCCTACCTGTGATGCTGCATAGTAACCTCAGGGTGGGCGTGTCGCCCCCATAGCCATTCATGAGCCCGTCGCTGGAGGCCTTGGGGACGGGGATGGTCATGGTGATGGGTTTATGGAACTTCCTCCGCCGGGGCTCCAGCGTGACTATGGGGCTGAAGGTAGCCTTGTTGCCTAAAATCTTCTTCGTCAGTTCAGTGTGCATGGGTTGAGCCTTTCCAGAGTAACGGAAAAGAACAGAATGGTTACTTAAGGAGTTTGTAAAGAACTGGGTCTGTACATTGTATGTTTTTTTTTTCCCTCTCAGAATAAGCTCTGAGCTGTTTTCATGTGCTATTCAGCCTAGCCCAGGGGATATCAACAAGCACAGTCTCCTGGCCAAGGTAAGCTGGGGATGCAAGCAGCAGGAGGATGAGATGGAGACAGGGGAGACTTCCCTTTCTTTCAAGAGTGAATGGTTAGGCTGGTTACTTCATGCTCAGAATCTGTACATTTGACTTAATTATTGCAGCATTGTTTACTTTTCTGCTGCCTTTCGTAAGTATTTAAGAAACTGTTCTATGACCTACTAAATCATTATCAATATATTATTATTACTACCTCATAATAATCACCACAATTAGATACTTTTCCCAAGATTATATGGACAGTTAACAGACAGGAATCTGAATTAACTGTAAACACCCAAAGCTTTACCACTTGCTTTGACTTTTGCATGGATTTTTTTTTATTATTACTATTTTTACTAGAAGCATTGTAGACAACATGATAAGCTGAACATGCTGCTCTCCATTCACAGAAACACAGAATCAACTAGGTTGGAAAAGACCTGTGAGATCATCTAGTCCAGCTTTGACCCAAAAACCACCTTGTCACCCAGACCATGGCCCTGATGCCACATCCAGTCTCTTCTTAAACACCTCGAGGGGCGGTGACTCCACTCCCACCCTGGGCAGCCCATTCCAGTGTCTGACCACTCTCTCTGTAAAGAAGTTCTTCCTGATGTCCAACCTAAATCTCCCCTGGCAGAGCTTGAGACCATGCCCTGGGCAGCCCATTCCAGTGTCTGACCACTCTCTCTGTAAAGAAGTTCTTCCTGATGTCCAACCTAAATCTCCCCTGGCAGAGCTTGAGACCATGCCCTCTTGTCCTGCTGCTGGTCACCTGGGAAAAGAGGACAATACCCACCTGGCTACAACCTCTTGTCAGGGAGTTGTGGAGAGTGATGAGATCTCCCCTGAGCCTCCTGCTCTCCAGGCTGAACAACCCCAGCTCCCTCAGCCTCTCCTCACAGGACTTGTGCTCCAGACCCTTCACCAGCCTCATTGCCCTTCTTTGGACACCCTCCAGCACCTCAACATCCTTCCTAAACTGAGGGGCCCAGAACTTCAAAGAAGGTGATTTTACACTGAAAACCTTGTGATTGTGGCACTGTACCTGGAGGCCAACGCGGATGCGTTTGGTTAGAGCCCCTTCTGGGAAGACTGCCTGCACTTGTGGCACCACAGTGCTGCTCAGCACCCCTCCCTCGGGCCCGATGAGGTTGCTGTCCTGCTTGATCCGGGACACCACCGCGAAGTACTGAGGGAAATCCCGGGTGATGATGCGGCAGATCCGCTTCTTCTCCAGCTCCTCTGGAGTGTCAAGTACTGGGGGTGGAAGAGGACATGGTCAGAAGACAAGAGTTTCATAGAACCTTCAAAATGCAGTCAAGCTTTTCACAGTTTGATGCAACTTACACAACGTTTTTTTGTCTAGAAATTGAGGGGGAAAAGGAAACACATCCCAGTGTTCAGCTAAACCAAAGAAATCAAGGAAAGGACAGACAGAACAATCAACTGAAGGGGGCTTAAGACAGCCAACAGTATATCTTGACATCTCCAAAATAAACAGCCAAACACGCCAAGGGATTTGTCCAAGCCCCTTTCTACTTCACATATTTAAAATGTCGTGAAGCAGCACAAAGAAAATGAAACTTCAGAACAAAAAACTACCAAAGTATGAGTTCAGCTTTAATTCTGTGAGGTGGTTTGTTTACTCTGGGGTTTGTTTGGGGTTTTTTGTTTAAAAAAATAAAAATCACAAATTCTGCAGCTCCAAGACAGCCCAGGGCCATTCTGTTCTCTCAGAAAGCAAGAGTATCCGTGACTGACATTTCCTCCCACACGTGGGGCTGCTGGGAAAGGATTAGTATGATAATTGCCTTGTTTTGGAAAGATGTTTGCTATGGAAACTTTTTGTTTTACGCTATGAAAAGGAGCAGCAGCAAATACAAGTGTAACACCTCTTCCCAATTTCGTGATGGCAGATGTCTTGTCCCGTGACTTCAGCACACCATGCAAGGGAAGTAAGCAAATGGTCAGAGCTATTAACCCCAGTCAGAGCAGCAATGCAGGAGCGGGATAAAAAACCAAGTGCCCCTGGATACCTTCATCCATCCCATTGAGGATTTCATTCAGCTCATCCTCAGTGTATTCACAGAAATGCTCCTTCCAGCTGTCCCCGTTCTCGCTGCGCAGGATCACCAGCTCCCTCTCCTTCCCACGCAGAGCAGCGAAGTGGGGGATCTCCACAATCACAGGCCTGGCACGGCAACACAGCGCATTAAATGCACACGGGAGAGAGGAAGAGATAGGATTAACAGCAACTCTATTCAGTCTGCTACAAAGTGACCTGGAATTCTACCTATTTGGCTGGAACACTTTGGCACAAATCCTAAACTAGTAGGTCACTAACACGAACTAAATGTTTACAGGGACCCAGTGAGTGCTGGAGGACAGATGAAAAAGTGCATTCACCTCTTTCCACAGTGTGAATGAGATTTGGTAAGATAATAGTGCTTATCTGGAAATTTGGTGATGGTTTTGCAAATCCATCAAAAACTCATGCTCGTTTTAGTTGTCACTACTGTCTGGGTTAACCTGTGCAACTTCATTTCAAAGAGAATCTACTGTAACATATAGGAATAGTGGGACAAATTCTGATCTCGCTTATACTAGTGCAAATCAGAATAATTTCATTGCTCTCAGGGGGCAGTTGTGCCCCTGCGCCAATTTACTTCTTTATAATTCTATATATTCCAATGAATTTATTCCTGATTTACACCTTGGGAGAGATACAGGAGGTCTGAGGAGATTGTCTGGGTTGCTATTGCAGTATAGGAGATAAGAATTTGCCTTGTTGCCTTACAAGCACATGTCAATATATGTATCAGCATAAGCGCCCATATATATATATATACACACACATATACACATATATGTGTACATATAATATATCTATATTTAGATATACATATACATACATACTCTTAGAAATAAGAGAGAAGATATAAATATGTTTGTAGATACACTTCTCTGATTAGAGGACTCACACAGGTTGCCATGTACATAGTAGATGCCATGTGTTCTATCACACTGGTGGTATCCGACATAGAACTTATTGATTGATCAGTCCTTGATACAAAAAAAACAGCTTGAAATTTACAGTAGATTCCTTTTTTTTTGTTTTTTGTTTGTTTTTTTTTGTCCCAATCCAGGTTGCTTTGCTACAGACATCAAGCACATAACTAGGAAGATTTCATGCCAAAACAAAAATGAAGGCCACAGTACTGGAAGAAAAAGATACAAACATACCACCAAAACAAAACCACATACCACAAAGGTTGAAAAATGGTCCACTAAGGGTTAAGTGTACAAAATCTCAAATGATAGAAAGGGACAATATCATGGGCATAATGACAATAAAAAAATCATATTGCAGAAGGAGGAGAAGAATGGGGAGGTCAGCATCCATCAATTTGTTTCAAGTCTCTCCTACCCAAGGAATTTGGTCCCAGGAGGCCCCAGCTGAAGGATTCGGCTGACCAAGCTTTCTCCCTCATTAAGTGGGGGAGGAGCCGTAGGCAGATGAAGTTTACTGAGTACATCCAAAGCAGCAGTGAAAGAAAGAACATAAATAAACTTTATGTATTTTTTGTGCCAGAACGCCAGTGCCACTGTCTGGTGCACAGAGTGGAATTAGGCTGTACACTAAATAAGGTTCCGTCCTAGCCGTGACAATTTGGTGACCAAAACCAGCAAAATCAGTTTTGAGAATTTAGGATCTTATCTTGCTTATGGGGGCTTTGGCCATGAACTCGATGGGAAAGGGATCTGGACCTTAGAATGCACCTCTGCAAACTGCACAGTGATTTTCTGATTTCACTGCCAGCACAACACCCAGAAAAACGCTCGCAGGAAGGGCACAGAGACCTGAGAGTGAATAAACTCTGCTACAGCCTCATCTTTTAGGGAGACACTCTCATTAGCTAGAGAAAACCATTGAAAAAAAATGGGAGACACACTTAAAATCCATTTGTGTGTGACAGAGATAATGGGAAGACTGAATGTGACAGCACAGTATTTCTTCTGCTCTTTAGGTTTCTTTCTGCTTCTCTTTAAGGTGACCAAGATGTGAAAAGAATAAGTGGTAGCACTAATGAAGATGGTAGCTCTGATGACTGCCTGTTATAATAGGATTTTAAAGCAACTGAGTTGTTCCCAAATGGATTTAAACTATTGCTCTTTACAGAGTCACTTCTTTTAGAGCTTCTGGATGTAATAGAAGGGGTTCCTTCAATCACTCCCTTCTGGATGCCACAGTTGATATTGAGAACAGTTGGCAAAACAAATTTTTGGAAGTGCAAGTAACTGCTGCTTTCAGCTGAAAACTGCTAAAACAAACTGAGCAGCAGACACAAATCTGACCTTTCTATTGGTTTTGCAGCACAGGACAAAGGAAATGGCCAGAAAATTCCAGGGTTGTCCAATTGCTTAGTTTAGCAATTTCAACTCCAGAAGAACCAAAGGCATAGTCCAAATTATTGATAACACAATGGAAGACCCTAAAATAGCCCACTGTAACTTGTGTTGTGTACGTAGCAGGCTTCACATTCGGGGTTTAGATCAGCACTGTACTACTCATCTTTTAAACATAGCATGAACTGCCTACTCTGGTTCCAAGGGAGTCTCTTCCCACTATAATATCCCACAACACTGAGTAATAATTATATCCACATTAACCTTAGTGCTAGTGCTTAAAATACCCATTTTGAAAGGAAAAGATGCGAAACCTTCCCGATTAGTTAACTGGCAGCTGATCTGTATTTCACCCAACATATCTGCTACCGTGCCACAAGGATCTTTTTCCCTTCATGTCTTGAAAAAGGAACTGTTTCAGTGCAATTTAAAGGCAAAAATACGGCTGAAAACGTTTTTTCTCCAGGCCACGTGGCCCCCCTTACCCAAGGAACTGCGCCCCAGAAGGTCCCACTTCGATGAGGCGGCTGGCCAGCCCTTCCCCTTCCACCATGGGGGGCATGGTGGCCAGCCGGTGGCGCTTCACCAGGCGGCACGTCACGCGCGTCGGGGCCGTGCACTTGCGCGGGGGGATGATGATGCGCAGCCCGTTGTGCCTGCAGCCCCGCATGGCACCCCCGCGGGCATCCACCATGAAGCTCACTAGGAAGCTGCAAAATCAGGGAAAACCAGTCAGAAACGGAGTATTTCACCGAGGGCTGTGGGTATGTTCCACATACGTAACGCGCTACGTATGTAAATGGGGCTCTTGCTCAAGAGGTACAATTAGAAAAAGCCTTTCTCCCCTGTGAAGCACCAAATCATGCTCAGGTCATTTATTAATTTACAGCTGCTGCCTAAGAGTTCTTCACTGAAAGTCTTGTTTTACAGTGCTGCTGTTGGTAAAATATCAGCAGACGCTAATAAATGTGAGCACGTGTACCTATATCACTGCTCTGTACCTGCAAACAACTCTGCTTAAAGTGGGCACTTGTTCAATACTTCGCAAGTAAATACATCTCATCAAAGGAAATTACTTGTGATTCAAAAATATAAAGCCAATTCTGCTAGGAAGGCTTGGGATTTTTTTTTTTTAGGTTCTCAATAGAATTTTATAGTTATATGGTAAAATATAATTGCTAATAAAAATAGGTTTGGATATTTAAAAAAATAACCAAATTTCATTTTGGAGTGTGCAGATACAATTCATACTCCATCAGTGGGGTTATCACCTATTAATATTAAAAAAAAAAGTTTGTCATTAGTATTTAAAGAAAAATTTTGGGTTTTGGTCAGACAACAATAGCTACAGGTTCTGTGTAAGAGGTATATAAACTGTATAAGAGATTTATTTATGGATTTTTGTTTGTCTGTGTTACTTTGCACACCAATGCAGTGTCCCACTGGAAAACGCAGAGGTGCACAAAAGCCATCTACAGGGAGCCCTCTTCCAGCACAAGGTAAATTATTTATTTCTTTAAGAGGGAGAAAAACATTTCATTTTGTTTGGAGTTTCTTTTGTGCTGAATCTTTTGTAGTTCCACATACAACCAACCGGCAGACTTTGACAAATTTGGGATGTTCTTGGGAAAGGTGCAGAACTACTCCAATTTTTTTTTTTTTACTGGTTTATGACTTAGGATCATGCCTGATGTGGGATGGGAATGTCAGGCTGCTGGAAGTGAAAGTAAGAGCAGAGGAGACAGAACGGTGTCAGGCCTAGTTCTAGCCACTAAAATAGAATCATCTCATGGGGAGTCGCAGAAATGCTACTGAAGGACCTGCAATAGAGAAAATACACTCCCTGGGAACAGGAGTAACGAACACAGGGATTTTTCCACTGTCCCCTTGACCGTTCTGTGCAACAAACATTGCATCCATTCATTGTCCACACAAGGAATTCCACATGCTGTAAGAACACAACACTCGACACACCGTGCAAGTCAGAGGGATGGAGGATGGGAAGGAGCCACAAGCGCCAGTCGGAAGCACACCATGCACCACGGATGCCAGTCCGTCTCACACATGCAGTCTCCTAGTCTACTGCCATTCAGATACCTCTAGGCTTTGCTTAGTGTAAAACTCGGGGTAGTACAACCATTATCTCATTCCTTAGAGCTTGGTGTTTCTGTGGTTTTAACAAGGGGGGAAAAAAAGAAAATGAAAACATTTTACAGCTTCCATTGTCCGGGGATTAGTTGAGAAGAATGGGAGCTTCCTTCACAAAACACATTCTTTATACATGGTAAAGCACAGATGAAAGAAGAGCTTAAGAGACACTAAGTGCTCAATTGTGGCACTAATGCTCTTGGCTTGCACTGCAATTGCCCGGTAAGTGCATGAAGTGGTGTTATCAAACTGGTGCTGTTTCGGAGAATTGGTGCAGGGCTCCAGTACAACGGGTGTTTGTTTGAGGCAGTCAGTGACACCGCTGCAAGAGGAGTTTCACATTTTAAAGCTAATACTGTGAGCAACACAAACACTCCCCCACAATTACCAGAAGCTCTGACTGAATTAAAGCAGCGTTCACATTTCTCATTGTGTCAGCTGTCGTGAACACAGTTCTTGGGATTCAATTATTGTCACTATTGACTTAATACTCAAGACTGTGTACTTTAACATCAGGATCACCTTCTGTCGCTGTCCAGTTAGTGCTGGGTCATCTGTCTACCCTATGTCCTCCTTAGCTTATCTCCACATGTGCCTCAGCAATGCCAAACTTTGTTAAATGCCAGAGCAAAATACACAGGAAAGGTGAGGCTCCAAACCAAATCACCTCCCTTCTTGTCATACATATGGCTGCAACTCTTTCTCTTCAGTTTAAGTTTACTGAATGTGCCTGGTGGGTCAGTAAATCTATCACAGAGTCTATCAGTCATCTCTCACTGAAAGCAACCATTGCTCCAAAGAGTGCAAAAAGAGGCAAAGACAAGCCTCACTGGAAGGTGGACACAAAGATAACAATGGTTAGGATAAAGACAGCCAGACATTATTACTATTCACTGTAAAAACAGCTGTTCCTATCATAAGGAAGATCTAAAGTACTTATTCAGACAAGCACAGAATGGTGCGAGCACAGCACAGAAAGATTAGTGCCAATTACCACATTATGGAGGAGTCAGTTCACAAACCCAGCTGTGTAATACTAAGAAATTCCTGGAAAACAGATTTTGGAGAACTACCACGAACAGAGTGCAAAGGAAAGAAAGTGAGGGGGAAAATTTCTCAGCTCTAGACCTCAAAGGATAGTACAGTGACACAGGATTTGTAGAGCTGACACAGAGTGTAATAACACATCCTTTTCCACCACACCACCCTGTGTATTTCCCACCTGTTTGCCACATTCATTTCATCATGCACTTATTTAATCCAATTTCTTTCCATCTCTTCTTTTTTTATTTTTTTTAATCAGCACATTTCACATAATTTTGGATATGCAAGAGGGTGAAGCAAATAATTCATAATAACGTATTTTCTGAATCACAGCAGCCTCTTTTTCTGCCTAATTGCTACATAATAGGGCATCTGGAATGTGCCATTACTGTTCCAGGACCGGAAAAGTTTTTCCCTTTTGAAGGAGCGTGTTTATCAGTATACAGATAATTCATACAAAACTAATGCATGGTATAAAATATGTTTTCTGAAATGCGCATTTGGGAAAGTGATGGAATTGTATGACTAATATAAAGGAAATGTAAAATGCAAACTAATTATTTTTCTGCCCACGCACACACACACGTTATTTTTCGCCTCTCCAAAGCTTCTTTTACCAGGTGTTGGGAAGTGACAAGGCTGAGATAGGAAGAGATTGCACTCAACAAATAAAACTAGCAGGAGTGATTGGCAGATGAAGCCATCACTCTGCAAAGTGATACCTTATGGTGATAAATTCCCATGGTCAAAAAGAAAATAATGCATGATACCAGCATATCAATAATCCTCATTTCATATCTGCTCCCTGAAGGTGAGCAGGAAACTCAGAGCTTACCCCGTGAGCCAACTGCATGGCGGCACAACTAAAAGCACTATCAACCATCTGTGTACACAGAATGAAGAGGAGAGGGAGCATTAAAGAGAAACACAAAAGGCTGCAAAGAGTTCAAGAGGGGGAAAAAAAGAAAGGAAAAAATGGTAAATAAAGGGGTTTAAAGGAACTTTAACTTAAATTTTAATTAAGTGATGATTCAAAGTCAAAGCAGATTATGGGTAAAGGTGCATCTTTCCCAGTACTAAGACAGCCTTTGAGTAAGTTCCATTTCCAGTTTTAAAGGTTCTGGTAAAAATGAAGCACAACACAGACATGTGACCCTGACAGTCTTGCAAATTGGATCGATACTGAGCTTTCCTGGGATTTAGCAAGGTGGCAGTGCAACATAACAGCCAAATCAATGAAACAAATCAGGTTTGGAGAAATCGTTGCCTTCCTCTTTTAAAGAGAATGAAGGGGAAATCGGGATTATTTTTCTAAAGGAAAAGTAAAGTACAAAAGCAATTATTTTATAGCAATCAGTTATAGACTGCAGGGAAGTCTACCCATGCTTTTGTTAAACACACAGCAGTCAGCTCAAGCATCATCCATTCCCTTCTAATTTAGCAAGACTTACTCATAAATTAGAGAGGCCATTTCATTCTCCTCCATTTTAGAGCAAATCAAAACTACAGGCTTGCCATATGAAAGGTAACTCTATCAAGAAGCATTGGCTACAGTGTCCCTCTGGTTGAGGACATATACCAAGGCCCCTAAATCTTTCAGGCTGTTTCCATGCCTTCTAGAGAGAAGAGAGCAAATAGCTCACTTGAACAAAAACAGACTGTTATGCACTGGATACAAGGACAAAAAGTTGGGGTGTGTTTTCATGAAATTTGTATTTCAGATCAGAACCTGAGTTATTCCCTTTGCTGCTTTTATTCACATAGAATTAACTTGGTTTGCTTCTGCATCTATCCTCATTTGAAAGAGAACAGCAGGATGAACAAATAAATTAAAAAAGGGACGTGTCAGTGCTGGAGGGGGTGAGGGAAGATACTTCTTGTGTGCTTTGTGAGGAGTCCCTGTCCTGTGAAGAGCTTTGCAGAGGCACAACCTCGGGTGTTGGCACTCACACATCCCATTCTGCAGTCACTGGGAGAGCCATGCAGAACCCAGCAGGGGAAGGGGCTTCTTGGGACAGGCAACAGTTCTCGGAACGCACAGAAGAGGCAAAATCTACCCCACCACCTTCATACACTCGGCTCAGGTACGATTATTCTCTCAGACTGTGCAGCCACACATGCGCTCATCGGGCAGCAGGGAACAAAAGCTCCAAGGAGAGCACATCCACTGGAGACACACGATTGAACTTTTCAGCATAGGCTTTCTTAACTTAGAACAGAGACTGGGAAACAAGGAGATAGCAGCATTCAGTGTTAGTCGCAGTGTGAAGAAGCAGAAACAAACGATCAGGGTGCTTCAGCCATCCCAGAGTGTTCAGCAGGAGGAGGAGAATCGAGAGAGGCTGAAATTCCGAAAAAAGGCCTTGGATCCAGCTCCCGCTGAAGTCAACAGCAAGTCATTCAACTACCTCAGCGTGCTTTCCAGCAGGCTGCAACTGTGCCATACAGAAACCAGGCAAAATACACATTCCAGGAGGACAAAAAACATGATCCTACACGGGAAACTGCTATAGTATTGACTTCTGCATTAGCCAGCTGCATTAGCCAGCTGCTGAGAGACTGAGTAACACGGCCTAAAAATATGGGCTTGTAGTTTGGGGTTTCATTTAGCCATTTACAGCTGAATACTTAAGGAGATTTTCACCTTTCTATGGTTATGTTAAAGGAGCTGAAGAGGCACCAACAAACACTCAGTTGGCCCAGGGAAGATAATCTCCTTTGGGAATGTTCAGCTTCAGGCAGTTATTCTACTAGTTCAAATATGGTGGCACAATGGGGCAAATATGGCCTAGGGAGTGGCTCTGAAATATTCTTTATATAGACAATGAGGTAAAAGGTCCACTTAATAATTTAACAATTACAGTGGTTTGTGTTGGATTATTTGTGGAGGGTTTTTACCTTCCTTTAAATATTAATATTAAAGCATGCCACCAACAAAGAAAAGGTATTGTTAAATAAACCAGTGGTTAAAACAATCTAGGATTGTATAAGGAGCTTTGTTAAGTTTTTTTGCAGTGGACTTATTATGTGTCCAGAACTCTTTTGTTATAGATAACAAAGCAGAGGGAGAAAAGTGGGCACTTACTGTATAAGAAGAGAAACAGGGCTACATATAACTATTCCTGCTGGTTAAATTGATTTTTTGTCTCAGCTAACGTGCACTATCAAACACTAAAGCATCCTGAAGTGAGGTAAGAGGGGAGGATAAATAGGGTGGGTGAGAAGTGCAATGTATTAAAGAAAGAAATTATGCAGAAGTTCACCTGCTGTTGTCAAGATCAAGACATGGAGAAGAGCATCTGCAATAGAATAGATGATTTAACATCAAAAAAGAAAAGAAAGGGGAAAAAAAAAAGAATGAGTTAAATGAAATACTGAAATACTGGAAAAAAATGAAAGAGATTTCTAAACCAAACACATGAACATATACATATATGTGCATATTTCATTCCGTGTGAGAAGGGAGGAGTGAGCATGGGAAATAAGCTACGTCAACAGCCTGGCTTACAAACGGCACTGCTACTACAGGAGTAAAACTCCAGTGATCTGGGTCCTCTACACACATTCTCCCACGGGAAGGCAAATGCTTGAAATTCACAGTTAGAGCCTGAAGAAACCTTGGAGATGCAGATTAGGGCAAGTGCTCCTTGGTTTAGGTGTCCACGTGTGAAATGTGGGCCGTGCTTTATCAAAGGGTAAGGAATCTAAGGTAATTCCAGCCAGTGTTCCTGATTACCCAATGAATCGTTATTTCTTTTCTTCCATTTCCCTATCTATGCCTTCTGTCCTCCCCTCTTCTCCATTTCAACATGTTTCTTGTCCTCCTTTTGTTCTGCAGAATGACAAATTCCAAACTTTCAGTTTGACCTGTTTAGGCTCTCAGTAATCACTCAGTGTCACACGGACAGTTAGTTTGCCAATGTCCCTCATTCTACAGATCTCCATTGTCATTTTCTTCCATTAACACCAATTTGCTATTAATGAAACACACCCGCTGTTTTTCCTTACTGTAACTTTCTGAACAAAGGTCATAAAGCTACAGCAAAATTTGAAGTCATTCAGACTCTCAGATTTAAGAAATGACTATCAGCTGGTCGCTGCCAGGTCCTGTTTCCATAACGATTTCCAGGAAATCAATCTCACATCGGGAAAAGCAGTGTTATGGATTCAAAATACAACACTTGAAATAGATTTTGTTTACCTTGTTAGCAAGGATCCAGCCTCCTTTTTTGCAGACATGCAGCTAAGAATGATAATTCGCATTATTTGTCACAGTACGAGCTGCCCACTCCCTCATCCTTCACCTTTTCTCATTGATGGAGGCAACGACAAACTCACTAATAATATCCCAACTTTTTTTTCTCAAGATAGAAGTACTGATACTCTCAAATCATCAAACAGTCAAACAGGGATTTCTCCATCAAATTATACACATTCAATACCTTTCATTAAATAGGAGTTTTACTGTGAGCAAGTCAGAGCTGGAACATTTGCAGAGCTGCTACGTATTTTCCCCAGAACACAAAATGAAGTTAACATCAAAGCCTGGACCCAGGGCTAAACGCTGCAAGTGAAAAGAAATCTTGCAGTTCAGTGTTTTTTGCCTTCCAACTTCAAGAAAATTGGTTCTTCCACAATAGGATATGGTGAGGAATGAGAGTAAGACTGTGAAACATATTTGCATTATGTAGGAGTAGTTCTGTCTCTCACAACGCTTAAGCAGGTAATTATAAATAATATCCCCTAATATTACCAGCAAAGCAATACAACTCTTATCTTATTGGATATTCAGCACCCAAACCTTTTGGCATAATTAGAGGTCCTTAACTTAACTCCATGTGTAAGATGTGATTGTTTTATCAGGAGAAGCAAATCTGATTCACTGAAAGGGAGTTTAAACGCAGGAATTTATATTTTTACCTTCAGCCAATGCATGAAACTACTCAGAAACTGTCAGCTGTGTAAAATGTCCAGGAGATCTGTATGCTGAGATTTTGAGCACCACAAGAGTGTTACCTCTGAAGAGAGAAATGTTTTCTGGGTTTTGAAATGGTTGCCAAAGACTCTGACAAAAGATCTTGCTTTTCCTTCCTTACTGATGAAATTATCAACGCATTGAAACAATAGTTACATTCACTTTTTAAGTGGATGGCTGAAACATTTTCCCCTTCTGAAATTTCAGACATGGAAAGGGTTTTGGTTAGTTATGCAAAGGCTGAAATATGTGCCTGTGAAATTCCACACCAAGAGAACAGTTCTCTCTGAATTTATGCTTTTGCTGGGGGTGTTACACTGTGATCCACAGAAACATTTCCCTACAACATGACATCAGTAAGAACCCAACTGAAACAGTGCAGGGTGTAATTTTTTTTTTCTTAGATTGTACAGAATACAAACTTAAAATCTCCTGTGACTAGTAATTCACGTCCAATACCTTGCTGATATGTTATTTCACAATCTGAATTCAATACATTTTCAGTGTCTTGGGCAAAACCAAGGCCAGACCTTTGCCCAAGGACACTGACAACATTTATACAGCATTTCTTTGAAAATTCCAAGAGTTTTCTTTCATGACAGATAAATACTCTGCCACTGCATGCACCCAAATGTTAGCAGTGCTGCTGGTTCAGAAGAACCTACTAATAGTGTGTGTCTGTGTGTGGAGGAGGGTGTGGGTGACAAGAGGAGTATAAATGACAAATATATTTGTTGTTCCAGTACTTCTACAACTGTTTCACTTCAAAAGCAAACTCTAATAGTCAATGTACTTTCTTTAAAAAAAGGTACACTCCAACAGTTTATGATAATTTGATGACTTGTGCAAATCTAAACAAAATTAAAATGAAGTGCTGTACTGTGTTTTCCAAAGGCTGAGGAATCATTGTTATAGGTTTCTTTATTACAATATTTAGTGGCAAGTCAGTTGGTAGGTATAGAAAGTGGAACATAATTTGTGTCATGTTAAAGGTCACTATTTAATATAAGGCTGCAAGAGTGTTGCTCCTATTAAAATCAGGTATCTTATCTTACCACTAGCATCCTGGTCATCCCAAAAGATCGAAATATCACTAATATAATTTAAAAGAAAACCACAAAATTACTGCACATCCAAGAAGTAAATGTCACTCTCCTAGAAAGTCTTGAGTTCATCCCCTGCAATCACAGGAAAGACCTACCTTTCTGAAAGGGAAAACTAATACATCCTTTGGAAGAAGTTTGGAATCCATGTAGGGTTAGAATAAAGCACCAAAGCAATTTTAAAGCTTACCAGCATATACAGAAACACATACATACTTTACATATTAAGTATTTTCATTTCATTTGTTAGTTCTAGAGCTCATGAAAAGCAAATCCAAACAACACTGGTCACAGCCACGTATCCTCCTATCAGCCAACAACAAAACTTCTCATCTATGTCACATCAAGCAATTTGCAATCACAGTTATGACAATATTGTTCCTCCTCTAGACCTATCATTCCAAATGGGACTCCAGTGCTATGTTTTGAGGGATAAGGACTGTAAGGTAGTTGCAAAGTCATCTGAGATGAACAAAACTCATCTTTCCCCTTGTGATGTCCAGCCATGCTGCGTACAATGTAGTGCCACAGAAATTGAAGGCTTTTTAATCACATCATTTTTTTATGAACGCATCTGCACATCTGTAATCAAACCTCATGGCAAGACACAAGGGTAGAATTCAATGTGAAGAATAGAATTACTTAAAACACAGTTAAGTAGGAGCATTTAAAAGGCCAGCCAGGATAAGCTTTCTAAGTATGAACTTGGCTGGGCCTGCATTTTGACCTGCCTTATGCCACGACAACGGGCTTGCCTAAATGCAAATGCTTATGAAGAATACATGAAGAGAGTGGCCAAATATGTGCAAAGCACATGATGTTTAGGCTGCTTGTCTATTCCTGTAATTTGAAAGGCAAACACCAGAGTTGGTGCTCACCTAAACTACTCCACTAGCACAGTGAGTACCCACCATCTGGAATGATTAGTCCCTTGATCTCAATTATTGCTAACTCCAAAAAGGCAGTGTGTTTATTTCTCCATACAATTCACACAGTTCCTGTGTGTATGCATCAATTATCTCGTTCATTCCTTTTGAACTTGACTCAGGGCTCACTGACTTGCAGCAATTTCAGTGAACGGTCTTGGTACTCAGGTTTGCTTGATTGTCAGAGCTTAAGAGATCATAACAATTTATTGACAGCTCCAGGAGGCAAGGAAATTAAAATACAGCTCATAGTTAAGCATTAGTTGAAGCTGCTGCCACTGCAGGTACATTGTTTCTCATTTTTAAGTAAAATGCTAATTGATACACTCACCCTGAGTGAATAGGGCTGGAAGAAAGAGCCACATTGTCCAAGTTTTCAGGGCCCCAGCTTAAGCGATAGGAATTCCTTTCAGCTTCTTTGGCAAGAGTTGTTACCTTGGGAAGCAAAAAAAAACCCCAACCCTTTTTACTGCAATGAAATCAATTAATCAACCAAACAATAAGATGTATTTTTCATAGCAGTGCCTACAGCATAAACTTTTTTTAAAAAGAAAACAAAGCAGTAAGAATAGCATTAAGATATTAGAAACCCCTTATTGTAACATTCTGTATTTGCTTAAAGTAATCCTATGTTATTGGTCTCCGTGAAATGAATGCTGTGATTTACCAAGAGGGCATTACCTAAATCTCTTTTTTAACTAAAAGCATGTTTCAGGAGAGTGTCTCTGAGGACAGTGGCTGTGAGTTTATTAGAATGTTTAGCCCAATGGCTGGTAGCAACATTCAAAAATCAGTTACAGTGGAGAACATTAAGAACACAGTCCCTGTAGCATTCACACAGCTTATCCATTTATTTTGGAATAGAGTTTAATACTGCACAGTACAACATGCTGTTAAATATCAGCAAAAACAGAGAGACTTGTAGTAAAATAAACTAGCAGAGAACACCATACAGACTCATTAGTGCAATTTACGCTGAGATCTTTTTTTCCTCCCCGATTTCTCCCGGCAGTGAGCGAGTTCAGAGGGTTTTTCCTTACCTGCTGGCTGGGGATCACCACGGTGTCATCGATCATGGCGCTGTCCCGCAGGTAGGAGGCGTGGCTCAGGGTGTGGGACCTGTCTGAACTGAAGGACCGCAGGCTGGCAGGTTGGTAGGATGCCATAGCAATGCATCAGCAGCACAGATGATGTTGGGAAGGTGTCATGACAGATCGAGTGGGAGAATGAAAGAAGCGTGCAATTAGCAACGGGATGCAGCTTCCAGGGGGAGCAGATCCCAGTCCCGGGGGGACATGGTGGGGCTGTGCCACCTCCCTGACCCCGGGCCACAAAGCCTCTCCACTGACTCAGCTGCTTCAAAATGCAGAACCTAGACACTCATCTGCACGATAGCTTTATACTCACTGATACTTTAGGCTTGGCTTTGTGGCATGATAGTCTCCTTGCAACAAAAAGCATTAATTTAAGTAAGGCTCTTTGCAGAAGTTCTCTGCTACGTTCCACAGACCACCGTGGAAAACCAGAACGTTGCCACCTGAAGAAAAGCTGGAATGACCCTTGCTCTCTGACCTACTCTCTCCCCCTAAAAACTGTAAATAAGTAAGCTTGACGTTGTCCCCTGGAAGGTACACACAAGCAAGGTGAAGTGTGGCCGGCCACAAGCTCCTGTGGAAAACAGAACTGTTCCTGGGAATGCCAGCAGCATCTTTAGGGAGGCAGTCCAAATGGGAGCACGGATCTCGCTGTAAGTACGCACAGCTCCACAGAACACTGGTTGCTGTAGCAATGAGAGGTGCAAGGCAGTAAATAAGCTGCTTCCAAGCACTGGCTCAGAATGTAACTGCAGTATCCACCAGCAAAAAGCAAAAAAAAAAAAACAAAACCAAAACCAGACAAATAGGACGCCACAGAAGGACATATTGAGGTAAATGGGGGTTCTGCTACCAAACAGCACTAGTTTTGTCCCTTCAGTATTCACTGGTTGCAGTTTTACAAGAGTGGTTTTTAAGAACAGATCAGCCACCTTCAGATGTTGTACGTGTACTCTGCGATAGGTCTAGAGGAATATAGTACATATAACTGAAGGAAGCAGTTTTGTTTTCCTGGCTCACACATCCGTGAGTAGTACTCAGAATGACTAATGTGCGGGATCAGAACAATAGGCCATTTATCTGGATACGTAGATTTTTAAAGGATAATTCATTTTCAGCAGTTAGCAAGTCATGCATTCACTACAGACATGAGTTTCAAGTGCTTTAAGTGCAGTTCAAATACCATCTGATTCAGACCACTCAGCCTTGTTTAACAATAGCTACATTCACTCAGGTTTGGGGGGGTTTGATCCATTTTTAGAAGCAAATGGTTACCTTATTTTTATTAGAAAAATATGACATTGAAGTATAATGAATGCTCTGGATGACTGACTCATACCAAAGGTCTGTTTAGCATCCTAGATGGACTGTACAAAACTGGAAGCAAAGATAGGCACTACACAAGGATCAGGTTTTGGAAAGCCTTGAGAAAAAACTAAACCAACAACGAACATTTGTTCTTTGTCTGAGAAATGAGCCTCAGTAGCAGACCCCATTTGCCCTCATTATCCTGTGTTCATTTGCACGTTTGACACTTCCAGAGCTGCTTTGCTGCGCCATGCAATGCTTGTGAGAGAGTCACCATCCAAGTTGTAGGTTCTGCTACTCAGCTACTGTCGTGTCCTGCACAGACACTGAATGAAAGGAAGTCTGAACTAAAGTTGGCTGGTTGTCTCCATGGTGATTTTGTCCATCTTCACTGCTGCTACCACCACCACAAGTATATATCCACTTTGCTCTACCTGTACATAACCTCCAGTAAATACCCCAAGGCTCCTGGGTTTTATCTACAGACGCACTCATGATTGAGCTTTGCAGTTAATTAGAGGTTTATATTTCCTTCTAAACTCAATTTCAAACCTAGTGTTCAGATGGCACTACCCTTCTCTGTGTGATGGACCAGCTAAATGTAAGAGCAAACCAGCAGTTAAAGACTCAGAAATAAAGGTACTTCAAGAATCCTTTTAAATAAAAATCCAAAACCTACCTAAAATCAGAACCAAAAATACTGTCTAAATATAGATTCTATCCAAATCTGGTCAATAAATCTTAAGTCCAAGAGGCTGCGGGGTCAATAACACTCAGTCACAGAAACGGAACTGTGGAACCCAGGAATGCTACAAAGCTCCTGAACGTGCCTTATGTATCACCCTTCTCTTCTAAGCCCTGATCAAGGCCCAGGTGGAATCCAAAAAATATAAGCAGCGTTCTCTAGCCTAGTTTCTAACCTGGATAACTGGGAGACCACGTTGCAGTGCACATCCACTTCCCAGCCAAGAGAGATCTAACAAGCCCTAGTCCAGTTAAGTGTAATTCCTGTTGAAGTATATGTTGTTTCAGAAGCTGAGAAAAAAAAACCCGGTATCATTGCAAACTGTACAAATCAACCTCGAAAACACTTCCCAACGGCAGCATCGTTCATTTGGTGCTCCAAATCAACTTGCTGGCATACAGCAGGCCTCCAAAGTGCATGAGCAGAGACAGGTGCCACAGAAGGGTATAGAGACAACAGGTGTTCATGCTGTGTAATACCTACCTGGGCATGATGCTAATGAAAGCACATGGAAAAGAAAGCAAAATGAAGGGGAGAGAGAAATAAAATAAATAGGGGAGATGGTTACAAACGAAAAATATATGTTTTGAAATCAAATCGATCAATGCATAAGGTTACATGAATCTAGACTGCTAATACTCTTCTGCTTTACTGAATTTCTTGGAAAACCAAAGTCAGTATAATGCAATGAAAATCACATTAAAGCAAAAGCAAAACAATGGAACCAATCTCTGTGAAAATTCTTAAACCCAGTAATCTGAAGGTGACAGAAAATGAGACCATGGAGTTAGAAAGATGTTTTTCTTCTTTCATTCTTTCTCCCTTCATAATTTTGCGTCATTTCAATATAATTATTCTAAATGGGAGCTTAACTTAAACTGGCTTAACATCTGTGTGCACAATCATTTGTACACATCATCTTAAATAAAATCTTTGTTACCACGGAAAGAACAAAAGGGTTTCATTTTAGGCACTCTGCTGTAGTTCATAAACTTCCTCTAAGAGTTAAAAAGCCACACAGTCACTTTGTTTTCAGTGGACTCACTGGAACTGCCTAAAAACCAGCAAAGACTCCAGGCTTGTGAGACCTGAATGATGGGATTTACACATGCTGTGAGGAAAACCAAACTGTTTCCTGACATCTTTTGTTCCAGGAGCAATTCGCAGCCTCCTGAAGTAAACAGAAGGGATCCTACTGATTCCACTGAGCTTCGGAAACGCTGCCAGAATAACAATCAAGACTGGAAAATGAGGTAGGCTCAAAATTCTGTTGCCAAGACTTCCCCTTTTTTCTTTTATTCCCTTCAGTGTACCCCAGTTCTAAAGGCAGTAAGTGTGGAGACACTGCTGACTTACACCAGGCATTTCACACCCAGGAATGCCTGGGTAGCTATTCAGAACTTAGAACCGTGGGTGTTCCTCTGCCAGCTCGAGTGAGAGACCCTGAAAAGGGGATTTCAAACATTTATAGCAAAATGAGTGTACAATTATCACAAGAAAAGGGATGTATCCAGGCAAATACCTGTCTGATCGTCCTCCTTCCAAGCTGTACCTCAGGTAGTTCATACCATCCAAGAACTGGCTGCTTGGCAAGGAGTCATCCCCTAGTTCTCGGAGGTCTTCTGGCCTAAGGTACTCTCCCCCATCTCCTGTCATTGTGTCATCACCTGTAAATCAACCACAGAAGGGACAGAGCTCAGCACACACACACGGCTATGATTGCATCTGCACGCTGGGATCTAACAGCTGGACAGCACAACCAACAGGAAGGCATTTCCCACTCAGGAAACACTGCAAACCACAAGCAATTAATGTGTATAATGAAACTGGCACATCAAGCACGATATTAAAAAAACCACATTGAAATCAAGGTGATTAATCAATTAGATTTAATCTATTTTTTGCTGTTACATGTACTGGTAAGGGGCACATTTCTTTGCTGTTCTCTAAAGTGTCTCTGTTCCTTAATCCATTTTAGCTCTCTGGTCAGAGCTTCATCCCAGCCTAACAGTTTATGGTTAAATATCCCCACTTATTTAACTGCAATCTGCGTGTTTTCAGAAGAAAACATGTTTTCTGTGGCCTTATGCCTTATAGTTGCAAATCCTAATTTAAATTCTCCACTGTGATCAGCAACAAAATTCTTATTTCTAAAACACAGCAACATCCAGAAACTGGGAATAAGCTCACTGGCATGGATGGGAATGATCATTATTCAGAAAAATAATTCCTAATGAATCACAGCCTAAACAACCATTGGTTATCTGACACAGTAACCTTCATGCATATACTCTGAACAACGGGGTTTAATCTCTTTTTCAGGTCCAAAATTATTTTCCCCAGGAAATTCTGTCTATATGAAGTCACAGCTCGCTTTCCCCAGCAGACTAACAAAACAGATCCCATTGCCAAGCAACATGGAGATGTTTCTTTTCGTTCCCATTTGCAAGATGCTTTCTCTCCACAGTTTCTTCCTGGATTTTTCAGTCATTTTCCCAATTACTGGATGAGCCTGCCAGACCCTAGGCCATGGATAGCTTCAAATTTTCTCATTTTCTAAGTTGTGTCTTGATATTTGTTTTCACAAAACAAATCAAGTTCCTTTTTCTGACTTGATGTTTCAGCTATAAGTAATTTATTATTTGTCATCTCAAACTAAGTAAACTTTGGGATGTTTAAGATTTTTTTTTTAATACATTAATATTATATGTAAAAACGAGGCTTGACTCTTTTCAGTGTAACAACACGAGCTCTTGAAAATTCCATCTGCCCACATGAAGAGGGAGAAACTGGGCACGGTTTCACAGAAAACAATAAAATGCATTTAATCATTTCATGTTTCCTGTCTTCTGACAGATGATGCCTCCTGTTTCCTGGGAATGTCACATTATAAAGCACGGGGCTTAGTGAAAACTTGGAAGATATTAAGGCAATGCTGTTAATCAAACAGTAAAAGGAATTCCAAGTTATATTTCAAATAAACTAGACAATTATAATCATGCCAGACATTCCGTCTATCACAGAAACAAAGGCAAAATCTTCACCACTTTCATCACACCCACATCCTTAAAAAAAAATAAAAAAATATCCCAAGTCTGCTCTTATTCCAGCTTTGGCCTCTCATCTAAGAGTTGTCAATACCAGGGCTAAGTACCTCTGTTTGATGTGCTGGGAACATCTGCAAACAGTAACCAGACTATCCATGGATATCCTTCAACAGCACACTAGTCTGGAGGGAACTAGAAGATAAAGTCACTCCCCACCAGTCCCTTGTGCCCTTCCACCTTTCCTTAATGAGATGAACTCCCAAGTAGTTCCTTATAGTACATGAAGGGGAAAACTACATATTTAAGTCTCAGTGATTGCATATTCAGCTGACCAAGGCCTTCCTTACACAGCAGATCTTACCAGATGGCAGCTTTGTGGCCATACAAGAAATGATCCTTTTTAATTGTGCCAGAAACAATTTGTCTGCCATCAAATTAATGCCAGGAACATTTTCACCACTCCCACTGAGCAGTCTGGGACAAATACAACCCTTGGCATTGGTGCTCCACTGTTTGCAGTGGCCACCTATGAACTCACAGGTAGATATTGAGGAGTTACCTGCTTAGTGGTTAATCTTCCATTTCCTAGAGAGAATCACTGCACTTGCTGCTGCTGCCAAATGCCTGAACACAGTTTTGAGCATTTTAAATCACTGACCAGACTAGTAAGTGACACAGGGTACATTCTGAGATCACCTATCTCCTCCTTCAGTGAGAGCTTGGCTGGACACCCACACTGTACTTACATCTGCAGAGTCCATTCATTCAGGGAAGGCTCAACAAACACAGTTCTTACCGTTCCTATGCTTATTCTGCTCATAAATGAATTGCAAAACACAACTGCTGTATGAGAATTGCTCTGGAATTGTTTCTCACAAAACACAGAGAAAATGTAGGCAAAAGTTTAAAAAAAAAAAAAAAAAAGAAAAAAAAGGAGTCTGTGTCAAACTGCCAGAAATCACTTCTAATAGATGTTTTTTAAGCCAGATACATTTATGTGAGTTTGCCAAAATTATTGTTTTCTCTACAGCATGTAGATAAGTCTACAGCTCACCACAGAAGTGCTGCTCCTTAAAAGTAACAGATGGAGAAGGGAGAGCTGTGGCAAGAATGATTTTTATGGAATATGTATACTCCAGAGTTTCTGTGGCACTTTCCTTGGACACCTTCGCTTCCCTAAAGTCAATTCTCCACTTAGTGGTCCACACTACAAGATTCCCTGGGTTAGTTTGCCTAATGCTTTAAATTTTCTTTACTTTCAGCCAGTCAGGATAGTAGGGTTTCATGAGTGGTTTCCTGCAGAGTTTCAGATATTGATACACTGAACAGCTGGCTGCAACTTTAACTTTAGGGTTTAATTAAGGAAATTAAGTTTTCCCACTAATTAAAGTGCTCCTTCAGAGGAATTATGTGGATGTACACCAGCACTGAACTGTGCCCATTTCCCACCCATATGCAACAGGCCATGTGGGGAGGCACCCAGGAAATTCACTGTTGTATTTTAGCACTGTGGGGTTTTAACTTTTTGATCAGAAATCTGATCCAATCAGGTATGGTTTAATTGTGAACTGCTTCCTGGAAATCTCAGATTACACTAAGATGGTTTTAAGTGATAGAGCAGTTGACAGACCTGCCACCTTGTCACAGATGCACTTTCATGAAGGGACAGCAAATCCTGCTTTTACACACCTTCTACTTCTATTCCCTTCTGCCCGTGACAGTTGTCTGGCTGGAAAATAACTTGTCAGTACAAACAAAGAAATTAATCTGCAGACAGATCAGTTCTCTGGGCTGGTTCCCCACACGGTGAAATGTTTGTGCTGCCAGAATGGAGGATGTGGAGAACCACAGTTAGAGCTTGACTACTCCTGCAGCAGGCAGAACTCAAGTCTCGAATAGGAACTGCAACTACAACTTTGAAAATTAACTGGAGATGAGGAGGCTCAAAGAGAAACCAGTGAGAGCTCTTGAACACCCTGGTGAAATAACACATGGAATGAGTGCAGAGGAGCATATTAATGTATGGGAAAAGAAGAAAACCAGGTTCCTGCCTTTTCTAGATGTTCCTGTGTGTCTACACTGACTCAGCCCTAACAAAAACATCTGCTCGTGCTCAACTTCACTGATTCTGTAGACATCACTACAAAACATTTCACAAGATGCTTTGCAGTAATTACCCCGTGCTACTTTAAGGATCCCTCAGGTGCAAAGTGCTTCTTTTGTGGCAAGGGCTTTAAAGCAGCTGAACTTTGCAGCAACACTCACAGCCAAGGCATTACAACGATAAAAATGCACAGGTTTTTTAGTGCAACTGTATCCACACCAAGCATTTCTGCTGGCATGGGGGTATGTTTCTCAAACCACATCACTTAACAGCTCTGCCTACGGGAATCTGTAGTGCAATCCCCATTGATGGGGATCAAATGCCATTTCAAAACAAAAAAACAAACAAAAAAACCAAAAACCAAACCAAACAAAACAAACAAACATGATCTAGTTCTGTTCAAAAGAAAGATTAATTTTTTCCAAGTATCATAAAAGGTAAAGAACTCTGAATAACAATACATAGGACAAACAGAAAAATGCTGCATGAAAATTGAGAAAGAATTTGTGGGACTCTCAGTGCATGCAAAATATTTTAAAATGGGCTACACAGGGCAGGACCTTCCATATCAAGCTGAGCTATTTAATAGATTATTTGGTGCATTACTTTATTCTGTCAACATGTGATGTTGCACTTCTGTTTGTTTTTAGGAATAGGAATACTATATTAACAACATAACAGTGTGCAATTATGCAATGTACCTATTTTGCAGGCAAAATACAAAATATTTATCACCAGTGGTCAACGTGCTCCACCACGGGACCAGAACCACTGCTTTGCTCAAGTACTCTTGTGCTACTCTGGGTAATTATGTAACTAGAGCTGGCAGGTTTAGGTGTGACAGCAATTTATTTCAGAACACATTGTGTCACTTGAAAGAACACACAATTACAGAAATCTTATTGCTGGACTCCTACAAAGCTCCACCATCACTGAAAGGTTCATCCCCTCTATTAAAAGGGTTTTTGCAGTCTTCCTGTCCCTCCCCAGCTATTTTCAGTTCCTGTCCCAAGTGCCATCCACGTTAGGACTGTTTGCAGGGAATGTTAATTCAAAGCACTGGAGAGCATTAGTCATGCTGGACGGCCCCTTCAAGTTCTGCCAACACATTCAAGATAGAGGTAATAAATCTGAGGTTTGCTGGCCTCCCTTCTTCCTCCCACCTTTCAGGAGACACACACTCAGCCACACTTCAAAAGTAACAGCGAGGAGCAGTGTTAGGCACCCCGAGTATGCAAACCTGTGTTGTGTCAGCACAAAAAATAAACCAAACAGGCCAGGTTAAACAAAAAGAGGAACTTTGCAGGTCTTACTCCACGAACTCCTGCTAACAGCACCTGTGCCATTACACGCTTCCCCATCACTGAAGGGTTCATCATCAGAGTGTTTAAAGGCTGTACAACACACAAATTGGTTTGAGAAAAGGGAATACTCTGGATTAATCCTGTAGAAGCAGAAAGACATACCAGGCTTTGTGGATTTAAAGATGGTTCAACGGTAAGATTGACAGCCTGGGAGTAAACTCAGCAAGGTGAACATAAAGCTATAAGCAGTTTAAAGGCCATTTGTCATTTAATAATTACACAAGTAGTTGAATTGTTTCTCAGACACAAAGCAGTAAAAACATTCCTGAGCAAAATAATCTCAATGGTCGTGATGCAGCAGAAAATAATTGATTTTGAATCACACTTGTTTGCTTTCGCATTTGAAAACAAAAAGTTGCATCTGGAGCCTAAGCATCATATTTACTCGAGTGGAACTCATTTATCAGCAGAAATACCATTTCTAAAAGCAACACAAGAAGTTATATTGGCACTAATGAATGCCATTAACTTCCTGCACCATTTAGAACCACAAGTGCATTTGCATTCTTTGTAAAAGAAAAAAAAATCCAACCCTGTAACCTGCGTTCCTAAATCCCCAGGATTAGTGACTAATTTTTGGAAATTAGTCAGTCCACAAATTATTTCCATGAAATAATAAAAACAACCATAAAATAGCATATATAAGATACTGCAATATTAATTAACACTGCCAAGAGTAAAAAAGAACATAGAAGATTCCTGCAAACGTGTTTGTATTTATCAGATGCTGCGTGGTTGAAATTTCTCAGCAGTCACTTGTGAACTTTGAAAAGGGGATGTTTTTAAGCCTTTTCTGCAATTCTGTGCTGCCTAAAACTGTGATATTTTATCAATTCTTCCAGAAGTTCACAGAAATTTTCTGGGGATGTAGCTAAGCAGTACAACACGTGTCTCCTGTCTGTACATGGAACGGACTCCGAAACCCCGAGTGCCAAACTTATTAGTGTGTTGTTACTTTATGTCATGCCTTATGTATCCCTGAGTCCTATGTGCCAAAAGCTCCCTCGAGGGAACAGTCTGCTCACCTTCCACCTTATGCATCTCCTCACACAAATGTTTCCAATTAGGCAGAATTCCTAGATATATGTATCTGATACAGGTGGCACCGAGCCAAAAAAATTACAGCTCAGATTCCTCTCCATGGGAGGGTCAAAGTCAGCTCTGGGAAAGCTCTACATTGATATTTTAAAATCTGGAGTTGGGAAACGTTGGGAAATTTGGTTCAGATAAGCTTCTTCTGAAAAAGATGCAGGGCTCCAGGATTTTGCTCTAGCTCAAATTTTGGCATCTTTATCCAAATGCCATGACGATTACATCATTTTTAAAAAGGCATTTCAAGCACTGCAAAACGAAGACATCAAAGGCAGCTTCTCGAGTCGAACCTCACAGGTGACATGAGTGATATGGAATGTAGCAAAGTTGCTCACCTTCTTCATCCGACACATCCAGCACCTCAGTCATGGTCTCAGGTACATTCAGCTTGTGCTTCTCTGTCACAGTCTGCAAAGACACAACCATCAGGCCTCAAATGAAACACCAAACAGAGCAGCAAAGTTTACAGGAGGATATTTGCAACACTGACAGCAGGGGGATGTGCTGAGGCATTTCATAACGTGCATCCCCTTCCCCTAACTTTCTTTTTCATCTCTGCTCCAGAGGCTCCCACTCTCAGTGCTGTGTAAGGTAACAACATTTCTTCTGGCCCGAAAGTATAAGACCATAAAGATAACGTGCTGCTCAGAGGAATAGAATTTACTTATAAATGGTGCATGTAGAACAATTCAGCTCAATGTTTCCAAGATGATTTTTAAAGTGAGTTAGGTAATGTCTACAGAAGAGCTTCAGAAAGTTGTATGTGGCATATGGAAATTATTAAATCGTAAAGCGTTTGGAAATGAAGTTATGAATGATGTGAAATTCCTAAACTAAAAAAAGATGTGAAGGATTTACACAGATCACTCGAAACATTTCTCTTCCCCCAAAAAAAAAAAAGCCTACACTGCATATTAATGATATCCTTTTCATAATGTATATTCCCCCGAAGCATGTACACATCAGAAGGGGGGAAAAAAAAGGTTATTTGAAGATTCTGATATATTTTGTGCACCTAAAAGCTTAAAATATTGTGAATCAAGGCAAGTGTGGGCCGAAAATAGTGGGAGAACACTGGTTTAACATGAGAGCACAGAGCAGGAGAACACTGGAAGATATTTTTTATATAATTTTATCTTCATAAATGACTTCTGGGAGAAAACAGATGATGTTCAGGGGTGCTGAATCAAGAATGGGGACATCCTTTCAGCACCAAGATACAACCTGGAGAAGGACATGCAGAACACAATGAGAGAAGCTGTAGGAAGTGCGAGGTGTGAGGAAGTTGCCTGCAGGAAACTCTTACGGAAGACAAAATGCCAAGGGCTTAAAACAGAGCAGTGAGCAGAAGTGCATTAGTCACAACCAAAAAATAACTATTTCCCTGGCTCCACCCAGCTGTGCAGCCAGTCAGCTGAACTGGGGAGCTGTGGAGGGCAGTGCACACGTGGCCTTTAAGGTATGAAGGAGCAGATGTGCCCCTCTGGCACAGAGGGGAGTGCCAGGAGGCCACCTGTGTTCCTTGGGAAGTTCCCACTGAGGCAGTGCTTCAGCCCCTCTTGTAGATGGTATCTATCCTGCACAAATTGCCATTACATGCAAAAGGAGGGAAAGAGCATAAAATGTGAGGGATAATTAAAGTCAGCCAAACCCTGAGTCCCTTGTGCAACGTTCTTTTGGGAAAATGCCCACTGATATCAAGCAGTGAAGTCAATAGCAGTTCTTGTTGCACAGAATTTACTAGCTATTTCCTGATGCTGTTGTGTATTCTCCAGTTCTAACAAATCCACAAAGACAGCATTCTTGATTATTGTAACATACTGCACTTTCATAAACAACTACGTTACCAGCCGTGTAATTACTTTGCAACTTTGTTTTAAAAGTCTGCTTTACATTTTTCAAATCTATTTAACTGTGACAGCAGTTTTCACTTCTCTCTCCTGAGGAACAGGGAGAGAACAATGCCCTTTGCCTCAACTGGCAATCCCAATTAGGCCCCCCAAGTTCACTCTTACCCAGGAGTAAAGACAACTAATTACTTCTGCTGCAGCAGAACACATGTTCGGGGTGCAAAACTAGTTTATATTCACTGAATGCCTCCTGCAATATGCCTGAGTTTCCCCCCTGTATTCCCACGGCTTTCCTTGGATAGAAATGTCAGGCAGCAGTGGGGTGACGAGGCCAGCGATGACAGATGGGGAGGGCGCTGTCACTCAGGTGACACTGACCTTGTCTCTTCAGCAGCACAGTTAACAAGTAAGTTAGACAATAAGCTAAAGTATTAACCCCAAGTTACAGGTATAGAGCCTCACTGTATACTTTTCTTTTACCCTGCTCTATTTACCGTTACATCAATTTATTCGTAACTTAGGTTTTTACAGGCCCCTATGTAATAACAGTCCAGCCTCTGACTGAGGCTCTCAGACATTATTATTTATTAACAGAGAAGCAGGGATACTTTATTTACTTCCTGACTTTCCTATCAGTCAGAAAAAAAAAAAATATTACGTCATTTAACAATTGAAAGAAAGTTTGGAAAAGAGACTCAAAAGAGTGTGTGTGCACGTGTGTGTTTTAGAAGAACAAAAAACCTGCAAGGCCCTCTTTGGAACACTGAACTCAGCAAGAATCATTAACTCTACTTAATTCCTAATTCTACTTAACCATTCATTCTAATCCCAACAACTTCTGTTGGGAATTGATGATTTTAAAGGAACTTCTAGAATTTTTTTAATTTATAGGCACATCAAATACTCTCAAAATTTAAAATCCTAACCTAGTACCATGAGACTCAGAAAACTGCTCTACGTGTGTTGCTTTAACTCCCTACTGTTTAGTGCCATTGAGAGAGTTCCATTATGGACTTTACTTCAAGCTTCTGTATTTGAGGTTTTCATTGTAAGGCCAGATTTTCATCTGCTGGCATAGAATAATTCAGATATATAAACCCATACGTGCTTTCAGCAGTGACTTACTGAACAGCACCGTGCTGTAAACAAACCCAAAGCTCCTCATATATTCATTTGTCCACAGGAAGTCTATGCCTGTTTGTATAAATGGCCCAAAACTTAATTGCACAGCAAACCTCTGAAAGTCCGGTTTGTTCTGATTTATTTCCTACTCATCTCTAATCTTTCAGTTTAAAAAAAAAAAGTGCACTTTATCCTCTCTATTGCTTTATATTCCTGTGGCTCCACTAATAACACCACTAATGCAAGTAAGAGGAAAATTTGTTCCAAGTTAGAGCAAAGCAAGGCTTTGGCACTGGAGATCTTTTCCTCATCTCCAAGGCCAGTGACTTGAATATCAATAAAGCATCAGGCTGTCTGACATCCTCCAGGCAGGGCTCAGCCACAGGCTCAGAGAATGGGGTAGCTATGGTGACAGCACCTTCTTTGCAGCGCTAAACGCTGCGTGCAGGTTTGGCAACACCAGCCTCACCGTCTGGAGAACTGAACTTTACTGCAGGGAGTGCCTGCTATTTATCCCTCCTCTTTAGGACTTGTTGTACACTACGTGGAATCAACGCTCCCCACCGTGAACAGCGTCACCAGAGTATAGATTCCATAGATCCCTAAGGTACAAGCTTCAGATGAATTCACAGCTGGAGAATCTGCTGAGTTTCTTGAGGGTTCCCACCTGGCTTTCAAAGCACACAGAGACAGGTCAAGATTTCAGATTTGTCTTATGTGCAAGTCTTAAAGGTCGACTCTGAGAGTAAGGCTGGGTATTGGACTCAGTCCTAAGCCCCAGGCATCAGCTATCCGGTAGAAAAATCCATTACCCTCAAAGTTTAAAGAAATATTTACCCAAAGTAAATAACTCCCAGGTGTCTTTTCACAGTGCAATCCCTATTATTACAAAGCTGCAACACTTGCATGAGACAAGGTGCAAGGCTGCACAGTGCAACACAATGTACAGCAGAAAGGAAGCTACAACTTATATCAGACAATAAATGAGAAAGGTGTGCCAGCAGACAGCACAGAGAACAGCAAAGGGGTGCTTGGAGGCTAAAAAATATTCTTTTGAAAAGAGCTGAAGTTCCTCAAGAAATCTCACCTAGCTTTTGTTTTTCTAAATCTCCGATTAGATATGTTTATGTTTATTTATCTAATGTTTATGCACATACAGGTGTGATGTGTATATGACTGAACAAGAACATAAAGTAATAACAACAAAAACATACAGACTTCATTAGAGACTTCTGGAATTACTCTGGAATTTCTTGTCCAAACCTGACTCAGCCTGATCTTTGCAAGTCATTAATAAATTATGACTCACTCTATTTGTAACCTTATTCCATCTTCCTCGGTTCGTATCAGTGGGACTTGCTGTCAGCATGCAATAATGTTAAAATTATTTTCCCATTTCTTTACAGGGGATTCTGTATTTCTTCCCTTCTTCTAACCCTCCCCTGACTGAGCAGTGTCATCTTTTAACTAATCTGTGGATTTTCAAAGCTCTGAGCTTCTAAATGACATGTAGAGCTGTTTTGTAGACTCTTAATCTTTCTGGAAAAAAAAAAATAAAAAAAGCTTGGCCTTACAACAGTGTTTCAAAACAAATGCAGTAATTGAGATTAAACTGAATTTAACTGAATTATGCACTTTTCCTAATGTTCTCCCACCCTACCTGCAAAGACACGTGTAGATGGAGGTAAAGTCCAAGAAGAGAAAACCTGCCCCTCCCAGGGTGTCCGAACAGATCAGTTTTTCCTGGCTTAAAGCTGCAGTACCACCTTGCTGATATTCAGCACACACACTGTTCACAAACCCTGACATCAAAATACAGCCTCCAAGAGTGTGGGGGACTCAGCCCATAAGGGAAGATCCCTCTGCATTTGGAAAAACAGGATCTGTTTGAACTCAAGGAAGTGACTTGAGTAAGAAGATGATGGATGAGATCCACAGCCATCCCACGAGCATCATCAGCCTTGGCACCAGGCCATGGCTGCACAGTCCAAACGTGAGGACACCGTGATGCGCTGCAAGAGTTGAGCCTCAGTCGGTGTCACAAGTGTGGAGGTGTAAGGTCAGGTGGGGAAAGAGAGGTGGAAAGAGAAACAGAGAAACAGGGCAGGATCTAAGCAACACCACACTAACTTCTGGAAAGTTTGGGCTCGCAGCTCAGACCCAGATCTAGACAAAGTTTTACCCTGCTTTTGAAGGGTTGCTTTCCATCTCTGTGCACCCAGACTTTGCTCCCCAGCTCGGTGGAGCCTGTGGTGTTGCACACACCTCCACATGCTTAAAAGATACGCTGCACAGGCACCGTAGCAAAAATCTACCAGAAAGGGGGGGGGGGGGCTAAAGCCAGAAAACAAAAAAAGAGGGAAAAGGTACGTGGAGAGCCTGAGGGACGAGGAGGAAGACAACGCTGTGAACAGAGAAGAGACACTGTAATGCGTGTGCAACTCACAGTTGTGGTGGTGGTGATCTCCTCCGTGACAACCTTCAGCGTGTCCACCACTGAGATGTATCCCAGGCGCCTGGCGATGGCTAAGGCAGTGTTACCATTCTGAAGGGAGAGCAGAGGGGGGAGAGCGCTGAGAGGGAGGACTGTGATGTGAACCAATGAGATCACGCTCCGCGCTGCATGAGCCAGCATTTCCATCCAAAACAAGGCACAGCCTAGGAAAATCACTGCTTTTCTACCGTTACATCTGACTCGGTCTTTGTAACTTCTTTAAGACTATAGCCCCGGTCGCCATGGTAACACAACACACTTACATCTGCCAGATAGTCCAAATACTAAAGGCTGTATGGTTTAACCCTTCAGGGCTCAGACCTCACCGTACAGCACGTGTCCTGCCTGCAGAAGTCTGAGGTTTACTTTGCATAAACATCAGGAACACTCTTCTAAAAAACGGAAAGTATTTTAAAATGTTACAGTTTCGCTGCCAGTTGAAACTGTTAAACCTTTATCAAATACAATTCCTTCCCCGGGGGAATTAAAGATCACAGCTGTGTGCTCCGCATACACTTCTATTCTTTCATACAACAAAAATGCATCGCCAATAAAAGTACACAAAAGCTCATGATTTAACAAACACAAAGCACGAAAGGCTTGGGGGGGAGGAATTACTTTCCATTTAAATACAATTATTTGCAGTTTGAATGCTCATGATATACAGACGTGTCATTCATCAAATGCACATTAAAATGATAATTTAGTAGGTGTTTTGACTTCTTTATCCTCATTTTACCACCTGAAACACTGGCAGTCCATGATCCCCATGTCACTCAGCCTGGTGGGGGGGCAGGGGGGGAGGAAGGGATGTATCCCATGGTTCTTTGTAAAGAGCTCTACACAGAATTTTTCCATGTTGTTTTGCACTGAACCAAGGGGCAACATGCTGGCCTGCTGGGGAATCATGGAATGTCACTGTACTGCTCTTTGCAATGAAATGATTTCTCTTGTGACCCCACTGTGCAGGATATCAGCCTGAGGGCTTCTCTCTACTTCAGTACTGGCTTTAGTTATCTATAATTTAAATTCTGCTCTATTAGTCTAGCTCGGCAGCCCTGCAGCAACACAGGGTTTGTGGATTAGCAGCACAAAATGAACAGATTAGCATCTTCACAGCACAAATAATTTGACTGCTACCGTCACTTGCAACCCACTCCCGTATTCCACTGCCAGATGTCTCAGGTTGAAACTCTCTTTTTTCTTAAGCCAGAGGTTGCTATGTGTGGATAAGGACAGATCCAGTACCTGAGGAAGCACGTAAATGGTGTAACACACATCCTTAAGACTCTGCTTGGACTTGGGTCAGGTAGCCCCAGTGCGAGGACTGAAATCAAGTCAAGAGATCTTTGGCTGCACGTGCCAAATAGTGCCTACAGCCCCAGAAGGTGACTACAGTGGTCTGTCACTTGATGACCTGGTGCACAAACTGGCATTTTGGATAAGTTCACCCAGGATTACTCAATGTGATGCTTCCAAGACCCAACAAGGCGCCAGTGCTGATTTAAACACGCACACGATGTACACACGGAAAGCTGATCCACTCTGGGGAATGACACGAGATTTGGACACTCTGGCTGCATTTTAATGATTACCCAATTAGAGGTGACTAATAACAACATCAATGTGAAATGGGACAGTCGCATTCCTGGTTGAGTGTGGGGAAGGAGCTGTGCCAGAAGTTACTGACGGTCTTTGAGGAGGCATTAACATCTGTGAACTCAGCAAGAACCTGAAACGCATCCAGTGCAGAGAGGGACAGAAATTTGGGTCTAAATTTTCAAAAAAGCCCAGGTTCTGAACCGCCTTCAGTTTTTATGGAAAAATTCCTTATGGAGATATCAATTTACAGACAGAGGGAAACTGAACAAGGCCAGCAGAGCCAGTTGTGGCCAGCCCGACCCTGCAGCTCAGAAATCTGTTTCTCCCCCTCACGTTTAGCTTAGTGCACGGTCAGACCAGATCTGAACTACCTTAAGAGGATAAGGAAAAGCAGAGGAAGCGACATTTACACATCTGACAACCAGCTGTACGAGGAATACTTTCCCCAGAACAACAACTTGCTCTCAAGCCTTAAGAAAGGAAAGAACAGAACTGTCCAGGGAAACAAGTTCCCACCGGCAGGTCCCAGACTTACCGTGGTGATGGCGTTGGGCTTGGCCCCGTGCTGGAGCAGGACATTGATGATGTGAGTGTGGCCTTGCTGAGCAGCTTGGTGAAGAGGGGTGTACCCGTTCTGTTGACAAGCAGAGCAAACAAAGAACAACAAGTGCCAGTAATTAGATTAGAAATTTCACTGCGCTTACTTCTGCTCCTTTTGAGATGTTCCAAACATAAATTATGCCATCGATTGACCCAAAGATGATAATCCTTCGGTAACAATAGTTTTCCTTCCCCAGATTAATGAAAATATAAAGGAAGATAATAGTTTCATTCAGAAATCATCTTTATCTCACAATATAAGAAATTCCTGAAAAGACATTTCTCCCTCATTTCCTAAATCAGAGGGAGGAACAATGAGGAAGAGCAAAGTTAAAGTGGCAAGTTAAGGGCACAGAATCATAGCTGAGGCAGAGAACATTCAACTTGCTCTCACACCTTAGTTTTCAACAGAAGACCCAAGATTTGCCTTTAAAATATTTGAGCCAATTGAAAAAATGTATCAATTTTACCAGAAGTGATTAGAGCCTATTTGCTTTTTAAAAGGTCAACAACATATACGTATTAAAAATGCCAATCAACTTTATCTTTGCCTTCAAAAGGCTGGACCAAGCTGTAACTACACTTAAACACATGTACACAGTGCCTGTATTAATAAACACTCTTAATTCCATAGACTTCTCTGCTCCAGTGATTCGTTCTCATGGCACACAAGATGGAAACACAACCTCAGTCCCAAGTGCACTGCAGCTGGCTGATCTGAGAGTGTATTGTGAAAGTCCAGTCAGGCAGTTCATTTACAAAATTATTTGCAATTGGCTTTGAAAGCAGGCAGAGAAGAAACTGGAAGAAAACCCCGAGCTGATCTCACTGTACACTTACGTAAAGCCTGGGGGCAGGCTCTGAAAGGCACGCTCTGAGAGGCATCTCTGTGGCAAACCAATAAATGCAAGTAATGCTTTGCACTGCTAATTCAACAGTGACAGTTCAGAACTGTCACAGTCCTTACTAGGAGTGCATGGACCGCTAGGAATTCGAAGGAGGATTTACTGCAGGTTCTGAGGTAAAGTAAATTCACCATCTTTACTTAAATATTGGTGTAGTCCTTCAAAACCAGAATTCAGCACTGTTATTTTTCACAAAGCTTCATGCATGCTTTCTCTAGTTAAAGCCCAAGTTGCAACAGAGGTTACTTAGTCTTTAACATGCCTATCCCTGAATGCAGCCAGGACGGATTTGCTCTTTAAACTGAGTGCACAGTGCCAGCTGACAGACTGCCAGTATTTTTATGGGTCCCCAGGTGTTAAAATTTGGAGAAGCGCTTCCTCACACAAACTTGCTGACTTTTATGAAATTATTATAAATACATGAAATACCTGGGTAAATGGAATCAGAACCTGCCCCAGTGGCCCCTTAAACATAGAGAGAGAGCTAATGCTAAAGATGTAAGTTTGTCTGTCCCTTGAGCTAGCCTCCAAATACCTCGGCTGAATGTCTTGGCAGCTGTAGTTTGGATCCTTCTAGTGTCTGTTTTATTAATTCTCATCAGCTGTTTTCCTAGTGGTGTTGCCTCTCCTTTTGAAATATCTGGGTTTTGCCCATTGATTTTGGGTGATCCCGTGAGGGATGAGGCAGAATCTTTATTATTTGGCTGTTTCCTACCACACTGAGCTGTGACCATGGTGATGAAATAAGTGCTACTTTGAGCAGTAAGTCCATCCCATAGCTCACAGCTGGGGACACAGGAGCTGGGCAGAGGGACCAGCAGACTACGAACCAGTGATTTTGATGAGATCTTAAAAACACTATCATAGGGCTGCTTCCTGTCAATCCCAAGAAATCCAGCCTGAAGTTGGTAGCCAACTTTAACAAAGCTGCAGCCCCACAGCTCCTGAGTCAGCCTTCTCTTCCTAAGAAGGGTGATGGGATGATAGCTGGGATGCCACACGCTGTTGGTGTCACCAGAACCTCTCTGTGTACTCTCAGGAGATACACAATTCTTGCTACAAAATGCATCCCATTCAGGTGTGCCCACCTGTTTATCCAAGGAGAAGTTGCTGAAGGCAGTGAGCTTTGTTCACACTCTGCAGTCAGACCCATTTCAGTATAACTGGTCAGTACCAGCATATCCAGATTCCCCTCAAAAATCCCCAAACCCTCCTTCAGGAAACCACATTCCCTCACCACAGCTGCTTCCTCTCCCAGAGTCATACCACCCACGCCTTGAACAGCAGAAATTCTTCCCACTCTTCCCCCAGCAGACTGGAGAGAACCTGGCATCACCCTCAAAGTGCCTGAATTGTTACTTACTGGTTTGGCAGCACACTGGTATTACACTGGTGTAAACCATGTGTAAGTGAGATCAGAAACAAACTTGCATTTGTTAGCTTGCAAGTAACAGGAAAAAGAAAAATACCCCAAAGAAATGGACTCTCCATGTCATTTTTTCATACACCCATAGAGTTATCTGACTTTTCTGTCCTGAACACCACACAATGAGATGGAGCAGAGAGAAGTCAGCCCACTACAGTCACAGAGATGTTGCCACCTCCCATGCCATGGTTATGGTTTCCAAGTGAAAAGGCAGCCATGGCACGTACTCAGAGTGCTGGGTTACCATGTCCATAATAAAGAGCAAAACCAAAGCAACGAAAAACTCTTTACCTTTGTTTTAGCGTTGACATTTGCTCCGTGCTTGAGGAGAAAATTCACCATTTTGATGTTCCCATAGTGACAGGCCACAATTAAAGGTGTGTAACCAAGCTACAAGAAGAGAACAAAGAAGTAAAACTGCAAGCTCAGTGGAACATTCCTTGGACAAGGACAGCATCCTTTGTGCTGGAGACAGCAGCCACTCCGTGATTTACCTTTGTCTGAGCATCCTGGTTTGCACCATGCTTGGTGAGTATTTCAGCTACATTCACTTTATCCTCTTGAGCTGCAAGGTGTAAGGACGTCAGTCCAGCCTGGAGGTGGGATATACAAAATGAATAAATAAATAGACAGCAATAAGAATAAAACCCTACTTTACATGCGGAACGAAATCTAGACTTTCCCACTTTCTCATCTTTAAAACATGAACAAATCCTAACTTTAGCTTCTGAGTATGGGTGGTGTTTTTAAACAAAGTGGAGTTGATGTTGCTCCTGTTCCAGCTGACAAAAGAGCTCCAGAGCAATTACATCTCCACAACCATAGAGGGAAAACTTTCAGGCATCAATGCTCACGCTTGGCTTTTCGACAATAATGTCATTTGGGAAGCTGAGGAGCCCATTAATAAATTAGCACAGTGAATGTGCTTCCCACTCCTCAGACAGGAAAGGGAACCTTGACAACTGCAGGCACGAGTTGGAATGAAGACCTTAATTCCAGAAATAGATCCCATTCAAAGATGCCAAGGGAAAGGATGCAGCCTCTAACTGAAAGCTCACTGTGATCACACACACAGCACTTTGACGTGAACGAGTCACTGAACAAATTTTGTATAAGAAATGAAAATCACCTCGTTCCTCTTAGCAGAATACATTAATTCCAGACAGGGAGAGACGTGAGCCTTCTGTTCTGATTTGTATGAGCAAAAGCTGCAGGCTTTTCATCTTAAGTAAGTAAGATTTACATATATCCCTGGATAAATCCAGTGACCTATGAAGATCTACAATAATGGTGTTTTTTTGGAGGAACTTGTTTTCTATGAAAAAGTTGTAATGTACAATCATAAAAAAAAAGAAAAAAATTGGAAAAGTCCCACTTTGGATTTTCCTCAGTCTCTGTTCCAGTAATAATGTTGTCCTGTTATTTGCCAAACACTGTCAGTTTCTTCACTTGGGAAAAAAACTGAAGGACAAACATATGAGGAAAAGAGCCTTTGCTGGTCAGACCACCACGCTCAGGTTTTGATTCATGTTGATAAATCATGGACCCACAAGCTCCAGAATTTTACATTCCTCTTCCTTTCCATCTCCTGCAGAACTGCAGGAGCACACTTGAGAGATGGCAAGGATGCAGCACAACAAATTTACTGCAGCCCTGCCTTCCCGGATGCTCAGAAACAATATTCTCTTGGTCTGCCTTTCCACCTGCTTCCTGTGGGCACAGCAAACACACCACTCTGGTTGGGAATTACCTTTGTTGCCACATGGATGTTGGATCCTTTCTCCAAGAGCAAGGTCGCCATGTCAGCGTGACCTTCTTGGGAGGCCAAATGTAGCGGGGTGACTCCCTGCTTGGTCAAAATGTTGGTCTCGGCCCCATAGTTCAGCAGAGTGGTGGCTATCTGCATCTGGTTTTTCTTGGCAGCAATATGCAGTGGGGTGTATCCATTCTAACACCAGCCAGGAAACAAAAGGAGGATAAAGTTAACACAGCAGCCACGTAAGCCTAAGAAGTCAGGCACCACAAAGCAGGATTATTTCATGTTACCCTCGTTACTAGAGAGGAGAGTTCATTAAATTTTCAAGGCCAGACATGTCCCACATAGCCCTGCTGTTGTTCTGCTTTGTCCATCTGTTATTTTCACTGCCTAAACTAGAACAAAGCCAGCCCTCGCCAGGGTGGGCAGGACCGTTCCTCTGATACCTTCAAATTAACCTGAATTTGACACCTACATTTTGTATAACCTATATTGCAAATAATCATTTCTGACTGATGAGTGACACCCTCCATGACGACTGATGGGTGCACACTCTCCATCACATTATGCTTTTTCAGAGCATGTGGGTAGAGATGTGTTTGCATATGGAATTTTGATGTGTGTGTCAGGCACTGGCTGGAAACAGCAACAGGAAAGAACGCTTTTGTGATCAAATTAACCATTTAAGTATGGCAGAACGGCATTTTCTGGCAATAAGACAACTTCCTAACTGATTTATAACGTACCATGGAGGCAAACCTGGAGGACTGCAGGCGAGTCCCAGGGAGGTGTTCAGTTGGGTTGTTTGTTTGTTTTTATTTAATGGGAGCTTTACCAAACTCTCCTGCTCTCCATGCACTGCCATGGAAACATAGCCCCGGTACCATCCCTGAGCTAAGTGGCTGCACTTTTTGGCAGCCTGTACAGCAGCAGCCTTGCTCCTAATGCGTGTGCATGGTCAGAATATTAATTGCTAATTAATTGCTAATTAAGTGCTAATTATTGCTCAATATTGAGGTGACTTTCAGCTGTAACCAAAGCTCTGGCACGGTTGGGTCTCTTCAGGGTTCCCCTCACCTATGCAGTGATACCACAATACTGCTCCCAACCTGGGAATTCCCCATGTGCCTGGTCAGAAAACATATTTCTAATGTAATTGCTAATGTTACACAATAGTGAAATGACTTCCAACTTTGACTAAAGCTGTGCCAGGACAGTATCTCCTGAGGGCTCCCCTCAGGATCCCCTCACCTGTACAGTGATACCAGAACTCCCCACTCCTAACCCCATGAATGAATTCCCTGTGTCAGAATACACATCTCTATTGTCATTGCAAATATTGCACAGTAGTGAAGTGACTTCCAGCTGTGAATAAAGCTGTGGCGGGGCTGGGTCCTCTCAGGGTCCCCTCCCCTGCGCAGCAATTCCATGACATTGACACTGCTCCTAACCCTGGAACGGGTTCCCAGTGTGTGTGGTCAGAATATACACTGCTAATGTCACTGCTGATACTGCACAGTGGTTAAGTGACTTCCAGCTGTGAATAAAGTCGCGGCGGGGCTGGGTCGCCCCAGCGTCCCCTCAGGGCTCCCCTCACCTACACAAGGACACCACGGCACCTCTCCTAAGCCCTTGCCGGCGTGTCCGCGGGGCGGGAGCGCGGCGCCGGGCGCGCCCCGTGCTCACCTTGGCGGTGGCGTGGGGCGACGCGCCCTTCTCCAGCAGCAGCAGCGCCACCTTCTGGTTGTCGTAGTGCGCGGCCACGTGCAGCGGCGTCAGCCCGTTCTGCAACGGCGGGGACGGCGTTAGCGGCGGCCGCCAGGGGGCGCTGCGGGACGTTAGACACGGAGGGGGCACGGCGGGGACCGGTGGGGGGATCGGGATGCAGGGGGAAAGAGGGGGATCGGGATGCAGAGGGAAAAGGGGGAATTGGGATCCGGCCGCAGCAGGCATCCCGGCCGTTAGGAGGGAGAAGCAGGGTGAATGAACCAGGGCGGCAGGCGCAGGCTTCCATCACCCACCCCCCACCCTGCCCCGCCCAGGAAATTTGCTCCCCTGTTTATCCGCCGGGAATTTGGGCAGCTCGGCGGAATCAGTGCTTCCCGAGCCACAGAAACTGTGTGCATGCTCTACAGCCACGGAGCCAGACCTACCACCCTGGGGGGGAATGCGATCCCAGCATGCCAAAGCAGCCCCGGCCTCCTTGGCGTGCCTCTCGCACACCTAAGGAGGAACCCAGCACACTGCCCCCGCTCGTTTTCTTTCCCACCAGTACCTTGCCAGCGGAATCGGGACAGGCACGACGCTGCAGCAGGAGCTTTGCCACTTCCAGGCTCCCGTATTTGGCTGCCACATGCAACGGTGTGAATCCCTTCTGAAAAATGCCAGGGGATAAAACGCAGATGTTTGCATCAGTGGTCCTGCTGACACCTCACTTTTAAGAACTATGTACTAAGCACTTATTCTTTAACCTATATTCCTGCTCTCAGAATCAATAGCCAGACCTAGAAAGAGCAGCATATCTCAAAAGACACACAAGAAAATACTTTCCCTTGTATTTCTCTTTCCCATGTACACGCTTCAGGCTGGCAGACACTTCATCTGATACACACACACACTGCGTGGGGGCAATGAAGGCACTTCTTAAAATTTACACCCCAAACCAGCTGCACTTCTTCTATTTTATGATGACAAGCTTTAGAAATATTTCCTGTATCAGTCGTTGCCAGTAACAACGAAACACCAATTAAATTTAGGGAGAAGAGCTCCATATTCCTCCATTAGGGTTTGTTGAAAAATTATTTGTTTGTTGAAAAAATATTTATACAGTCATTAAGTTCTACAGCTAAAAAAACCCCGCTGCTCTTTGCCTCTTTGAATTTGAAAACTGATAGGGAAAACTCATGGCTGTGTGACAGTAGGTGGCAGCCTGCATTGATGCCCAACAGGAATGTTGGGAAGCTATGATGACCTATTTGCCTGGCACATAAGTGATGTTTAATGTCTGTTATCCTTATCATTTAGTTCCATAAATCCCACCTCAAAAAGAGTTTGTATCAGGGAATCTCAAACATTTTCAGTTCATGAATCACAGGTCTGTAGAGATACTATCTAGTGGGCTGCATCTTCTCCTATTCATAATTACAGAATGTTCCTGCAATACTAATTGCCATCAAGCAATATGGGAAATTAGGAAAGTATTTAGTGTATTTTTAGCCATTCTAATGTGATCTAACAGCTGGATAAAAGGAGAGCAGCAAGCGTTCCCAGTAATCCGTGGATCATAATATGAAAATTGCTGGTTTAGTCTTCTAAACCTGGAAGGCACCCTGTTGTTCAAAAACATGTTTTAAGTTCCAGCTGTAAAACCAAGGGTACTTTAATAAACAGTGAGAATTATGTGATCCTCACTTATCACATGCTTTAAATTTGGAAAAGAGATCTCGATATAGAATTCTTTCATAGCTATCTGTTGTCTTACATGTTCATCCCTCTGTTAGGAACATATTGGTAAACACTTTTCGTTTGGTAAACATTTTTGGCTAAAAAACCCAATAATGATTCTGCAGAGTCTTTTATAACCCCAGACAAAATGGCCTGTTGTGTCACTGAAAATAGATTCAGTATTCGATGCAACTGGACAGATGCTGACCTGTATCTTTTGGGAGAATTAAAGAAACAGAGCTGAATTATTTTACTGGTTAAGTAAGCACTGGTATTGAAGAATAAGGAGGCCTGTTCATAAAAAATGTGTCACTGCCATCCACTTTTCTTTTTTGAGTAGTTTTTCCAAAAATCCCTACACCCAGAGGACAATGGGAAAGAGAAAAACAAGGGCATTTTCAAACCTGCTGGGACCGCGTGTTTACCAAGATCTGCATTTTGCTTCAGCAGGAACCAAACCCAATTTCAGACGGCAGCAAAATAAGCTGAAATTCGATTAGCGTGACACATTACTGCAGCCTATCTACCGGCTGGCTGCTGATCGAGAACAAAGCGAAACACCCAAGCTAATCCAATCTCCCAGCGTGACAGCACGTTCCCTCGCGGAACAGAGGGACGCAGACGCGGAACGCTTTGTCTTACTTTGGTGGACATGGAGTGGGAGGCGCCTGCCTCGAGGAGCACGGAGGCGACGTCGACCTGGCCCTCCCTGGCGGAGATGTGCAGGGGCGTGTACCCGTTGGTGGTGGCGGCGTCGGGGTGGGCCATGTGCTGCAGCAGCAGCTGCACGATCTCCGTCTTACCCAGGCGAGAGGCGATGTGCAGCGGGGTCTGTTCTTCCTACAACTCAAATCAAGGGGGATAATCAGCGCAGGCAGAACCTTCCCCCCCCGGACACAGCGTCCCTCCCGGCTGATGCCCACACGCTCGTCTGCGCGGTTAGTCTTGCGGAGCCACAGGAAGGGACGACACAAAAAAATGGCAGGAACGGAGGAGGGGGAGGTGATGAGTGATTGCCTGAACTGCTTCAGCTAGAGGAACCAAAAAAACCATTGTAAGCAGAACACCTACCCTGGCTCGGGCATCAACCAGGGCCCCGTTCCTCAGGAGGCAGCGAACCACTTCCACCTGCCCGGCACGTGCCGCCATGTGCAGCGCAGTCTCTCCACGCTGCAGAAAAGCAAAAGCATTTCAGTGTCCTAAACCCCCACGAAGAGCTAGAGCTCTGACAGTGTAACTCCCACCCATGACAACTCGTGCAGAGACCCGCCCTCCTGCCAGCTGAGACTCTGGCTTCAGCCCCAGCATGGGCAGCTCAAGATGGGGTGTGAAAACACGCTGCTGGGCCTGGGAATGCTTCGGACTGCAAGCTGGGAGATCCCAGACAAACATCATCTCAGCTACAGAGGGTCAGAACCAAACTCCTGGCTCATGGAAAATTCTGCCCTATAGATTTGCCCTGGTCACTCAGCTGTCTGCACAGCAGTGCATCAGCTCACGTGCCATGCAGGAGATAAGAGTACACCGAGCCTTTCCCTCTCGAGGGATTGCAAGGCACAGGAGCCTCAAGATGGAAGGGGATGCTTTTTCCAGATGGTCCCTTCCTGCACACTGTGTGTGGAGCTGGCAGCATTAAAAGGCCTTGCAGTGGCTGAGCACAACCGAGCCAGCATATGAAATGTGTAAAATCTGCGCTCGGCAGCGTGGCTCTGTCTCCGGGCTATGGAATCAATCTTGTCTCAAGCCTTTTGTAGCCCACAGAATTTGAAGGAGGATATGAAATTCTGGAAAGCTGACTGGAGTGATATGGACTTTCAGGTCAGGAATGCTCAAAGCATTCTTTTGCATAGGTTTGCAAAGGAATACTGAAAATGAGTATTCCTCGGTGATGGCATTTCTAGCTTAATTTTGCACTGTTCTTTGAGTGCAGTGTCCTAAAGTGGACTAAAACGGTCCTTGTGCAGCTCATCAGTATCTGGTACATCAGGTACAGTGGGACAGTTCCATAACCAGGAGCTCTGTATTTATCTGTCATGTCACGAGAACACAGCAGGGCTGACCCTTTCTTTGTGTTAATTGTTAATTTTTCTTACACTCGAGCTGGAGAATATCCTGTTGTAAGGCCTTTAGCCCCTCGACTATCAATTAAACTGCAATTGCCAAAATGAACACTCTGGTCAAGATCTTTTACATCAGAATGGGAATCATGTCTTCTTGTCCTTGGTCTAGATGTAGGGGAAAAAATCTTTTGTTCTTATGAACTTCTAATTACAGCAAACCCTCTTCACCAGGAGTTGATTTATCTTGTCATTTTTAAATTAACATTGTATTACCAGCTGTGATTAGTAAGCAAGCAACAAACAAAATCCCACAGCTCTAGCTACAAATCTTAATAATTTCACCTGTATAAACTTTACTACCTGAAGAATGAGCTGTTTAAAATGTGAATAAGGTTTACATTTCACATACTCTGAAGATCAAATTTCTACAATGACCCTTTTGAGCTTGAATTAGCAAAGCAATTTAGGTTTTGGAAACAGTAATTCATCAGGGACCCCCAGCTTACCAAGTGAAAGCCAAGGCACCTGCGCAGCAGAAATTGTAAAGTGTTAAACTTTGCACACAAGCGACAGGTAACACAAAACTTTTAATTGCTTCCACAAGAATTTCTTGTTGGCTTTCATATCATCAATAAAGTTATTATATAAAGGCTGCTTCTGTAAAAAAGCATGAAAAGTCTGTTCTAATGAGTCACATAAACAACCCTGCGTGCTCAACACTTTTACTGCATCCCATATCAGGTTCTTCTGAGAAAAACTAATGAGTCCAGTTTTTGTTGTTGGGAAAACTTACCTATAAAACCATTTTTACTGGTAAAAGGTGGTTCTCAAAGTACAGATGGTCCTGAGTTGAATATTTGTTTATACTGACAAATTCAAACAGTAAAATACCTATGAAATACAGCTCAGAAAACAGCAATGTTCTTTTTATTATTATTTTGCTTGGCAACAAGGCTGTTGGTATACAAATACTTATTTCTATGGTAAGTCAGGTTCTGCGATTTGTGTTACCTCCCAAAGGTCACATTTTCTATATTTAATCGCCAGTTCCTGGAATTTCCTGTCCAAGAGGAACATCTTGGTTTTCACAGTTTTACTTTTTGTTCATTTTTTGGGTTTTAAGCATTTTGAGCCCTTTCAGTGACAGAAAGGACACAATTTCATGGCAGCCAGCGAAGCTGCTCAGGTAGAAATTACAGCCATTTGGAGTCAATTTTCACCCCTCAGAAGGGAAGCACAGGCTTTGTGGGATTTGGCTTATAATCCATTTTGAATGCATTTGGTGAGCTTTGTCCGTTTCTAAGGAAAACTTTACCTCCTCAAGCACTGTTGGAGAACACACGAAACCACAGATGGCTTATAATGCCATATACAGTCACCATTCTCCTAAAACATCATTAAAATGGGACCTTTGGTTGAGCTCCATGATAGGCCAGGGACTGTCTGGAGGTACCACACGGATGGTTCTAGTCAAAGCCATACTCACAATGTTAGTGACATCGGGAGAGGCTCCGTTCTGCAGCAGAAGGAGGACTATGTTCAAGTGGCCCATAAAAGCAGCCACGTGTATTGGTGTGAGGCCCGACTGCGAAACAAAGCAAGAGCAGTTTTACTCCCCTGCACGGGCGTAGGGAAGGGGCTTCTTTGTTTAAATAAAATAGAAGTGACAGGAGAGAGAGAGGAAAAAAACAAACAAAACAAAAGGAACAAAAACGGTGAGAGAGATGGAATGTTTCTTCAGGACACGAAACATTTTTCTACCTCTGTTATAGCCTGGATTGAAGCCCCATATTTCACCAGGAGTTCCATGACTTTGATGCGATTTTTCTTGCAGGCAATGTGCAGTGGAGTAAAACCATTCTGTGCAAAAGACAGTCATGTTAGTTGGAAACATGCAGCTACACTTCCCACACAGCTCCGTGTTGGCACGCCGGGAGCAGAAGGGTTAGAGGAGCAGAAGCAACTGTTCTCTAAGCACGACAGGTTACAGATGAATTACAGACATCTCCCAGTGTCTGAGGCAGAACAAAGCAGCACTGTTGTGTTCTTCTCAGGCAGTGGAGACAAACTGAGCTTCCACCTCCAAAACCCAGATACAGACGTGCCCATCCAAGTGTATGTGTGCACGTATGCATGTGGATCCCCAGGGAGCACATGTGTCCCCTAAGGAAGGCTTACAGTGGTTCCCAAGAGTGCCTACCAAAAGGGAAATATAAGAAATTATAGTGATTCCTTTGGAATCAGTGCCTTTATGAAGCATTGTCTATACCTCTCTAGGAAAATCACAGAATCCCCAAATGGTTTGGGCTGGAAGGGACTTTGAAGTTCATCCTGTTCCAACCACGGGCAGGGACACCTTCCACTATCCCAGGTTGCTCCAAGCCCCATCCAACCTGGCCTTGGACACTGTCAGGGATGGGGCAGCTACAGCTTCTCTGGGCAACCTATGCCAAGGCCCCACCACCCTCACAGGGAAGGTGTTTTTTTTCCTAATATCTAATCTAAGCCTACTCTCTTTCCCTTTAAAGCCATTTAAGCTGAGAGACAAGAGAGCACTTCTTCCACATTCCACCTTACTTGGTTGTTTTACACGTACTCTAAGCATCTGCAAATATTAATCTTTATATTTATGCATCAATCTAGGGCATAACATTCGTGTCTGAGTGTGTGTGTGCATTGTGTGAGGTGTGTCAAACAAAGAGCCACCCCCTCAGCCACGGTGTCGTGATGAACTCTCGCAGTTAATGCAGGTTAAGTGTGTGCCTAAAGCTAAGCAAGTAGATGACTCCCCGTAGGTGAACATTTTAGTGAAAAGCACAGGTAACATTTTTCTAGGTAAGGTTGAAAAAATTGCTGTATTTTCTAATCAAGAGCATCAGTATTGCTAACTAATCAACCAGCAGTAACCAGGCCCTAGCAGGGAAGTCTGAGCTCATGGGAAGAGGCACGTGACAGATTATTCTACAGGCAGCTTCTGTTAAGGGAAATGTTAATTACTAGTTGAGCTGAAGGTGCTAAGAACTCACATAGTGCTTGTATCCCCAAAGCATTTTGCAAACATTAACAATCACTTTTTTCAATCTAGCCGAATATTAATTATTTGTAGTATTTATTCCATCACAGGACTCTGCTGAATATTATTACTGCTTCTCCAATTTCTAAGGAAGGAATCAAAACCGTCTGATATTTTACCTCCCACGCAACATCTCTCAATATATTTCACGGGGAGTTTTACTGTTTCAGAACTTTGCATATTTGCGCTGAATTTTACTGACTGAGTTGATTCAATTTTGCCACTTCTATTTAAGCCAGGAACAGTTTGATGGGGGAGAAGAGAAGGCAGAAAAAAAAAAAATGTATCGCTAACAGAAATTATGAGCTTCATTTAATGTATTAAACACTATAAACAAGCCAGAGGCAACAAGTCCCTGATGGGAGAGGAAACAAGAGAGAGGGGGAAAAAACAGTTTGGTGTGAAGAGAGCAGAGAGGCAGCAGCCTGAGGGTGTTCTTTCATATCAGATTTACCATGGAAGGAGGGAGGGAGGAGGAGAGACCATTTCTGGTCATGGAAGGAAAGAAAGATGTGGGGGGTAGCATATGAAGTGTAAGTGTGGGCAGTTGAGGAAAGTACAGCTAGAGATAACCAAAAGACTGGTAAGAAAAACAAAAAAAGGATGAAAACAGCATCAAAAAAGATCAGCTAAGTGAACATGACACCGAGAAAGACAAAACAAGAAAAGCACAAGAGGAAGCAAGAGGGGTTACAGGATTTGGGGGTATGGGAAGGCCAAGAAAAAGGAGAGGGCAGAAGAAAATGGTGTCAATAAAGTCAGTTCTAAGGAAGTATGGGATAGGGAGAGAGCCTACAGGAAAACACAGGGTCCTGCTGGGGGCAAGAAGCTGGGGAAGGCACCCAGGCAGCCTGAGGGGAAAGTTCTGTGGGGCCATGAATAGGGCAGGCAGTGGCAGATTTCTGGCCATGCAGAACCACCTCAGGAGTTCACAGGCTCTTTATTTCCACTGGAGAGTGTAATATATTGCTAATTGAACTCCCATCCAGCTATCAGTTCCTATTAGAGAAAATTGGAACCTTGTCTGGCTTTGGATAGATTAAAGACTCTTGAAATGTTCCAGGAGCCAAATGTGATGTTTTTCTCTCCGTTCGGGGTGATAGTCTGAGTGAGAGGATCATACCTGGGTTCCTGTAAGCATCAGAACTGGTTTTGAAAAGAAAGAAAAAGGGCACCTAATATAGGGGAATGTCATAATTTGATAAATGCAGGAATATTAGTTTTTCAACACATTTTCTCTATGCCAATTAACTTACTGCCTTCAGTTGAAAGCTTAGAAATTAGCTGTGTGTCGTATCACACAGTATGGACAACTCAAGAATTAAACCAGCAAAACACCAATGCACACGTTAACATCAGCCAGAACCGGCTCTGATTTGAGGAACTCTGCAGAGCTTCCAGACCTGCCACTACAGCCACTTGCCACGGGATGTGCTCCACGACACGCCAGCAGCTGTGACAGCCCTGTTGCTGCTACACCTATTTAAGGCTGTGGAGTTTTGTCGACAGCGTTTTCACTTGGCCTTCCCCGGTAGGAGCTACTCCCCTGCCCTGCCCAGCTTTGTTCCACGGCACAGAAGGGGGCATATTTACCAGGGCACGGGCGTTGGGGTTGGCTCTCTTGTCCAGGAGCAGTTTGGTGACGCGGTAGTGGCCGCAGTGCGCGGCCACGTGGAGGGCGGTCAGGTAATCCAGCGTCACGTCGTCCACGGGGGCCTTGTGCTGCAGCAGGTGTTTGACACACTCCACGTGGTCCCCCTGGGCTGCCATGTGCAGGGGAGACAGTCCATTCTGCGACAAAGGAAAACAGCAACTTGTAAGTAACTCTCACTTAGATCACGGCACGCATCAGAAAGGTTGGATGTTGTTGTGAGGAGCTGCTCAGTAGGGTTTATTGTTACACAACTGTCTTCCTCTCATTAGCTTGATCAAAGGGACAGAATTTGCACAAAATGCATTAATCTTACATCTGTGTTTTCCAGAAATGAGTAAGAACACACTGAAATATATAATTTTGCAAGTCTGAAATAAAAACAGTTGGGAGAAGCTGTAAGTCACAGGTTCTCGTTATCTCGTATAAAGTATCAGAAAACTCGTAGCAAGAATCACCTCTTAGGAGTGACCAATCCAACTTTCCCATCTGTGTGTCCTACAGGCTCACGAAGCAACCTAAGTGAAGTGCTGGCAGTAGCACTCCATATCATATCTGGTATTAGAGAGCAGGGCAAAGAAGTGCATCCTTCTCATATATTTGGAAAGGACAGTCCCTCATTATGTAAGAAAACCTTATTTTGGATCATTCTATCCATGAACACGTTTCCTTTGGGAGGGCAGAAATGTTCCTGTCTCCTTCCTTGTCCTTTCAGTGAGACTGAAAACGCTGTGGGAAGTTACACAGAGGTGCTCACATATCCCAGTAAGACACACAGGGTGGAACAGGACACACACACACCTTGGTCCGTGCGAGCAGAGGGGCCCCTCGCTCCAGGAGCAGCTCCACAACCTGGTCATGTCCGCTCCTTGCAGCACAGTGCAGTGGGGTGAGTCCATCCTTAAAGCAAAAAGAGGGAAAACCAATGAGCAAAGCCCCAGCTGCCCGTCCTGCCACCCTGGGGAAAAGACCCTTCCAGGGATGCAGCCCCACACATGTGTGGAAAAGCTCCTTTTTGGACTGCTAACTGAAGCTGGTTCCACAGCATGGAGTGCCATCCCTGCTCTTCCTTGCACCAGGGAAGGACACGCTAAGGTTCCTGTTTGAGAGAAGCCTGTTGTGTGCTGAACTGTTTTATCAAAGAGGATAACGTGAGCTTGTCCTGCCTCCTCCCCTCCCTGTCCTCTGCACTGCCTCCCTGGATAATGCCTGCTGGGCCAAGGATGCTCCATTAATCAACCCCTTGTCCTTTAGATTGCCTTTGGTGCAGGGATGAAACAGGAAATGTTCCTGCTAGAAAATCTGCTCTAGAATGTTCTTCTGTTTTTAAACAGGCAGCAGGAGAAAGAAGATTTTAAAACAGGGAAAAAAAAAAAAAGAGAAACAAACAAAACTAAAATTTTCATTTCTGAGACTGAGGGGTGAACAATTCTTTGCTAAAATTACTGTGAGACCACCAACTCCACAAGACTTTTTGCCATTGCAGAAAACCATCCTGTACCAAAAGACTTGCTCAGGCTAATGATGACAGCAGGGGTAGCCAAAGATGTGTTGATGAAATATTTAAATGGAAGAATGAATTCTGGGTACTTCTGCCGCAGTTTGGACTTTATGCAGAAAAACAGAGTAAATATGAGGTAAGGAAAATGGTTGCAAAAGAACATTAGTGCTGAATGACAGCAAAAATATAACATGTAGGATATTAGCAAAGCTTCACTGCCATGAGGCACTGAAGTCTGCAGGGAGGAATTTTTCTCCCTTACTTGTCTCCTTGTTCCAGAGGCTTTTCAGAGATATGTGATGGGGGGTGAGGTGTGTCTCGGTGCTCACTATCTCCCAGGCATCCCTAAAATCCCATGGAAGCCTCACAATGAATTTCAACAGACGCAACATCAAACCCAAAACCAGAATTCACAGCTTTCAGCACCTGGCAGGTGGGGTTGGGCTAAAGAATTGGGTGTAACTGGCTTACCTGGTATTTTATGCACTGAAACTTCAGAGTCCCCTAAACCAAGTCTTTATATGCACAACTGAGGTGTAGTATCATCTCACTGTCAGAGGGATCACACAGATCATTCCCACTGGCATTACTAAGGTGAGAATATATCCCAAAAGCACTTCTAAGGAAGGTATTTACTTGGTATTTCTTTCCAGTTTCTGGCCTCTTGTGCTCTGCATTTTTAATCAATGTGGGAGGTTCACTTTCCTTATCTGCATGGTGGCTTTGATGTTATTCTACTTAATAAAACAGCAGAAGAAAAGCAGAATTGTGTGAATCCTTGAAAAAAGCAGGACAAATCCCCAGAGGGAGAAAAAGGAGAAAAAGGAGAAAAATACAAGCTAAGAAACACATCAACTCTGCAAGAAAGCCTGAACAAACCAAAAAGAACTAAATCATTAAAAAACATGATTTCTTCTGTGTTCTTATCTACAATTCCCTTTAAAAGCAGAGATGAAAAATTGCTACCTATCTTATTCTATCTTGGCACAGCTTCTTTGCAGACTTTCCACAGAACCCTCTCTTCCCTGCTCTCTTTCTGCCCTGGGAAAACAGCATGTGTATTTTCAGATTATCATATATTTAATACCTTTTGCTTCTCTGTTTTCCTCAAGGGTGAGGGAAATTGCAAGGAGAGAGCTGTTGCAGCAGCAAAATTAGCACAGGATACAACAAGGACAAACTGACACGAGCCAACATCATGAGACACACCAGTGGACCAAATCAATCCTGTGTGTGCCATCCTCTATTTGCAGTGAGCCTTCAGTGCTCTGAAGGGGATGGCAGGAGTTTGCCTAAGCACTTTGGAAATCATCCCTTTGCTAATTCAAGAGCACCCAGTGGCCATAACATCCAGCACATCGTTTGACAGGACACACAACGCTGAGTCAAAGGGACAGAGACTCCAAGCACAGAGAATGGAGATCCCATAAACACAAAGGCTGTCATGCCCAGAGACAACAAATTCAGCAGTTGTGTGTTTTGAGAGGTCCAATATTTATTTTTTCATCTCCCAAGTGACATCCTGCACCTGGTGTTCTGCTGGTCCCACACCTGATACTTTCCTCTCTCTCACATTCTGCAGTGTCACCGTTAGAAATGGCACCATGATCCCCTCTGCGTGTATGGAAGCCAAGGAAGTCCATCAATCCTAATTTCCTCTCAAATGACTCTCAAAATACAAAAGTAAACTTTTGTTGGGTTTTTTTTTTTCCCCCTAGAAAATCAAATCACTGGTCATTTTTTAACACGCAAAATTAATTCTGAATTCCAAGTGTGACTCCTAATGCAGGGTTTGGGAAGATAAATTAGTGGGTTATTTCACAAATGCTTTCCAGAGAGACTGTGACAAAAAGAAGCTGTGCTTCTGAGGGCTTTTTAATGGGAAATGATGTAGGCAGCATCTTCACAGGACAGTTGCTCCCATTCAGGGCTCAATCAACCACAGACTGGTAATAGACATGAATGTCAAAGGCCAAATTATCAAAGAATTCTTCTAAACTGCAGCTACAAGTTCCTATTTTTATAAGGGTGAAGTAAAATTTTAGTATTCTATGTGTCAAACATGCTGAATTGTCTAAATTTTCTGGACAAATACAGGGCTTTCAATTTGTTCATTTTTCATTACGGTTAAACCTCATCTCTTTAAAAATGAACGAGGAGAGTTTTCCCTCTTGCTCTAAGCTCTTGGTATAATTAAACATGCTGAACAGTATTCCTCCAGGTCTGCCATTCAAAGTGCAGATTTTAAAAATACAGCAAAAATATACCATGCACTTGCTTGAGTAATAAGATATTAACATAAAGAAGACTAAATAAAAGTGATTATCTACATAACTTGCTTAGACAACCCGTACAACACCCCTTCCTACACGCTTGTAAACACTATATGAAGCCACTGAATTTTTTATAGCAAATATCTGCATTGTGATGAGATATTTATAATCTGACACTGCTTTAGGAACGGCAAAAACTGAATTATTAGTGCTCTGTGTGTGTGTAAAGACGAGGAGAAAATGTCACAGCAGCTTTACTGCAGGAAAAAAGTCGCTGTAAACAGAGCACGGTGCCAAGGCAGGGCCAGGATCCTGCTCCAGTGCTTCCCACTCCCATGTGGAAATAACAGAGATGTGCCTATTTTTTCAGGATGCAGATCTACAAAAGGAGATATCACTACAAATAAATCCCAGTAGGTTCCCAGGATGAGCATCAAGGGGTGTCTGAAGCACATCCCCCACAAAAAACACCAACCCAACCCAACCACATCTGAGTTCTGCCGCCACGGTTTCCTTCCTTCTCTTTTCCCACCGGTATCGTCCATCTCCATGACTGACCTGCCACTTCTTCCAGCTCCAGCTGAGCCTCCTTTCTTTCCCGTGGCCCTTCTCCAACCCAAATGGTGCACCAGACCTTCTCCCACCATTAGCACGACTATTCCCACTCCAGCTCCAGCTGCCACGCTCCAGGCACACACCACCGTTAACTTTCCCACACAATAAGCTTCCCCTTCCAAGACTGTTTCATTCCAGGGTTTTTTTCCCCCCCAACTGTAAATATTCTGGGTGAAAGCCAGCAAGAGGAGTCTAAAAGTCCCAGAGCAAGAAAAATCTCATTTCAGTGTTGGCAAGACTGAACAGAAAGAACACAAACTGTGTGACAGCTTCGATGGCTGAGACAGGTGAACGTGTTCCCTCCCCCTTCCAAGAGTTGTTTGCATACTCCCACAAAAATGGAAATTCCAGTTAAGTGACAATGGCCTGTGAATAACACTGAATTTTAAAAGTAAAAATAAAAAAAAATAAAAAAAATTCAAAACCTGAAAAAGCCTTTCTTGTTCTTTCTTTTCCCTATACAATTTATAGAGAGAGATGATAAAAATAGAGATATTGCAAAACCTGCATTCAGAAAGAATATTCCTAAAACCCTTTAAGAGGCAGGAACATTTCAATATCCCACATGTCCTTATTTTTACTATGCCATTATATGAGGATTCTTTATTTAACAAAAATACACTTATTTTGGCTAGGCTGGAATTGTTTAGCTTTTAAATGCTCACAACAATTCTCCCTGTAACAATCCTTTTCCAGGAGGCTGTAAATACTTTTCCTTCCCTCAAAGTGAGAATTGGTAATTGCCACGTTACTTTTGACCACGTGACATCAAATTAATCATAAACTGAAATTTCCACCATCTTTCAGATAGCAAGTTTCTGCACACCAAGCCCTTCTGATCCCCCAGTTCCACTGAGCTACCATCATGAGTTGCACAGGTCAAAAGTTTAGCCAAATATTAAAATTCTAAATTAAATTACGTCACTGAAGTTTTTACTCAGGTAAGCACATAGAGAACATAGGATTGAGTAAGATTTTAAATATGAAATATTTTAGTCTAAGAAATTTTGCCCATTAATTACTTAGTGAACAAAACCCCAGATAATGCTTATATGTAAATGGAAGTAGCACAAATGTATGCAAGATATTATACAGTATGTGCTATAATATTATTTTATTGTCATACAATAATTATCTATTGTTGTAAGAATATATTTCATTATTATATAAATTACTATCTCTGACAGATAAAAGTATCCTCTTAATACATTGGGGAATGGAGTTTACACTTTCACTTTGGACACGATTTAAAAGAGAAATTAAATTCCACGTTTTAAAAAGCTATTTACTTGAGAAAAAAACTGTAAAACTTAAAAAAAAAAAAAAAAATAAAATATTATTTTTAAATATGTAATTGTGGGAAGGAGATTTCCCAGCAATTCTGCATCTTTATGTTCTAATGAGAAATGCCATAAAACTTCAGCAAATGCACTCTGAAATGTATAGAAACTAAAAATACTAATTCCTGCAGAAGGCAGGGTTTTACACGCCACATTAAGTACAGAACAGCAGGACACGTGCATCATTTATTCCCTTAGAGGAACATGCATTTTAATTCATATTTTTAGACAACACAGGGGATCCTAATGAATCATTCCAGTGGAACATTTTCAAACAGAAAAAAGCTTTCACAGATTAACCTTGCAAAACCGAAGTACTGAGGCTCCTCTAAAATCCGTTCAAGGAAGTTTTTGCATCTCAATTTATGCAGCATCAGATGTAATAAAGCAAGTTAAAAATAAACGCAATGAAAGCAGGGAGGACTTTTTTAACCAAACAGTCTGTTTTGATGTGGTACAGAGACCGAGAACTTGGCAATGACACACCCTGGGATATTTAGTTCCACTGTTTTCCAGGGATTTGACCTACTGGAAGAACGCAGGTGTTCCTGGGAAGAAGTGGAAAGGCAGGAGGGAAGGTGAGCGTGTTAGTACACGTGGTGTGTCCAAAGCACATGCAGCACATCACCTGCCTCCTCAGCAACGCCCTACGGATCCAGGGCCAAAGCCAAGCACACAAGGCATGTGGACACGGCACAGGGAGAAGGGAGAGACACCCAGACAATACAAACAGCTGGCACAAAGACACGGGCAGCAAAACCAAAGCTCTGGAATCTTCCCCACCGTGTAGCACCCGCTGCCGGCCGCACCTCCGAGCAGGGGGGAGGCAGGAGATAAGAGCAGGAGGAAGCTGTGGGAACTGGGATAAGGGTGCTTTAGGATACCTTCATGGGGTTTCACGGGTGTCTTTGTGCTGACATTCTGAGCAGCTGACAAAAGGGCAGGGAGCCAAGACAACGAGAAGACTCTAAAATTAGCCCCTTCCACCCACATCGGGCAAATCCCGTTCTTTCGGATTCATTCACAACTGCGCATCAACCTTTGTGGGTGAGCAGGGAAGGGAACACACCCTGACCTCTTAAAATCTGAACCACTCCTTACAATCACCTCTGTCAACCTGCCTAAAACAACAATGAACAGGAAATAGGTGAATTCAATACTGTCATTCCACAGGTCAGAGGGGCTATTTCTGTATGACATGCCTGGGATCACATGGAATATCTGCCTGCAGGGTATTATTACCACTTTAGGCCTTTTTACCATGACATTTTATGCACTTACTGTGGAAGATTTGACCAGGGATGATTTACTGCACACCTGCATGAGAGGCAACTTTTTCCATCAGTGGTAGGTTTTAAATAAATTAAACAAAAAAGTAAGAATGATATCATTTCACAAATTATCAGAAGTTGAAATCATAATCACATATAGATTTAGACAACATCAGTGATGTCTGAGTTTATGAAGCAACACATGGTTGATATAATTAATAAGTAACTGCAGAGGTTAAATGAACCCCAAGGGTATCTGACTGCAATATCCTCTACTTTTCTACCTTATTAAACCAAAACCCTTGTCCTGCTCTAAACTCTACTAAAACACCCTCTATTACTTTGAAATACAATTTTACAGACCAAGTATTTAAAAACCAGCAGCTCTCAAGAGCAAACCCTGTGCAGTTTTCAGTCTGAATAAAAGACCACCTTTTCCCAGGAGACTCTAAAATCCCATTTCAAATAATTAACCCCACCCATATAAAATGATGGGGTTTTCTTTTGTCCTGAAAGACTGTGCATAATCAGCCATAAATAAAGAGCAGAGCGATGATGTGGCATTTCAAATAGCACAGCTGGGAGGAGGAAGCCAGTGAGAGTCACCTCATTCTCCATGGTTTGTCTGGGGAAGGGTGAGTGGCTGCTGGCACGGGTCAAGTTACCTGTTCCCAGTATTGCCTCTCAAATAAAATAAAAAGGGACTGAGCCCACTAAAGAAGTTTCCACGGGGACTGGCACAGACATTTATAGCTGAGTCCAGACCCTCTGCTTCCCACAGCTGTGCATCACACATGTGTCATGTGAAGCTGGACCAACTAACAGGCTTATTACCTAAAAAAAGAGCAGTTTCATCAATTTTTTCTTGTATGATACAGGTAGATTATTCAGGAGGCTCAAGGAAATAGTACTTCTGCCTCCTACTATCACCAACACCTGCTGTTCTTTAGTCTGAGAGCATAGAAAACAGTCTACATAAAACAAACACACACAACAAAAACCAAACCAAAAGCAAGCAAGCAAAAAACATCCCAGTCCACTCCCAGGGAGGGAAAATATCATATGCAGGGAACAGAAAGACTCACCCTGGTTTTGGCATCGATCTGCCCTCCGCGATCCAACAAGAGCTTCACCATGTTTGTGTTTCCCCTTTTGGAAGCCACATGCAGGGGGGTGATTCCATTCTACACCATGAAAAGAACAAACCATGAGCCGGATGGATTGGGAGGGGTGTAATGGGGGCGAGTTCGGGATCGGATCACAACAAATGAGAGCATCACATCGGAGAGAAGAAACGAAAACGCGGTTGAGCATCAGAGCTGGGCACACACCATACACAAGCTAGAGTTAGTAACTCCTTTCTAAGTAAGACTCTCTCGTCGCTGTTCTGGGGCTCCTGAATAAATGAAGCAGCACATCTGCCCAAGCAGCAAACATGGCAGTCCCGGGCTCAGACACACACAGACACACACCAGAGTCCCGAGGAGTCAATAGTCACAGCACACTGATGCCTCTGAATCACTGCAACGCACACAGAGGGCACAAACGCGTCAGGGGCAGGGCCCTCTGCAGGCTGACAGCCCTCGAGAACACTTTGGGTGAGGTCAGAGGTTCTATCAGCAGCTACTCCCGGGTTGGATACGGCAGGAAGGCAGTCTGGAAGGCACAACCCTAAAGTAATTCAAAGTGTGTCTGGCAAAATTAAATGGCAGACATGTGATCCAGGAGCCAGGTTGAGGTTACCAGAGGTTTCCAGGGCACCAGATGCTGTACTTCCAACTACGTAATATGCAACAGCAAAAGGACTGTAGTACATAGCTCTGCAGTTGTTTACCACAAAAGAGTTTATGTAATGGCAATATACCCTGCTCACAGTTTTCAAAATGTGTTTATATGTGAAAACACCAAATTAAAGGGGTATAGTGAATACTGGATACTGGGAACAGCCAATCAATCCTACTCCTGTTTCCAGAGCATGTCTAACAGACTGAAAAGCTGAAGTCTGTTGACACATTGTGAGAGTATCAGCTTTCTGGAGCTGGTCAGAGGAGCCTGCTTCCTCCACCTGGGAATTCTGGTCACTACACAACTCCCAAGGCCTCTGATGCATTGCAAACCTTAAGAATTACTGCAAAAAAAGACATCTTTGACCACAACAGAATTTCAGCCTTACTTTGCTCCTCTCTTAACTCAACCCTTGACTCCAGAGTTACACAGAAAAATCAGCCCGCTTTCAGGCCATTCCAAGTGAGAAGGTCAAGGAAAGAGCCCGTACCCTTGCTGTGAAGTCGACTGCAGCTCCTCGGTTGAGCAGCAGCGTGGCCACGTTGACGTTCCCGTAGTGTGCGGCGATGTGCAAAGGTGTAAAGCCACTCTACAAAGGGAAACAGCCCTTGTTATACACATCAGTTTGTACAAGATCATCAGCTCGACTACAACCTGATTTTAAACCTGCTGGCAAACAAATGTATGGTGTTTCTTTTACCCAGTTCACCTATATTACAGCAGAACTTTCACAGGGCAGTTTTCATACTAAAGGTTATCAAAAGTACTTCTGTCTTTCATTCTCCAACTTAGATTTCTGCATCAGTGGTCAAAAAGAGTAGTTTTCGTCTCAGAAAAATATTAATATATTAGCCATTCTTGAAGAAAACAAAGGAAGTTTCCTTATTAGAGTTTGGAAGCAACATGGATCTTGTGGGCTGCATCTGTTTATTGGGTTTAGATAAATGCCCACAAAGTTGCTGGACTCTTATTTTACTGCTCTTAGAAACAAGGAAAATATTTCCCCCATTTTTGTTTGTTTGTTTTTCTTTTTTTTTCCGCTTTTCTTTTTGAAAGCAGTAATTATTCAAAATGAAATCCAAGAGTTTGGTTTATACGAGAAACTTAGTAGCACAGTAAAAGAATTGTATTTATTTATGTTTATACATGATTTGGATCACAAAGGACCTGAAGAAACTTTGCCATCTATAACTGAGAAGCAAAAACAATTGAGTTTTGAATACTAGAAGGTGAAAGCTGCTCCAGCTACGAGATACAGAATCATTTGACAACAGTAAAAAAGATTAAATCTTCAGAAAGTAGGACACAGAGCAAGCTTTCAGCTTCATAAGTAATTCAAGGAGAAAGGGCCTTGCTTTTGAGGTTTCCCTGAAGAGCTTTACACTGATTCTATTGGATCTCGCTGAGAGTTATAGAAAGAGAGAAATACTTTTGGCCTCTTGACTACAGCACGTTTCATTCCTTTCAGTGGACAAACCACCATCTTAAACTACTCATGGAACAAAGGAATGTGGGCAGGTGTTGCCCTCCTTCAGCAGGCACTGCAGCAACACTTCCACGTTCACCACAGCGAAGAACATTCCCGTGGGTGGGTCAGATGCCGAGAGAAGCTGCCACCCTTCAATTCACATCACCGGCTGCCTCCCCAGCAACCTGCTCATGTGTGTGCACACACCAAGCGGGAAGGGCCTTCCCATGGGTGCATCCATTCATAATTCATTCCCTCCTCTGACAGGAAAAACTCCATTATTCAAGAGCAGGCGTTCAAATGCCAACTGCATTCTTGGAAATCACTTTTTTTCTCCTAAATGGGATAACAATCTTGTGGGGAGAAATCCCGGTTTGAGCCAAGAGGAGCTACCATTTTTAGTGGAAGAGTTTGGAGAGTTGGTATTTCCAGCAGCCATATGAGAAATGTATTATTTACTGCAGGTAAATTCGGATTGTGTGCTATCCCTTGGGGCTTTGCAAAACTTTATGGAAAAGGTCAAAATAAGAACAATGTAAAAATAAGCAGATGCCCTGTTTTTACCTTGGGGAATTCAATTACATTTATTATTGTAAAAGATGGAAAATTAATTTTACCATTATTCTGGCTGAGCCAGACACCTTGATTTAGTTATGCCAAGGGAGTGCATTTTCATAATTAATGAAACTGAGCTAAAAAAGCATCTTTATCCTCTTAGCTCCATTACTCGCTTCAGACTTCTTTGAACTAATGTGAATTCTCAAAAGTGTCCTTCACTGGTGACACAAATAAAAAGAAATTCTAAGACAAAGGATGAATAAAAATAGGTTTGCCAAGTCCCAAATTTCTATGGATTAAAAAAAGAGCCATATCTTCACTTTCAATGCTAAATAATAAAGAAATATTGCCACAGAGCAGAGAAAATAATCTTAAGTAAAACAGAAAGAGTAATTAAAAATTGTTGATCTCGGTACCTCAGTCGTCCTATTCACCATCATCTGATGCAGCGTGGTTTGGGAAAAAGAGGAACAATATTAAAGACTGGTCGCAAAATGAAGAACTGTGTTGCTTTTTTTGAAATGAGTTATGCTGTTAATTATGGGAAAAGCCATTTGAGCATGCATTTAACTTTAAATACAACCCATATTCCCATGGGCAATAAACCAGTACCCTACTTAACAGGGAAGCAGGGATCCTGCCTCCATTCCAGAGCCTTCTGGTTTACAAGTAACGCGGAAAAAGCTGGTTACCAAAGAAATGGGAGGCGTGACTCAAAAAACCAAAAATGAGCAGGTTGGAATTACTGCGAAATTAAACATACTGCTGGTGGCAGAGGGGGAGGAAGGCGCCTCTCCACACTGAAGTTCCCTTTAATGGCTGGGCTGAAGGAATCCCCGGGGCCGCCCACCCCGTTACCTGCCCGGCCGCTGCTGCGTTACCTTGGACTGCACGTCGGCGTTGTGGTCGTTCTGCAGCAGCAGCGCCGCCGACTTGGTGTCGTCCTTCCTGGCGGCGATGTGCAGGGCTGGCAGCCTCACCTTGCCCTTGGTGTCGTTCTCCAGCAGGATGGCCACCGCCTGGTTGTGCCCCTGCTGCAGTGCCACAGCCAGAGGAGTGAAGCCGTCCTGGGGGAGAGGAAGCCAAGGTGAGGTGCGCTCGGTAAGGAGGAGGATGCGGAGCTTCTGTGACTTGCAGCAATCTGAGATGCTCGTTGCCAGCTGTTTCCCACCTCTGCACCTCCGTCTCCATCAGCAGCACAGCATTTTAACCCTTTTCAAACGTCTTCCAAAGGCTTTCAAACATTTCAAATGCATCTTTTCCCACTTTGGTCTTTTTTTTTAACTCAGGTACAGGCAAAGTATTGTTTTACATCTTAATTGCTCCCTGTCTTAAGGCAGGCCACAAAGCATATTTTTAGCAATTTTTTGGTAAACTTAGTGAGCACTGAACAAACTAGATGTGAAAAATATACAGGGAGCCCATTTGTGAAGAGAAAGCGTATCTTTGGATGCATTTGCTGCTGTTCACATTCCAAGTTACACGTGGACCATGAGTCAAGAAAGCCACACCATGTTTAGGAATTTATTCTGATCCGAAGGAGGAAAATATCAGATTATTTGTATTTTTTGGAAAAGCAAAGAAAAATATCCCTGCTTGACATTCCTAGTTTTAGCTCTGTTCTAAAATTAGTTTCAAATTGTCTTGCTCCTCCCACACATGCCTGGGATGGCCAATGCTTTTAAAACCCATCACGTGACCACAGCCTGCTCCTCCTGGCTGAAGTACTGCCTGCTCCCAAATATTTCACTCTGATTTGACACTGGTCATGCCCCCTCCCCAAGCACAGGTGTGCTGTAACCACATGAGGGACGGGAACACTTTGGAACAGGAATATGGAAAGAGGATAAGATAATAAAGGCCAAGTTAGGAAGGAACGAGAGCTGCCATATGCTGAAAGAAACATCTGAGGAATTGCCAGAGCCATTTTTCCCCTTAGTAATCTAATAACTTTTGCGTTGAGCGGTGGGTAGGTGTGTTGTAACAGCGATACTGCCGTGGTTTCTGCCTGTAACAGAGATTAAATTCTGTGCAGGGAATTAAAAAGGGGTGAACAGCTGACGAAACAGCTGAACCGTAAAGATAATTCTGAGATTGGGGCTACATAAGGTGTTGAAATGGCTTAATGCATTTGCCTTTCGCCTCTGGGAACATGAGAACAAATCCTGGATTAGAGGCCCTGTGAAACTGAGCTCATCCTTACCCTCCTTTTGTATCCATTCACATGTAAGCCTGGGAGGAAACGAAATACATTCAAAGGCAGCGCAAGTTTCAAAGCTTCAAAGACAAGATCATCCATTTGATTTGCACCATTTCATCCTCCACCCTTCTCTAAAAGGACAACCCTCTTTCTGCATTCCCTCTGCCATTGCTTCTGGAAAGCACGGTTGACCACAGTTTGGAGGAGACTTTTCATTTCCTGACCTCCCATGAGGAGCTCCAGCCTGTGATGCCAAATACAAGGTCCTTATCCACGTATTCCAGTGGCATCCACAGCTCAGGCTGCCATCCCACCTTACTGAATGTGCCATTTCTTCATCCTGCTCATGAAATGAACTCTAGGAATGTGTGGAAACAAAGGGTGGCTGAGGAACACTCACAGAACCACAGAAACCATCTCCTCAGCAAGACCTGAACCTAACACTGACCTGGGTCTGCAAATAAGGATGTCAACAGCCTTAACTTTCCAAGCTACAAAGGGAGAACTGACCTTTCTCATGGCAGCACACAGACCTGGAATCAGGTTCAGAGTAAGGGTTATTTTATATATATATTTCCCATGAATTATAACCATCTCGGCCTCACACTCCCTGTAAACTGACTGAACTTCCAAGTGCACCTGACCATCCTAGCCAGCAAAGTCACTGGGAGAAAGGCTGCCAGCAGGTGACTGTGGGCTCCTGGAGAGCCCAGGTCCCCTGGGCTGCACTCCCAAGGAGTGTGTTTCTGCCACGTTGCCCAGCAATCCCACGGGAATGCCGGACCTCAGAAAGCTGACATGTAACGTGATCACCTCAGAGAGGATTATTTCAGGAGCTGTCACCAAATGGTACAGTATCCACTGAGAGAGGGGACACTGAAACAGCTGGTAATGCTGACAGTTCGCTTTGAAGGGAGGAGAGTGAGCATAAAAGCACCAGCATTTACAACTCATCCACCCATGGGGGGCAATCCAAAATGGGAATGTTTCTGGACAGACAAAGGAAAAGTAAGAAATGTGAGGAAAACCTCTGAGGGGAAAGGAACTTTCCCACTGGTACTTCACATGGCACAAACAGGAAGGTGACACACTTTGCAGCACAGAGCCTGTTCACTCATCCCCTTGGCTTGGAATAAAAGAACACTCGGCAGAAAGGGAGCACGAGGAGGGAACAAAATGAGCACAGTCCCCATGTTTTTCCATTGCCCTTAAATCCCTCTTTAATTATTGTGCTTCAGTTCCTCTTGAGACAGAGACCTCCTCCACTCATCACTCCTGAACTTATCTAAAATCCCAAGGCCCAGTGCTGGGGTCATGGTTGGACTCGATGGTCTTAGAGGTCTTTTCAAACCTAAACAACTCTATGACTCTAAAAGGAAGCTTGTTAACAACTACCTGTTGATATTAATTGTTTTTATACCATTTTACACCACACACACCCTTTCAGACACAGCCCACACAGTCCTGACTTTAAACAATCTGAATATAAAGGCAAATCAAAATATGAGACCAAAAAACCCCCTCACCTCAGTGGCTGTGCTTTGGTTGGCTCCATTTTCCAGGAGATACTTCACCACCTCAATGTGGTTCTCCTGAGCTGCCATGTACAAAGGAGTAAAGCCATTCTAGGAAGAACACAGGAGAAAATATTCTGTTAAGGGAAGGGAATACACCAGCAATAAAGACCCACAAAGAAACACGTGGCTGAAAACGCATTTGTGGGGTTTTCTAACTGAAATGCTCTAAGTGTGTAGCAGAACAACTTTGTATTTTTAACTTTGGATGGTAACGTTTATTGCCATTGAAACCCATGGACCTCTACGTGCTTTCTCACTCATCTTCTCCTGACACTTATTTTACAGTAATTATTAATATCAGCTATTCCTTGCTGATAGTGCTCAGGGACTGCAAAGCTGGCAAGAAGGTTTTATGAAAGCTGACAGGAAAGCAAGAGTTTCCTCCACTTACTACATTTACTTGAGCAAAGATGTGATCCCCTGGAGACTGTGAAGTCCATACCTCCTGACAAGCTCAGCAGAGATGGCAAAGCCTTAACATTCCACAGCAAATTCTGCAATGCATAAAACATTGCAAATCATCCGACATAAAGGAACCCAGCCTTGCAAAGGAACCACTGCATTTCTGACCATACAGCAGGTTCATTATCATTTCACTAAAAACATACATTAAAATGTCCTGAAGTTATTAAAAGAATTTGCTTCGGATAAAACAGGAATGAGAAAAAGTTCTTTTAAGTTAACCAACCTACTCTGATCCAGGCAAATTCATTAGAAATGTAAGGCTTTTCTTCCCATTAAAATATTTTAATGCAAACGATTTTAATTCATTACCTACAAAATCCTGATGAAACAAAGGCATGCAAGTGAGCTGCCTGCCTAACAACTTTCTTCTAAGAGTTTTTAGGATTGCTAAAAAGACCTTATAAAATTCTTTAATATTCTGTAGGCAACCAAGTAACATAAGAGGATATGATCACCTATACTTCTGAAAACATTCTTCTGGCTTAGAGTGGCAGTTTTAGATAGAAAATAAACCCTTAACCAGACTTCAAATATGCAATTTATTTGTAATTTATTTTATTATCTTGTGTGGTGTCCCACTGAATGATAGGCTTGTGCATTCACACATGGGGTCAGAATTAATGCAATGAGAACTAAAAACCCTGTTTCAGAGAAGCCAATATTACTCTTTCTAGAAAACCTGCTGTGCAAACATTCCAGTAATTTCCTAAGGAAATGAAATCTCATTTTTCAGTCTCTGGATAACGCAAAGACTGTAGAATTGATATCTTTACAACCCCCCCTCTGTGTTTAGAAATGTAGAAGATTGGTCAGGCAATAAACATCATTTATGTTGTGGATGTCATGTATGATATATGTCATGTATGTTGTAGCAATATTTAATTGCATTTATTTGCATAATATTCTGGCATTTGCATTGACAATCTTGGGACATAGAATTAATAAATGGCACCCAGAGAACAGTTAAGAGCACTCCAGTGCCAAGACTGGGGGATGTATTTTGAGTGGCTTTGCACAGGAGTCAGTTATTATCCAGTATTCTCAGAAATGACTCCAAGGAGGGAACAGAATGCTCTTATTATAGCCACAGACAGCATGTTCTGCAAGTCCACCACACCACAGGAGTGTCATTTGAAAAGGTCCCTGTAACCCTGGAGAAAAAAACCTGGAAAATTCATTTAGTAAGGACAAAGACAAGTTTCTCTGCTATTGCAGGAAAGGTAAACTATGCACACTGGGAACAGTGAGTTAGAGAAGAATTCTGCAGGAAAGGACCTGAAGGTCACAGTGGTCTTTCACAGGGTCACTGGTCAAGGAGTTCATGGTGCAGATAACAAAGGCAATCCTTGCACTGGCACAGAGAAGTATCTCCCCAGGGAAGCTATATTTGGCTAATAATTGGTGGTGTTCTGTCTGTAAAGGGCAAACGAGGAAAACAAGACAACAGCCCTTAAAGAGAAGCGTAAAGGTCTGTTCTGCACGATCACGATGACTAAAACGAAAAACCACAGCGTTTACAAGGTTGCTGGAGGGGAAGATTCAGGTTGGGCATCAAGAAAAGCCTCTCAACAGGAAGGTCAGTCCCTCGTCCCAAATCACTGCTCCCACCAGGCAGCAAACTGACATGCACGTGGAGCCAGGCTCTTCCACGTCCACCCACCCTGGGGCAGGAGCTGGTGAGTCAGGGAGTGTGGCCCTGCTCTCCTCAGACAGCTCTTTAACAGGGAGGGGGGATAGGAGAGATGCCCTCACGGCAGAGAACGCAGGAACGCCGTTCCCAGTGCAACTGGGGAGCTGCAGGGGATCGCCAGGCACAGGCACGAGCTGGCACTGGCAACTGGGAACAGATTGGGTTCTTTTCCACTGCACTTGTGCAGAAAACACAGAGGGAACCTGCAGGTAACCCAGCTGGCTCACCGTGTCATTTTTCCTTCCTGCTCCGGAAAGAAACAACGTGGCAACTTATTAGGTAGAACTAAGAGTGATTTTCCACCCGCCTCATCAGCTTCTCAATATTAAAGTCTCATTTTCTAAACGTAATATGTGCCATTTATAAAGTCCTTCTAGCACTGAATATTACAAGGATCACGCCAGTTAATACAAATGGGGGGAATATGACGATTCTCAAGCCCGAGTAAATCAATTTGCTTAAGAGCTTTGAAGAATCTAATTTTTTTTTAATCAAGTCCCTGGTTCTGGAACGGAATTAGGACTATAAATCCTGGATTAGGAGACCATAAACAATGGATATATATATATATGACTTCATGATGTTTTAGCACCAAGAAGGACTAAGTGTTCTTCCACACAGAGATCCAGAGGAGTGCCCATATATCATATATATCATACCTGTGCTACAATCACACCTGAAACTACAGCAGTCAGGGATAAGGAAATTCTTGCACATAAAATCATAGTCTCTTTTTTTTTTTTTCTTCAGGCTTTAATTATGGTCTAAAACTACTGTATGTATTTTCTTGAAATCTGGTTGGGAATTACACACCAAGATTTGTATGCAAAACTACTGAATACGCCAGAAAAAGATCCCACTGAATTTCTCCCCCTGGCAAGGTCAAGCCTGATTGTTAATGCTGGCAGGGAGAAGTCTGCTTTCTCAGGCTGCTTTCAGTGAAGCTCTGCTTTCAGAGCTTCTAATTGCAGTGTCCCTGACCTCAACACTCCTGGCCCTCGGCCAGAGGACTCCTATTTTAGGATTCCCAATATGCCTGCCCTCCTGGGCAGAGCTGTGCCCAGTGGGATTGCCTGTTAGCCCTGCTGGAGCTCTTCCTTCTCACCTGGTCACTGGACCCCAGGAGTTCTGTGCCTCCTCCTGCCCTGCCTGGTCTCTGGGATGTGTCTGTCTGTCTGTCTGTCTCCTACACAGCAAGTGTCTGCCTCTCCCAGACAGCCCTGCAGCTGAATGGGAATGCCCACAAAAAAAGAAGATCATTCCCAAAGTTTCCTTTCCTATGGTCAATTTAAAATCCCTTTCCCAGTTCCTCACTGAGTTTCCAAGTGCTGTATGGCCAACACTTGGGTTCTCTGTTCTGCTTCCAGAGATTCTTCAAAGCTCCGGATCCCAGATCTCTCCAAACTGAACGAAACGTGGTTTTCCCTTGGCTCTTGTTTCACTCTCCCAAAGTGTTTTCTACCAAATCCGTGACATGCTGGTTAGTGATTCTCTGTGGATGAACTGCAAGGGAGACTGACCTCTCCCCTCAGCATGTGGAGTGGCACAGAGAGGGTTTACTGGGGAATCATTACTTCCATAAATTTCTTTTCAGTTTACAGCCCTGTACTGCACAAACCCAGTCCAGAATTAAAGCAAAAATACTGACTGTGACCTGAAAAAGGAGAAACGAACTGTGATGTGTAATCATGTTACATTTGTATGTTTAAATGTTGTGCATCTTCTGAAAAGCTGAAATTAATCGTGTAATGATAAGTAACAGTCACTTCCAAACAATGGTTTCATCAGAGTATTTGTAGCGAGGACAGAGCACTCCGATATCATTATCCCTCCAAATGTGAACTGCAAGATGTTTACTGCTGTAATGTAAAGTCAGAATGAGAAATTATCACTAAACAGAGTATATTTCACACCCCATTCTTTCTACTACATTCACTGATTTACTGCCTAATTGGAGAAAATGAGTAGCTCTCAACGATTCTTCAAGCTATTAATGCAAATTGGCAAGTCTATCCATGACTCAGAATTTGTAATCATTAAATTTTGCCCGAGTCCTAATGAAGAACACAGGCTGAAGGAGCAGAGGGATTATTAGAGCACTGAGAAAATCATGCAGTTCTGTGGCTTGGTGGAGCTTTATTTCAGGGCTTGATTTCTGACTTTCAAGGAACTTGGGTTCCTCCTTGCATGCAGTATTGAATTATCAGGGTTTAGTGTCCATATGCCTACAGAATCTCTCCATCTTATGTCCATATATACATATATTCATACTGATAAGGAAAAGAGAGAAAACAGAGATACAGCATCTCTACATTTTGCCTCTCTGAAGAGGATTCACGAGAGTTAGCTACATCCCCTTTGATTAAATTTAAGTTGTTAATATAAACCCGGATGAACAAACCTATTTTATTTGAAAGGCCTCCAGGAACTGCTTAAAACTGTATTAGAAGATCACTGAGATTCCCAGGAAAGACAAGAAAAACTGGCATCTCATGCAATGGCTTACATGCAAGGGTTCATTTCTACTTACTGAAAAGGAAGAGACAGTGACACAAAGAGTGAGACAAGGGTGAGACAAGCTTAGATTATTCCTCAAACAGCTCACACACACTATAAAACCTGGGTGATTCATGGTCAGGTGGTAAAACACTGCTTTATGCAGTAAGATCATGATCATTTGAGGAGGCCTTCAAGTCCAATAACTGTTTCAGGACTTTTTTCCTACTCTTCCAGAACAATAAGTTCCTGATCTGAACCTTCATTCAGTGATACAGGAGATGACCCTTGGAGGTACCTTCCAACCTCAACCCTTCTGGGATTCAGTGAGAAAGCCTCTAACAATCCAAGCAATACATTAATTGTTCTCAGTGAAATATGAGTGGGACAAATAAAT